GTTATAGAGTTATTGGTAGTTTTTTAACGTGGGTTCTAAGGAATCTTTATTCAAATATCCGTTTTTCTGGATTGGGTACGATAAAGCTTCCTACACGAGCTTACATCACCGTAAGCAAAATTAAAATGTGAAGACTTGGCATTTGCACAGCAGCTTGGCAACACAGAAATTCTCTTCTCTGATCACACCCCATCACTTCCTACCCTTCCCGCTGAATCATCAGAGCCCCGGGCCAATTGCCAGCACTCTGACCACACACAGCCATTGCCATTCCCCGGCCCATCGGCCCAACATTCCCAGCCGGGGCCAGTTCCGCCCTTTTGGATCCTCCACTCCTCCAACCATGCTCATTGTGCCAGTTCATGGCCCTGGCTCAGCCACACCACCTGCTGCTCAGAATACCCAGCCCCCAGCCCTGTTGACTGGGCCCTCTGGAGAGCCTCCCCTTAAACCAGACCCTCTTTACTTTCTGGTAATTCTTTCATCCATTTCTTTTTAAATCATTTCTAGATCAGTGCTGTTCAGATAACAAGACACATAAATAATTTAAAATCTTCTAATTATCATATTAAAAAAAAAAGAAAGAAAGAAAGAAAGAAAGAAAGAAAGAAAGAAAGAAAGAAAGAAAGAAAGAAAGAAAGAAAGAAACAGCTGAAACTAATTTGGTTCAGTGGTTAGAGTGTGGGCCTGAGGGCTGAAAGGTCCCAGGTTTGATTCCGGTCAAGGGCATGTACCTTGGTTACCGGCACATCCCCAGTAGGGGGTGTGCAGGAGGCAGCTGGTCAATGTTTCTCATTGATGTTTCTAACTCTATCCCTCTCTCTTCTTTTCTGTAAAAAATCAATAAAATATATTTTAAAAAATAAAAATAAAAAAGAAACAGATAAAGTTAATTTTGATAATATATTATATCTAATCCAACATGTCCAGAGGATTAGCCTTTCAACAACAACAAAAAGATCAATATAAACAGCATTAATGAGATACTTTACATCCTTTTTTGGACTAAGCATGAAATCTGATAGGCAGTTTTTCCAGATGGACTAGCCACATTTCACCTACTCAGTAGCCACCTGTGGCTCCCCGCACGTGGATGGAATAACACAGGTCTTGGCTTTTCCTAGTCTCTTCAAGTCCCACCCCATTCGCCTCAGTCTCAGGAAGAGCTCGGGACTCATTGTTAAGTAAATCTACCTCCAGCCATTTTGTGTTATTCCCTTTCCACCTCAACACAGGCCAGTGGCCACAGTCCGCCCTCTCCACTAACACTTCCAGGTCTCACTCAACCTCAAGGTTAACTTGTCGCTACATCTCCTCCAACTACCATTCTATTCACCATCTTCTTTATTACTTTGAATTTCCCAGCACCTACTCAACCACAATTGCGTCCCTTAGTCTCTCCTCTCTCAAAGGTTTTCTCTACTCTCTTGACTTCGATCATTATTTCCACTCAGAATACAGCCAAATGTAAATATTCAGTCCTTTTTACTATATTTCAGTCCTGCATTTCCAAGTGCCTATTGAATATATTCATCTGAATGGCATTGGAATATGATATTACTGGCATTTAACTCACAGCAACTCTAACAAATCCTAGAAAAAAATCATTTAATTTCCAAGATTTAAAAAAAAAGTATAATAATATGTATTGTGTGTAATTGTCAATCTCTACTAATCCCTGATCCCTATTCCATCACTGCCCCCGGCTATGCCAAAATACCCTGCTTTGATGACATCACGCCGGAACCCAGAGGTTTAAAACCAAGTGTCAGCTTTTCCTCAAACGAGCTCACCCTTGGATTTCTTACTTTTGTCAGTGATATTAATCACTCACTCACCCAACCTGGAAATGTTGCTTTCACCCTTAATTAGCTCTTCCTCCTTTCTCCCACAGCTAATTAGTCACTGTTCTTGTCAATGAATCTCTCATAATATTTCCCTTTATCCACCCCATCTTCTTAACAAATTGCTCCCACATTCACAAACCATCCCACATCCACTGTCATCACTTCCAACACTATCCCTTCCTTGAAATCACCTTTTACCAACAACACAAGATACACTGGCACTGATGCATTTTTTAAGTGAATGTTCAGTCTTCCAAGCTAGATTCTTTTAAAATATATATATATATTTTTTTTTATTGATTTCAGAGCAGAAGAGAGAGAGAAGGAAAGATAGAAACATCAATAATGAGAGAGAATCATTGATCTGCCTCCTACACGCCCCCTACTGGGGACTGAGCCTGCAACCTGCGCATGTGCCCTGACTGGGAATCAAACTGTAACCTCCTGGTTGATAGTCAACCACTGAGCTACACTGGCCAGGCTAGATTCTTAAAGCAGGAACAAAATTTTATGATATTTTCATTCCTGCAATTACTAGCTAAATAGATAACCAATGACTATTTACTGCTGATGAGTCACTTTCACTTAAAAAAAAAAAAAAGTCATTTTAAATACCTAACTCTAGAAACAGATTTAAACATAATTAGGTTGCCCAAATTAAATTTTGCAGACTTTTGGGGACATTTAATATATAACCAAATATTGTGTTTTGTTTTGGAAAAAGATTCAAACTTAGGTTTTGATCTTGCTTTTCCTCTCAACTAGTCAGTAGACAAGTTTCTCAACTTTTAATTTCTTCACCTGTTATATAGCAGCCCCCCTTTTCTGTGGGGGATACATCCCAAGACTCCTGAGGATGCCTTAAACCTTGGATAGTACTAAACTCTGTGTACTATGTTTTTCCTAAATATACAATCCTATGACAAAGTTTCATTTATAAATTAGGAACAATAAGAGATTAACAACAATAACATAATAAAATAGGACAGTTATAACAATATCCTATCTAAGAAAGAGGGAATATGCTAATTGACCCCCATTGCAAAGATGGCTGCACCCATAGCCAATAAGGAGGGAATATGCTAATTGACTGCCCTGCCCTCAAAGATGGCAGCACCCGATTTCATCAGCCCTGCTGGGGTGGCAGGCATGCAGCAGGCCAGGCCAGCCCCCAAGCAGGCCTGGCTGTCCTGCATGCCTGCTTCCCAAGTCTCCCAGTCCCTTCAACCCCTAACTGCCCAGGGCTGGTCCGAGGCACAGGTAAGTCTCAGATGGCAGATGCCCAATTGCCCAAGGGCTGCCGAAAGCTCAGGTAACCAGGGCTGGCCGAGACTTGCTTGCACTGCAGGCAGTGGCAGCAGCAGAGGGGTCTTGGGTGCCGCTTTCACCTGATCGCTGGGTCGCCTCCTGGACTGTGAGAGGGGGCAGGTCGGGCTGAGGGACCCCCTACGCCAGTGCATGAGTTTTCATGCACTGGGCCTCTACTACTATAATAAATGTTATATGAATGGCTTTAGCGTCATTATTAAGTAAAACAGGATTATTTGAACACAAGCACTGTGATACCCCCACAGTCCATCTGATAATGTAGAAACTACTAAATGACTAACAGGTTTGGAGCATGAACAGTGTGGATTCACTGGACAAAGGGGTGATTCAAATACTGGGTGGGACAGAGCACAAGAGCTTGAGATTCCATCACGAGACTCAGAATGGCATACATTTAAAATTTTATGAGTTGTTTATTTCTGAAAATTTCTATTTAATATTTCTGCGCCACAGTTGACCCCAGAAATCAAAACTATGGGTAAGGGGTGACCACTATATACCTATCCAATAGAGTTTATTGTAAGGTTTAAATTGTTGCAGAAGACCGGAAAACAAACAAAAAACAAGCAATGTTTAGAGAGTTTGGAGTTACACTTTAATATACACCAGTGGGCCCAAAAATTCAAATTCTGAGCAGAGCAATAGCAGGAAATTTGTTTTTATAAAAGAGCCAGCCCTATGTGTGCTTAGTGGTTATCTCGCTGGAAGCTTGTGGCCTTGAAAATAACACCGTTCTATCCAATTGAAAAATGCACCTGGCATGGTGTGGGAGTTTGGGTGTATCTAGTGTCTGGCATACAAGGTCAGACAGCTAAGTTTATCTTCCTTATTATTCAAGCAGGCTAGAAAGCAAAGTTATTCTTTCAGAATAAGGGGCTGTCTAATAATGGCAGAGTTGACTTTACAGAATAAGGGACTATCTAAACAGCAGAGAATTTCAAACAGTAGTTTTACAAAACAGGGCTTAGCCTTCTCAAAATGAGGTATGATCTGAACGTGTTTAGAATTTATTTTTATTTTTTCTAAAAATAGATTGAAAGAGGGAAATACCTGAATGATAGATGTGATGTAGATTTTAAAGTTTGTATTTCAGATTTTTAAGTCACAGACCCTATACAGCTGCTACCCCTACCCATCACAGAAACACTGTGTGACTGCGGTGCACTCCCACAGGCCACCACTGAGACGTGAAATTGTCAGCAGGGCCTCGAGATACACATAACAAAGCCAACCCAAAAACAAGCGAAAGAGGTTTTTTTTAAAAAATAATTTTTTTAATTGATTTCAGAGAGGAAGGGAGAGGGAGAGAGAGATAAAAACAGCATTGATGAGAGAGAATCATTGGTTGGCTGTCAAGTCTCTTTCCGTCACCATATAACCCCTTTACACATACCCTCTACTGGGGATCAAGTCCACAACCTGAGCATGTGCCCTGATGGGAAATCAAACTATGACCTCCTGGTTTGATCGACACTGAATCACAAGGGAACAGGTTCTTCAAAAAGTCCTATGTGTTTTCAGTTTTGCTTCAATGTCATGTAATTTGGGCCACTATCCAGATGGCATAGCCCAATGAGATATGTTCATAGAGATAGGATTGCTGGAAAGTCAACAGCCTTTTCGTATCTGTGAATTTATGAACCATCATCAGGGATGGAAAAGATTCTTCCAAAGCAAAATGGAATGACATTAAGTGCCCTGGGCAAAGCCCTATGTCCCCTCGCTTGGATTTAGGGATCCAAAGGCTGGTGAGAACCTGCAGCCACAGCTTTGCCAGCTCGTGTTAAGTGTTACGTGCTGTGTGCTTTGTGTCTTCTCTCACAGCTATTGACCTGCTGTACTGGCGGGACATCAAGCAGACGGGGATTGTGTTCGGGAGCTTCCTGCTGCTGCTCTTCTCCCTCACCCAGTTCAGCGTTGTGAGTGTCGTGGCCTACCTGGCCCTCGCCGTACTCTCGGCCACCATCAGTTTCCGCATCTACAAGTCTGTTCTGCAAGCCGTGCAGAAAACCGACGAGGGCCACCCTTTCAAGTGAGTTGCCCCGGCCAGGCCAGCCCGGCCAGCCTCTCACGGGCTCTTTCCCTCTGCCACTGTTTCACTCTCCTACACGTCGGGTCATGTTTCTCTGGGACCTAACAGGCCTCTCCAGGGTTACTTTAACACCCTCTCTTCTAATATCTAATGTTTCTGGTGAATTTCCAAAGCAAGCTCAACTATCTCTATTCTAACGCTGATTGTTTTACTGATTTTTAACATTTTAATTATTACCCATTTAAATACGTAATATTTATTTATTTTTAATCCTCACCTGAGGATATCTTTCCATTGATTTCAGAGAGAGAGAAAGGGAGGGGGAGAGATGGAGAAATATGGACATAAGCTCTCTGAACCGGCAACTTGGGTTATGTGCCCTGACTGGGATCATACCCGCAACCCTTGGGTACATGAGACCACGTTCCAACCAACGGAGCCATACTGGCCAGGGTTTAAATACTTAATATTAAGTTTAATATAAATTTAAAACAAATTTATATTTAACATTAGTATTTCATATTTAATTATTCCTAATAGTAATCATAATTATATATATATGTAGGAAAAATGAGTTTCTAAGCAGTAAAGTGACTCAGCCAAGGCCACCGGGCCAGTCCAGAGCACAGAACCAGGAAGAAGTGTTTGGATTTTCACTTCTAGACTTTCTCTAGAAGTTTAATTCCAAAGGGCCAATCTCCTGAGGAGTGCAAGGGTCATGAACAGTCTTATAGATCTGCACTTTTATACCAGGGAGATCTGACTGGAACGAATATTGAAGAACACATTATTTTTAAAGGCAATATACTTGGAGAACATAGGAAATGTAGCGAAGGGCAATAATAGCACTACATGCCACCTACCCACACCCCAGTTTATCTCCTGATTCTAGATTGTGAGCTCAGGCACCTTTAGCCCTGACTGTCAGTCACCCCTTGCCTGGTGCTGCCCCAGAGCTCAGGCTCTGCAGCAGATGCCCTCACTTCCTATAAGCAGGGACAGTTCTGCCTCGTGCTGCCAGATTGGTTTCTCAGCCAGCCCCAGTAATTCACCTGGCTCACCCTCCCATCAGCCGAATCAAGGCCTCAGTGCCCCAGGCTCCTAAAGGGAGAACGATGACTGAGTTATGGGCCTTTGACCAAAGGGAAAAGGCTGTGTATCAGATGCCCCTTCCCAGCCTCTGGCTCCTGGCCTCAGTGTCAAACCCAGTTATAGGCTGAGCATTCTTGTTCTTGAGATGCATGTGGCCTTCCTTCTTCTAATGCAGAGTTAACGTGTCTTTGGGGCTATGGTTTGGCTACACAAGTTCCCATCCCAAAGGTGGGAAGAGCGAAGTGGAGTGTCATTTAGAGTCTCGCCCTGCCCCCATTTTTGCTCTCGGCCATTCAGGAGAAGCTGGTTTCTCCTGCTTTCTTGGCCCCCAAGACAATCAAGTTACAAGGGGAACTTACCTTTCATTTAGTTTATTTCTCCCAATGCCCAGTATAGAATTAAGAGTCTAACTACAATTTACTCAACTACTTTTTTGTCCTTTAGGATTTTAAAAGGTAGGATTTTCCTTTGTTTTTATTGGTTAAAGAAATATCTGACTCAGAGTACATTTTGAATCAAAACATACTATCTTGACACACCAGTATTATTTTTTTTTCCCAAATGGAAGAAAACCCAGAATATTTCCATATAAGCTCCCTAAAACTCAAGCCAAATGCTGCTTTCCTCTTCACCCCGATTCCCACAGGTACGTAGGCACTGTAAGTGTTCCAAGGCTGTCCTCTGGGTAGACAGCACAGCCTGTCTTAGTGCAGAGGGGGGTGAAGAGAGGGAGGGCGGACCTCTGTGAGAAGCATGGATAAACAGGAGGATGCACTAATTTGCATATATTTGAGGAGCTTGGTTTCTCTACCCAGGAGTTCATAATAACCATTTGAACAAATGAAAATGCTGTTACTAAAGATACCTCTCTCTCTCTTTTTTTGTGTGTGTATTTATCTTTATGTACATGATTATCTTTTTGTATTGAATTTATTGGGGTGACATTGGTTAGTAAAATTACATAGGTTTCAAGTGTATACTTCAATAATACATCATCTATTATATTGTGTGTTTACCATCCAAAGTCAAGTCTCTTTCCGTCACCATATAACCCCTTTACTCTTTCCCACTCCCCCCACTCGCTTTCCCTCTTGGAATCATCATACTGTTGTCTGTGTCTTTGAGGTGTTTTGTGTTGTTGTTGTTTTGCTTAATCCCTTCACTTTTTTTTACCCAGACCCCCAATCCTCTCCTATCTGACAGTTGTCATTCTATTTTTGATATCTGAGTCTGTTTCTATTTTATTTGTTTGTGTATGATTTCACTTACATGTGGAATCTAATGAACAAAATGAACAAAGGTACCTCTCTTAATAGAACCAGTGAGCATTTTAATATGGCCCAGCTCACGCTAGTGTCCCTAGCTCTCTAGATAAAATCTTGGGAGAACTTTCCAGAATTTAAATATGCAATCTGAAGAGTTTTAGATGACAAACAATAATTGGCAGCTAGAATTCTCAAATATTTCAACTATTGTAAAAGATAATTCATGTCCACTCAGCCAAGAAGACATGAGAACTTTCACAGTTACCTGGTGGGCCAGGGATATCTAGGGAATTCAGAACATGAGCTGATTTTGAACAGTTGCTCATATTATGATGCTGTCTTTGGGAAGTAAAAGCAGTTACAGAGGCCCACTAGGTGCCATGATTCTCCCGTTCCCCCATGCACTGAGTGGTGCCCACTGGCTGGCACCTCCCCTCCTCCCCCAGGATGTCCCAGCTGTCACACTCAGAGTGAAAGAAGGAAAACGTAGCTGTTTGGTGGTTCCCTCTGATGAGTGCTCTGTGGGGATGGTTTGTTGGCAGGGCCTACCTGGAGCTCGAGATCACCCTTTCTCAGGAGCAGATCCAGAAGTACACGGACTGCCTGCAGTTTTACGTGAACAACACGCTTAAGGAACTGAGGAGACTCTTCCTCGTCCAGGACCTGGTGGATTCCCTAAAAGTACGATTGCTTTAGCTGCTCACTAGACAGTCTTGAGTTTTGTTTTTTTCCCTTGAAGGTACAATATAATAAGCCAAAACCCACATCCTGGAGAATAAAATGCAAGTGAAAATTATATTCTAGAGTCAGAAAACTTCTAGCTATACCGAACCATGGAGCTTATCCAATCTAATCCCCTTATTTTACAGATGTTGGAAGTGTGTTGTGGCTCAGAGAGACTAAGACACTTGCCCTAGGTTGCCCACTGAGTCAATAAAACTTTATTTATGAATGCTGAAAATGGAATTTTATTTCCTTTTCACATATAGCAAAGTGTTATTCTTGTTTTGATTTTTATTTGAGCATTTAAAAATGTGAAATCCATTCTTAGCTCATGGATCCACACAGAAACAGGCCAAAGGGTTCTGAGAAAAGGAAATAGGACCCTCTTGCAGTAATCCTGGGACAAGCTTTACGTGCTCCTACATTTCCTGTTGAAATCATGATATATTTTGCCTCAAATTCTGATCTAAAAAAGTCAATGAAATGAGACCCTTACCTGTCACGGTTTTAGAAGCTGTGATAATCATTTCATTTTTCAGTTTGCAGTCCTGATGTGGCTCCTGACTTACGTTGGCGCTCTCTTCAACGGCCTGACCCTGCTGCTCATGGGTAAGGACAGATGAGCGTGCTGTGTCTTCCTTCACACGCTCCCTGAGCATAGAGCTTCCCGGGCTGTTAGCCGTTAGCTTGAATTAATAGATTCCTGGGGGAAAATACCAGATCCCCTGAGTGCTGCGTATTTCCCTGACCATAGAGAGTACAAGATATATATTACACATTGATAATGAATTTCTTAGTCGGAAAGGTTTTTTTCTTCTAACATATATTGCAATGGCGGTTATGGATAGAAATCCATTTTCATCTTAGGAAGGCACCATCTACCCTCCTTCTAGGGATAATGATTTACTATCTGTAAAGGGCTCAGCATCCCTTTGTTTTCCTTAGGAACTGCCTTGTCCTCTTTTATGCAGAATGCTGAGTATTTATAAATGCTCTCATATAACAAAACTACATAAACATGTATCTATAAGCTTTTATAGATACTGGCAACTCTCAGAATTTTAACACTCTTATTTGTTTTTCATCCCAGCTGTGGTTTCAATGTTTACTCTACCTGTAGTGTATGTTAAGCACCAGGTAAGTTCTGTGTGAAGTCAAACATTCATGCTGCGTTTGGCCTCATGAACTTTGGATGTGCTCATGATTTTCTTCCTTGTTGTAGGCACAGGTTGACCAATATCTGGGACTTGTGAGGACTCACATAAATGCTATTGTGGCAAAGTAAGTTACACAGTGCATCTTGTAAAGAGGAGAGACTTTCTTAAGCAGGCATATAAGTGGATGAGGTAGCGGTAAAAAAAAAAAAAAAAAAAAAAAAAGGATAATAAAATGATAGGTTGACTTATGATCATTCACTCACTCACTTAAGTCATATCCATGCTCTTTCCAGTAGTATTATTTCAGAAAATAAGTACAAATTTTAAAACTCTCAAACAAAACTTTCAGGTCTTTTGATGGGTTATTTCAGGTATCATGGTGAATGAGGAATTTTTGTTACTCAACCAAATCACACATTTTATTTTTTACTTTTATTTTTCAATTACAGCCTATATGCAGTATTATTTTGTATCAGTTTTAGGGGTACAGCATAGTGGTTCGATAATCATATACTTTACAAAGTGATCCTCCTGATATTTCTTTTTTTAAATTTCTTTATTGATTAAGGTATCACATAATTATCCTCAATCCTCCTGATATTTCAAGAACCAACCTGGCTCCGTACATAGTTATTACAATATCAATTACTCTGTTCCCTATTCTGTTCTTCACATCCCTGTGACTATTTTGTAACTACCAAACTGTATGTCTTAATCCCTTCACCTTTTTTTATGCAGTCCCCCAACACCCCTCCCCTCTGGTAACCATCAGTCTGTTCTCTGTATCTATGAGTACTTCTATTTTGTTTATTCTTTTATGTTGTTCTTTAGATTCCACATATAAATGAAATCATATGGTATTTATTTTTCCCTGACTTATTTCACTTACCATTATACCTTCTAGGTCCATCTATAATGTCAAAAATTGGAAGATTGCATTCTTTTTTATGGTCCAGTAATATTCCATTATATGTATATACCACCACTTTTTATACACATGCTTATTGATGGGCACTTGGGCTGCTTCCATATCTTGGCTATTGTAAATAATGCTGCAGTGAACATAGGAGTGCTGCATATATTCTTTCTCCTTACTGTTTTGTTTTTGTTTGTTTGTTTGTCTGTTTTTTTCTTGTTTTCTTTTTTGTTTGTTTGTTTTTTAGATATATCCATACTTTAAAAATGGACATTGTAGAACCAGGAAAGCTCATTAGCTGGCCTTACATCACATAGCTGACTGGTAGCACAGCAGGGACTAGGACTTAGGTTTTTTTAATTCCAGCCTGGGTAAATTGACTACGTTGAGATTAGTCATCGGTTCCTTTACCTGGACCCATCTCTGTTTATGCCTAATGTCCTGGAATAGTTAGTAACAGCCCTGTCTTTGTCTTTCAGAAAAGTCCCAGACTGGTGATAAATGGTCACCTACTTCTATCACCACTGCTGTAATCCTGAAATAAGTCACTATCTTTGTTTTCCTAAAAAATTATAATTTAAGAAACATAGCCTTCTTGGATCATCCATTGTCTGATTTACACATTCTTCTTATTGCTGCAAGGGAATGTGGTTATGCAGACTCATAGATTCGGAGAGAACGGCTGATTTTGCAGAGGGGAGAGGTTGTTGGAGGGACAGCATGAAAAAGGTGAAGGGATTGAGAAGCACAAATTGGCATTACGGAACAGTCACAAGGGTGTAAAGTACAGCATAGGGAATCCAGTCGATAATATTGTAATAACTGTGTATGGTGCCAGGAGGGTGCTAGATACACCAAGGGGGACACTTCGTAAATAAAGTATATCGTTGTCTAATCTCTACCCTGTACACCCGAAACTATACAAAATAATATTGAATGTCATCTGCAATTGGAAAGTAAAATGTTTTTTAAAAACCACTACAAAAAAGAAGAAAAAGAATGTGTTTGTGGACACTCATACATAAAAATTATTTTTTGAAATATTAAGCTATTCGATTGCTGAAGCCAGTGGTCAGCAAACTGTGGCTCGTGAGCCCATGCGGCTCTTTGGCCCCCTTGAGTGTGGCTCTTCTACACAGTACCACGGCCTGGGCGAATCTATTTTGAAGAAGTGGCGTTAGAAGAAGTTTAAGTTTAAAAAATGTGGCTCTCAAAAGAAATTTCAACCTTTGTACTGTTGATATTAGGCTCTGTTGAGGAATGAGTTTGCCGACCACTGACTTAAGCTAATTAAAGCAACAACACATAATGTCATAAAATACTTTTATTAATGACACTTGTGATTTATTACCTTCTGGTGTTGTCTTTTTAGGATCCAGGCTAAAATCCCAGGCGCTAAAAGGCACGCTGAGTAAACTGACATCCCGCCGGGACTGGGCACAACAGAAATGTCTGAAGTGGTAACAGCTCTCTCCTTATGTGTTACGGCCAAGTCGGTTGTTTCTCCCTCCCAGTACCATAATCTTAGAGACAAACTTTGAAACAGCTGTTTTGAGGCTGTTCCTGTACTCTTAGGATATTTGAGTCACTTGTGTCAAGCACTAAAGTATAGAGAAAAGTGTATTAGATGTGGTTTTTAATTTCATGTTGCTTAAAAAAACGTGCATGATAGTGAGAGCCCAAGTTATCTTTCCTCCTTCAGTGTTCTCCTCCTCCTCCCCGCAATGCTTCTGTAGCTTCTCATGTTCCCGTGGCTAGGCCTTTCCCTCCAAGTGCACTGGCACAGTAGTGGAAATCGCTTTTATGTCCTTGGGCTGCTGGTTGGATTAATCTTTAATAACAATATTTAGAAGTGTAGACCGATGTTTTAGTGTTTTTTTCCAACACACACAACGTAAAAATAAAAACGGTTGGCTGTACTTAGGGTAATCAGTTTTGTATAACTTAAAATAATTCAATGAGTGAATAAATCCAAAAACAAAAGGCGGTACTTTTGTTGTGTGGGACTGACGGGCTGATTTACATGTATGGTAACTAAAAGAGTACCAGCATGTTAACTTTATTACAATTTGTATTACTTTCTCTGTAGTTCCTAATGGACTTAATTATGGACTCTGGATATTTGCACTTCTGTACTTGGTATTGAATGCATAAATAAATGTTACTAAATAAAAAAACTTCTCCCTCCCTCTCTTCTTGTGTCCTTACTAGAAAATGCAAAAGTTGTAAGAGACGAAATCTCCGGAGGATATATATGTTGGGAAGGGTGAGACCAAGTGTTCATTTTCCTCCTGTCTCCAGGACCCTATGGTCCAACTCCAACCTGGTATATAGCTACCTTGGGCTATTAATAGAAATCACAAAAAGTGGAAAAGACTCCATATTGTATTGTGTGGTTGACACAATATTTTAAGTAGTTTGTTTTTTTTAAAAAAATTGGAAGTGATATAAATTCTTCCATAAAATTCTTATAATATACAACACAACACTGGTATGAAACAGTTATAACTGCTACGAACTCAGTCTTTTTGGAATTATTTATTGAGCCCTGACATGTGTCAAGCACTGAGACTAGGACTGTGAAAGAGACTACAATTGCTGCCATCACCAAGATAAGTCTTCTAGCAATTGCTCACTTGTTGTCAAATGTCCAGCTGGACATTTTATTTCATTCTTAGAGTCCAAAGTCAAGGGTGACCAGGTAGAAGTGGATGCAAGCTGTAGCAGTTGGAGGAATAGAAGTAGTGGGAGTTACAAAAGCTGCCTTTGACCTGTACACAGGTTTCACAAGCACTTATGGAGATCACAGGGCAACTGGACACTGTGCCTATAGCCAAAATGGGGGAGGTGGGAGGTGGCTCTGTGGAAATGCTAACTAAATAAAAGGCAGCGTGGCCGAGACCGGTTTGGCTCAATAGATAGAGCATCGGCTTGGGGACTGAAAGGTCCCGGGTTCGATTCCGGTCAAGGGCATGTACCTAGGTTGTGGGCATATCCCCAGTAGGGGGTGTGCAAGAGGCAGCTGGTCAATGACTCTCTCATCGATGTTTCTAGCTCCCTATCTCTCTTCCTCTCTGTACAAAATCAATAAAATATGTTTAAAAAAATAAAAAATAAATAAATAAAAGGCAGCGTGAAATAGGAGTGACAGAGAAGGTGAGCTTTGGGACTGGGTCCTGATGTGGCTTTCTCCAGATAGAGAAGGGTCATTCCAGTATAAAGAAAGAACATGAACTAAGGTGCTAAGACATGGTAAAGCATGGCACACGCAGTGTGTAATAAGCTGAGTTAGGTTGTAAGGTGCTTGGGGTGGGGATGGTCGTGTCAGTTAAGGCTGCCGGGCTGGGTCAGCAGATCACACTAGAAGGAAATACCAAGGATCTGGTCTTTGTTCTTTAGATCTCAGAGTCACATAAACACATGGAGGGTGCCTGATACTAGAGATGAGAAGACTATAGGAAACAACTATAGCATAATGACAGCAAGCAGACGTCAACTGAGTAGGCCTCTCTAAAGTAGCCACAGAGAGAATAGAAAAGAGGTATCCACCTGTTCCTGCTCCTTTATACCAGCCAAACCTGCCATGCACCCACTATGCACAGAGGACTGGCTAAGAGATTACATGGAGGGAGATGAGACTGGTGCTGGTGATTGATTAGATACGGTGTTTCAACCAAGGTTGACCTGAGCGTTAGCACCTCCTAGGTACGCTAGGCAGCTTGCATGCCACGCCCTTGCTCACCTCTATCTAATACTAGCTGATCAGGAGAGTGCAATACCATTTTTGAGAATAGAAAGCCTAAAAGAGCTGGTTTGGGAAGGAAATCAATAAGCTTAGTTTGGTGCCTACTGTTTTTTATGGTTACTAGAAAGAGAAGAGGATTTTTTTTTTCATGTGTGTATTCCAGTCTCCAACCTTTAATATAAAATTTCTTCTACATGGCTCTGTTATGTAAAATTAATCTTCCCCGATATCTGCATTGGCAGCATTTTCCTGATGCCTATGGGCCCAGAATCCGTTGCATAAGCAGCTTCTCAGTAGGAGGAGCGTATGAGGCACTGCATTTGCTAACAGTGGTGAAGAAAATTTCCTGAGGACACTCCAGCCTTACAAAATGAGAGGTAAAGATGTAGAATTTTACCAAATGGAACACGGGAAGCATCTGTTAAGCTGATATTCAAGATGATAGATACCATGTAAGGAACCAGCGAACAGGTAAGAAGAGAATCAGGGCAGAGCTCCAGGGACCCAGAGTGAGTGAGGTTATTCTGAAAGCTGTGAACAGTAGAAAATTCTTATCAAAACAACTGAAATTTATTCTCTTACAGTTCTGGAAGCTGGCCAAAGTGCTGGCTAAGGCTATCCTCTCTACAATACCAAAGTGCTGGCTAAGGCTATCCTCTCTACAATAGCTCTCAGGGAGAATTCCTCCTTACCTCTTTCAGCTTTTGGTGGTTGCCAGCAACATGTGGTACATCACTTCAGGCACAGGGCCATCTTCTCCCCGTGTGCCTTCACATCCTCCGCCCTCTGTGTCCAATTTTCCCCATTTTATAAGGAACCAGTCATATCGGATCAGGGCCCACCCTAAGGACCTCACTTTAACTTAATTGCCTTAGTAAAAGACCGTATTTCCAAATAAGGTCACATTGTGAGATGCTGGGGTTTGGGATTTCAACATATCTTCTTTGTGGGGGACACAATTCAACCCATAACACCATCCTAGGGCTCACATTGACCCTCACATCCCTGTGAAGACTTCTTCCTATGTGGAGCCCAGATCTCTTTCTCCTTGTTTCCCGCTGTTAGGAGTCTCTGCTGAGAAGTAGTAGGACAGCTCCTCCCTTACCCTCATGCACTTGAGAATGGCCACATGCTGGGCTTTGCTTCACTATGGTACAGTGACTCTCGCCACATTGTCCTTGAATAGGGCATCTCTGAGAACCCAAACTTCAGCACTTTCTTCTGAGTGTAGAGAAGGAGGTGGGAGATGTGTATAGGGGTTCTTCAGCCACAACCAGCACAGCTAGAGAGTGAATGAGTCCTGAGTAAGGGTGACTGGGGATTGAGAAAAAGAGATAGACACGGGGACAGTGGGTAAAGCTGAGACCAGGTGGGACACTGCTCTCAGATGGAGAGACAGTGACCCAGAGCTAGTGCAGTGCATCTATTATATACAGCATGATACCAGGAAGTTTTACTAGAGTTTAAGACAAAGGAAATTATGTGAAATCATGCTTAAAGATCAAGCTGCAATTCTTCACTCTTGTGGCTTCTCATAACTGTCAAGCCTAGCTGGACCCTGATAATTGTATCTGCCCCTGGCACCTCGCTGAACTTAGATAATTACACCCAATCCCTGGCACCAGAGCTAAAGGTCAGGACTGACAACATCCCTGCCTTTGGCAAAGTATGTTTCCAGGACATGGCTTTGACAACACTGCTGGACTCAGCAAACGACCCTTTGCTCGGGTGCGCACCTGGCACTCTCTACAAATGTGAAAGAGCCACCATTAGTGTCCTAGTGTTAACCAATGTGACAGTGGTTAGATTTGGAATAACCAAGCTTTGCCTTCAGACTACAAACCTGCTTCTCTAGTTAGTGCTTTGTATAAGTATTATCCTTGAGCTCCTCAATATGATTTTTTTTTCTAATTTATCTTTAGTTCAATACAGGCAATATTACAGAATTAATTTGGCTGGCCACATTTTCTTCAATAATTAAATATAATTGCTTTTATCCTGAGTCACAGCCTTATAAAATAATCCTGCTAGAATTACTTGTCTCTGGTACCTCCCTACTATATTAAAAAGAGTGTTTCAAGTAGAAATGAAAGGACACTTGTTGGCGAAGTTGATTTTAAGACAAAGATTGTCTTTAGAAACAAAGACAGCCATTACATAATGATAAAAGGGTCAATTTAACATGAAGATACAATTGTAAATACAATGCACCCAATATCAGTATATAAAATAAATATTGACAGATCTAAAAGGAGAAAGAGAAAGCAATACAATAAGTGAAAGATTTCAACAATTCCCCATTCAATAATGTATAGAACATCCAGACAGAAAGATCAATAAAGAAAGAATGGACTTGGGCAAACCTATAGACCAAATGTATTATATTTGAAAGACATACACAGAACTTTTCACCCAACAGAAGAATACATATTCTCAAGTGCACATGGAACAGTCTCTGTGACAGATCACATGTAAGGCCTCAAGACAAGTCCTAACAAATTTGAAAAGATAGTAATTATACCATGTATCTTTTCTGAGCACAATGGAATGAAAGTAGAAATGAGTAAAGGCAAGAAAATGGGGCAATTTGCCGAATCCGGTTTGGCTCAGTGGATAGAGCGTCAGCCTGCGGACTGAAGAGTCCTAGGTTTGATTCCGGTCAAGGGCATGTACATTGGTTTCGGGCACATCCCCAGTAGGGGGCGTGCAAGAAGCAGCTGATTGATTACTCTCATCAATGCTTCTAGCTCTCTATTCCTCTCCCTTCCTCTCTGTAAAAAATCAATAAAATATTTTTTTTTAAAAGAAAATGGGGAAATTCATATATACATGGAAAATAAGTAATACTCTTGAACAATTATTGGGTCATAGAGGAAATCAAAAGGGGATTTAAAATATACCTCAAGCCTGGCCAGTGTAGCTCACTGGTTGAGTGTTGGTGGATCCATGAACGAGGAGGTCACTGCACGGTTCTTAGGGCATATGCCCAGGAAGCAGGCTGGATCCCGAATGGGAGGTCTACAGGAGACAACCAATCTATGGATCTCTCTTATTATTGACTAGTGGCCCAGTGCACAAAATTCGTTCGTGTGAAGCAGGGAGTGTCCCTCAGCCCCGCCTACACCCTCTCCAATCTGAGACCCTTCCAAGAATGTCCTAGTGCTGGTTTACAGGGATGGGGCCAAAACCGGCAGTCAGACATCCCTCTCACAATCCGGGACTGCTAGCTCCTAACCACTCACCTGCCTGCCTGATTGCCCCTAACCACTCTGCATACTGGCCTGCTTGCCCCCAACTGCACGTCCCCCCATCCCCCCGCTCCCGCTGCCGGCCTGCTCACCTTCAAATGCCCCTTCCCCACTAGCCTGATCACCCCCAACTGCCCCCCATGCCAGGGTGCTTGCCCCCAACTGCCCCCCCCCTGGCCTGCTCACCCCCACCACCCCTCCCCATTGGCCTGCTCACCCCCAACTGCCCCCCTGCTGGCCTGTTCACTCCAAACTGCCCTCCCCCTGCTGTCCTGATCACCTCCAACTGACCCCCATTGATGGTCTGCTCACTCCCACTAACCTCCCTGCTGGTCTGCTTACCCCTAATGGCCCCACCCCCCACCAGCCTGATAGCCCACAACTGCCTCCCCACTTAGCCTCTAATTGCCTCTTCCTCAGGCCCGCCACCATTTCTTTGTCCAAAAGAACATCCAGAAAGTCTGGATTGTCTTCCAGTATAATTAGCATATTACCCTTTTGTTAGTATAGATAGAGGCCTGGTGCATGGGTGGGGGTCCCCTGACTTGCCCTGAAGGATGTCCTGGATCAGAGTGGGGTGTCCTGCTGGGGTGCCTGGCCAGCCTGGGTGAGGGGCTGATGGCTGTTTGCATACTGGTCAAGCCCCCCAGCGGGGACCCTCACCCCATGGGGGTGTGGCCAGCCTGGGTGAGGGGCTGAGAACTGTTTTCAGGCTGGCTATGCCCCTGGCAAGCCAAGCTCCCAGCCCCTCCTTTTTTCTTTTTCTTTTTTTTCAGTGCTTCCTTGAGTGGAAGCAGGTATCTGGGATTTATTTATCTTCTATAATGGAAACTTTGTAATCTTGAGCAGGGGCCATAGCCGGCCAGGGTGGGTGGGAAGCTTGACTTCCTCCATAATCAGGGGCAACCCAAGCCTCCTGCTCGCTCCAGATCCGTGGCTGCCGCCATCTTTGTTGGATTAATTTGCATACTGGTGGGTGTAGCAGAGTAATGGTTAATTTGCATGTTTCTCTTTTATTAGTGTAGATGTTTCTATCTCTCACTTTCCCTCTCATTTCCTTTCTGAAATACATAAAAACATCTTATTAAATAAAAAAATAGATATACATCAAGACAAATGAAAATAAAAACACAAATTACCAAAACATATAGGACACAGCAAAAGCAGTATTAAGAAAAGTTTATAAGGAAAATGTCTAAACTAAAAAAGAAAAAATATCTCAAATAAACAGCCTAATTGTACACATAAAGAAACTAGAAAAGAATAATGAACTAAACCCCAAGTTAGCAGAAGGAAAGAAATAATAAATATTAGCCGAAACCGGTTTGGCTCAGCGGTAGAGCGTCCGTCTGCGGACTGAAAGGTCCCAGGTTCGATTCCGACCAGGGGCATGTACGTTGGTTGCGGGCACATCCCCAGTAGGGGGTGTGCAGGAGGCAGCTGGTCGATGATTCTCTCTCATCGATGTTTCTAGCTCTCTATCCCTCTCTCTTCCTCTCTGTGAAAAATTAATAAAATATATTTAAAAAAAGAAATAATAAATATTAGAATAAAAATAATTCATATAAGGAATAGAAAAACAATAAAAATATAAAAAATTGAGTTAATTAAAAAATAAAAATGACAAAACTTTAGAAAGACAAAAAGAGAAAAGAAGACAAAAATTTTAAAAATATTTTTATTGATTTTGGAGAGAAAGGGAGAGAGAAAGAGATGACAGAGAATCATTGATTAGCTGCCTCCTGCATTCTCCACACTGGGGATGTATCCTGCAATCTGGGTACCCAGGAATGGAAACTGTGACCTCCTGGTCCATAGATCTATGCTCAACCACTGTGCCATTTCTCTTGGCAAAGGCAAAGGTTTTTACATCAAATGGAGAGCTTAATTCGCGCAGTGATCTTTACTGAATCATCTTCAGATGAATCATCTAAAACACTTTGTAAAAATAAGAACTAAATAAATTAAAAATAAGAATATTGCTACTTTAAGATCACGAGTGTTTGAAATGTCTGTATAAATACTAAGTGAGCATGAACCATGATCACTGGTACCTTTTTAGGATGCCACTTAATAATAAAAATAAATAAGACATTTATGCTAAATATGGGTTGTCTGTTTCAGGCCCAATTTAATTTCTGATTACTCTGCAAGATGGTTCCTTGAAAAGAATCATAATGCTGGTAATTGATAATGATATTCTACTCTTCCGTACTGTTAACCTTAGGCAGAAATAAACTGATTACCAAGCAGCTGCCAGCAGGGAGCCCCTTAATCTGTTCTCAACTTCCTACTCAGAGCAACATTGCCTGCAGCAGCAAAGTCCAAACTCCTGCTTTGGGAATTCAAGGCTCCACAGGAAATTCGCGGCCTGGACTTCAGGCTGGGCTCCTGCACCCCATACTCCGCAGCCACGCCTCAGTGCCTGGCTGTCCAGTGCCTGGTAGCAGTCACAGGGCAGCGCTGGCAGACCCGGGGTGGGAAAACTGCCAATTCTCCGGGCCGGGCCGCGGTTATTGCCTCGCTCACCTCAGTAAGAGTTTCTGAAAAATAGGATAACCATACTAATCTCCCTGAAGCCTTAAGATAAAGACTAACTAGGTCACGGGAGCAGTTACAAAACGGACATTGTCTCAAACCACAAAAAGCCTTGCAGGTGTGTAACTACCTAAAATTAAAGTAGCACCTGTGTGTGCAAGAACCTGCCTCCCAAAGCCATTGGGAGAATGAAGCTCCTCCGGCAGTGCCTGACACAGAGCCCCGCACAAACAGGATCCTTATGGATTGCCAAGGTCCGCGAGGGCTGAACTAAAGGCTTGGAGCTGGAGAGAAGGGCCGATCCAGAGGGTTCCTTCCGGTGTCGCTTAATTGTTGTGAATAAAGCGAGAGGCGCGCGGAGGGCCACAGCTGGTGCGCCTGCGTGGGCGTCCTCGTTGCCGTGGCAACGGGCGTGCGTCCTCACCTCTGGTCAAGTAGGCGACGCGGGAGCCAGCAGCACCATGGCGCTCCGCTCCTGGTCTCCGGAGCTGGGGTTCAGCGACAAGCAGAAGCAGGTCGCGGTCTCCACCGGCCCCTCCCTGGATTTAAGCACCTACCCCTCCACGCTGGGCTCCACACTCGCGACCGCAGTGCTGGAGGAGCTCCTTATTGTGGGTGAGAGGCCCTCGGGCGCTGGGGGGGTGGGGGGAGGGTCCTCGGAGAGAGGGGGTGCTCAGCTTAGCAGGAATCTTCAGGGGGACCCGCCTCCGGGACCCAGCGCCTCCCTGGCTTGAGCAGAGCCTTCTCTGGTCCTAGGGTTAGAGAGAGGCGACAGGGTGGGACTCAGGACTGTGACTTGGCCCAACTCACACCAGTAACTGGTGACAAATCCCAGAATCCCAGGCCTTTGCCATTTATCTGCAGCTGGAGTGCCCACCTGCATTTAGATGGTGCATTCTGCTTTTACCTTTTCCCTTCCTGACTTTCCAAGTTAATTTCCTCCAACATTATGCCATGGCAAACTGGACAATTTTACAGGCAAACAAGAAAGCATCTCCTTGCCTAATACGACAGGAGAGTTTAAGAAGCTCTTGTCGTATTCGGCAGGGGATATTAGAGAAGGGTGCTATGGAGATGAAGTGGATAATAACCTTGGGTGGGGCCCTGTTAAAATACTTCTTCACTTAAGAAGCTGAACCTGTAATCAAGTCACATAAGCTTAAGGTATGACAGTCCAAGGAAGGGTGTCTTGTTGAGCTCAGAAACCATTTATACCAAACAACAAAGCATCTGCTCGATTTACCCTAATAACCTCCGTGTTTCCAGATAACTATGCTGATATCTATCATGATGCTACTCGGATTGGGATAGTTTCTTTTATCCTTCTTAGATGAATGAATTTAACGTCACCATTCTTACAAGCTTTTGAGGAGTATTTTCGTATCCAAAGTCATCTAGATTGGCATATCCATTCACTGACAAGTATTTTTTCTGCTAATAATTTTTGGACCTTCAGAAAGTTTTTCTTAGGAAGAACTTAATTGAACCTCTTGTCCTTGGTGTGAGTTATAAAATATGTATGGTAGTAGCTCTCCAACTCTTTCCAAGTGGGATCAAGCTCTTGGGTTCATTCATTCCTTAGAACAGTGGCCCGCAAACTGTTAGTCAGTAGAGCCAAATTAGTCAGTAGAGCCAAATATAAACAGTACAACGGTTGAAATTTCTTTTGAGAGCCAAATTTTTTAAACTTAAACTTCTTCTAACGCCACTTCTTCAAAATAGACTCGCCCAGGCCGTGGTATTTTGTGGAAGAGCCACGTTCAAGGGGCCAAAGAGCCGCGTGTGGCTCTTGAGCCGCAGTTTGCGATCACTGCCTTGGAAGAAAGAAAAGGAAATAGCAGGCAATGCCCATCCCTCTCTAATGCACACTTGTTTGCAAACTCCATAACTGATTTTCACTTGGTTTGAGAGCTTCTTTCATTCAGAGAACTCCAGTTCCCTGGAAGTGAGGGCAGAAATTGGTATTTACTTTTCTGAAAGTTAAATGGAGCTCTTTAGGGTATGGGACCTGTAGTCACACCACATGCATTTGAATCCAGACTCTATCCGTGATGGGCTCTGTGATCTTGATCATGTGACATGGCCTCAACGCCTTCGATTTCTTTTTTTCTTTCTTTTTTTTTTTTAATATATTTTATTGATTTTGTACAGAGAGGAAGGGAGAGAGATAGAGAGCTAGAAACATCGATGAGAGAGAGAGTTATCGACCAGCTGCCTCTTGCACACCCCCTACTGGGGATATGCCCGCAACCAAGGTACATGCCCTTGACCGGAATCGAACCTGGGACCTTTCAGTCCGACGCTCTATCCATTGAGCCAAACCGGTCTCGGCAACGCCTTCGATTTCTTACCTGTGAGATAGGAATCTTAAGTTTACAAGAGTCAACTTAGATTGTTATACAGTTAATCAAATGTGTGTTTTGGGCAAAATACTACCATATATGAAAGCATTCCTATACAAACCTACATTATAGGCTTGTTATATTTTCACTTGGTTTGAGAACTTATTTCATTCAGAGAACTCGAATGAAATAAGTTCAGATTGTTGAATTTCTTGTCCTATGCTATAAACATAGGACAAGAAATTTTTGTTGAATAAATGTTTGTTGAATTTCTTGTCCTGTGCTATAAACATCCTCTTTTTTTTTTTACCATGAGATGCAAAGATGGACTCAATGAGCATAAAATATATCCCTAAATTAGAGTAGAATGAAATAGAAAATAACAAGTATCGATACAAGAGAGATTTATATAAAGTACAACAGAAATTCAGAGATAGAAGATGTAATTTCCAGCTGAGTAAACATTTGAGCCAGATCTTAAAGGGTTAACTAGGATTTGAACGGATAAATAAGAGATCTTAATTTTCTATTTTTTTTTTTTTTTAGAAAAATCACTGAAAAGTGGCTATTTTAAATGCAATGAAGAAGCTAAGATCTTTCTCAAGGACATCAGTATAGCTGTCAAGAGATTGGTACTGTATTATCTATAAGAGTTCCCCCCCCCCCAATCTTCCACTTACTTCTTCATCAAACTTTAATTTAGCACCAACTCTGTCCAAGATATTTCAATAGATACGGTAAAAATTATCAAAAAAATTTTTCCTCTCAATTTACTAAGCATTTTAACCAGTGTTGCTCAGAGGTGGACTATTGCCTGATTTTCCACGCAGAATGCTTAATTCAGACCTGTGCAGCAGAAGATATTAATGAAAATTACATTTTGACCTTTAAAACACTTATAGGGCATTGTTTAGGAGATAGAGTTTATTGTTTTAATATGTAATTTCAATCTTTAGGAAGAATTGAGAAAAGGTACAATTGAACTTCTGGAAATCGAAAGCATGGAACTCAGTAGACTATATTTTCTATTGGAAACTCTTCCTGATAACATTAACACAGAAATGGAAGGTATTTTGAAAGTGACTTGGTAAAGATGAAGGGATTAGCAAAAGAACACGTATGTATTCTCCATGGACACGGATGATAGTGTGATGAAGACTGAGGCAGGGGGGGTAAGGGGTAGAGGTGGGCAAAAGCGGGGGGTGGGGTGGGGGGGGCGTAATGGGGGACACCTGCAATAATATCAACATTAAATACTTTTCATTAAAAAAAAGAAAATAGAGCAAAGTTCTTATAAAAAGATGAGTTTAATTTATGGTTAAATAAGTTTAGCTTAGTTATTTCATCTCAAAATATAGGTAGGAAGAATGCATGACACAGACACAGTGAAATGCATATTTTTCCTGGCATTTGAAGTGGAAATCATATATAGATATGTTTGTGTGTGTGTGTGTGTGTATAAATTATATATATATATATAAAATTTATATAATTTAGTTTATAAACACACTAAAAATACATAGGTCAGCCCATTCCAAATTGATATTTATCCAACTAAATTAGGCAGCTTGACTGGCCTAAATCACCAGTTTTCTATGAGTTTGACTACTATAGGTACCTCATATAAGTGGAATCACACAATATTTGTCCTTTTGTGACTCTTATTTCACTTGGCATAATGCCTTAAAGGTTCATCCATGTTGTAGCATGTGTAAGAATTCCTTCTTTTTAAAGACTGAACAATATTCCTGAGGAAATAAGGGAATGTGTGGGTGTGTGTGTGATATATATATATAATATTCATCCATTCACCAGTGGACCCTTGGGTTTTCCCTTTTGGCTATTTGAATAATGCGCAGCTTCCCCAGCACCCTTGGGTAGTTTTCAGTGAGTTCGAAAGTATGGCACCTCCCTTGGACAGATTCCCCCAACACCTCAGAAGCCAGATTGCCAGCCCCGTATTTCATTAACATCTTTGAGCCATGCAATGAGCCAAGCCACCTCCAGTGAGGTCTAGATCTCAGGTGTGAGGTGCTGCTTCTCCTAGGGCAGTGGTCGGTAAACTGTGGCTAGTGAGCCACATCCAGCTCGCGAGCCTCAGTTTGCCGCTCTGTGACTAATGAGTTTGCTGACCACTGGACTAGACTAAATGTTACCATGTAGTTGGAAGATGTGAGGATTAGGCAATTGTGGCATATTATGTGCAAAGAGATAAAGAGTAGTATATGAGAGTGGTCAGTAAACTCATTAGTCAGCAAAGTGGCAAACCACAGCTTGCAAGCCGCGGTTTGCTGACCACTGTCCTAGGGCATTCCATCTCAGCCCTGGGCATGGTGGCTGTTTCTTATGCCTACTGCTCTTGAATTCTTTAGAGTTCTCTTTATTTTCCCTCATTACTCTAATCCTGTTATAGTCAACTAAAGGCCTGGTGCATGAAAATTTATGCACTGGTGGGGGGATCCTTAGCCCAGCCTGCCCCCTCTCACAGTCTGGGAGCCCTCAAGGGCAGGAGGGGACCTGGCAATCAGGGAAAGGCAATGCCCCATCACACATCTGCTGCTACCACTGCCAGCAGTGCAAGCCTTGGCCAGCCCTGGTTACCTGAGCCTTGGGCGATGCTGCGTGGCTGGGCAGCCACCATCCAAGGCTTGCCTGCACCTCAGGCTGGTCCTGGGCAGCTGGGGGGTCTTAGGGGACTGGACTTGTGGCTGTGGGTGCCTCCATCTTTAAGGGCATTATAGTCAATTAGCATATTCCCTCCTTATTGGCTGTGGGTACCACCATTTTTGAGGGCAGGGCAGTCAATTAGCATATTCCCTCCTCAAAGGTGAGCACCATCACCTTTGACGGCAGGGTAGTCAAGTAGCATATTCCCTCTTTATTAGATAGGATAATTTTATATCAACTTATATTGATATTCCTGTGACCTATTTGGACCCTGAGTGATACAGTTGTTTATAAAACAACATGCACAATGTTAGTCTAAGTTGGCAGGGAAAATACAACAAACTGTATATGCAGAGAAGAATCATGCTTGTAAAAAATCCTCACCAAAGGCAAAATTGAGTGTTTTTGTTTTATTTTCTTTGGTTGCTTTTTTATTTTCTAGGTTGAGTTTTATAATCAGGAAATAAATATTTTAGAAGAAAAAAAATACCATATGAGCTTATAAGATCCTTGATACTTGCTGACTACTTGCTGGTCTTATGAATCAAGCTTTGCTACTCAAAAGATGGTTCTTGGATCAGCACCATCAGTATCTCCTGAGAGCCTGTTACAAAATACAGTCTCTGTGCTCATCCCATACTTGCTATATTAGAACCTATATTTCAACAAGATCCCCAGGTGTTGCATGTGCAGATGTAAGACAGTTTGAGAAGTTCTGCTACGATGAACAATTGAACTAGTAACCTAGAAAAAATAACCCAACTCTCTCAGGGAAGGTAGCCGTTCATTTCTAGGAAATTTCATGTGTAAAAATGGGTCATCCGTGACTTTGCAAAACAACAGTATTCAAAATTCATGCATTGTTACCACCTGTCTGTCATGCACTGAGGTAGTCTTCTGAAGTCTCACGTGATTACACTGATTTGTTATTTACTGGTGAATAATTAATGTATGTTTTTAACACACTGGGTACCCTGGACAATAGAACCAGAGGCATTGACTTTTGAACCATCATTTTATTAGTCAGTACAATTCAAGGAGGGAGAGGGGTAAGGAGACTGAAGTGGGGAGAGCTAATATGGGGAACAATATGATGTTGACTTTTGTCAAATGCAACTATTAAAGTAGGAGAACATGCCCCTAAGATAAGGTGACCAGACGTCCCGCTTTTGGCGGGACAGTCCCGATTTTTAACAATTTGTCCCGCGTCCCTCAGTGTTTTTAAAAAGTCCTGATTTTTGGAAAGAATCTTAAAACGCCACAGGACGTGGGACAAATTGTTAAAAATCGGGACTGTCCCACCAAAAGTGGGACGTCTGGTCAGTCAGCTTACCCTAAGAACACAGTTACCTCTTCTCAGGACTATCTAGGTGCTAGTAGGCTCCTGTTGATCGCTGGTCCAATGTTTTGCCCCACCTCCTGCATGGGTGTGGGTATCTAAAGAAGTTCTTCATCAGGGCACATACCTGGGTTGTGGGCTCATCCCTATGCAGGAGACAGCCCATCTATGTTTCTCTCTCATTAATATTTCTGTCTCTCCATCTCTCTCTCAAATAAATAAAAGCATATTTTAAAATTTTTAAAAAATGTCCCATGATAAGAGGCAACAGGGAAGTGCCAGGCAGAAGGTAAGATGGAAAAAGCAGGCATTGAGTACTGTCAGATGCTCCAGTCTCAAGTTGCTCAGAGCCCATAGAAAGCTGGTCACCGTAGCAGCAGCTGAAATAAGGGAAATAATTGATAGATAAGAATGAGAGGGTCCCAAGGGGCAAAGAAGAGGTGATGTGATACAGGAACACAATTTAAAGAATATTTCAAAGAAAGGCAATTTGTCCATGATTTGAAAAGCTAGTATCTACCACTGTGCTGTTTCTCAAATAACAGTAAACATTTCCACTTACTTTTAAGAATTTGTCATCGCTGCTCGCAAATTAAACATTCTTGAGATGAAACAATTACGGCTAAAAATTGCAAACTTAAATCATGAAATAGAGTTTCTGGAGACGAAAATGGCTGATTTGAAAGAACTTAATAAAGATCTGGGGTAGGTACTTCTGTTCAATACCTGAGGGGGTTGAGGTCTGGGGCCAGAGTGGGAAGATTGTCCAAGGGCTTTGTCCTCTGACCCAAAGGTGCAGGGCAAGAGAAGAAGTGGAAATCCCTTATAGAAGATGACTTGGGCTGATGAGGGTGTGTGACGGCTGCAGAGACCTGGGAAAGAGGGCAGGAAATCTTCAACCCCTACAGTCAGGCGACCTATAAAATTTTGGAGGCCATCCAGCGCCTAAGCAGCAGCTGCTGAATGTAAATCCCACAGTGCCTTGCACACCGCCCCCACATAGTTTCCATTTCAGTAAAATTAAATTTACAAATTTCACCCACTAAAGGAAGAAAGCTCACTGGGTGTAAATATAGCATCAAGCCAGATAGATTGTAGCTAGTTTTGTTCCTTGAAGATAGTCAATCATAATGCAAGACTGGATTATGTTCCCAAGAGAGGACCTGACACCTGTTAGTCTCTTCCCTTTATTCCTAGCTGTGTTGCCAGCACTTCGCCCCTGGGGGGCCTCATTTTCTCCATCTGTTAAGTGGGGGTTACAAATCTCAATTTACCCATCTCATGGAGGAAGAGAGATATTCTGAAAGAAAAAGCAAATAAACCTCTGAAGAACAACTCAGTACTGTGAGCAAATTTGCAAGACTAATGTGTCAATATTAGAAGGTCAGTTTGTCAAAATGAGTAGTTTTCCAAGAGCCCTCATCATAGGAGGAAATCCTCTTGGGAAGCTAAAATAATCAGAGGATTGCTTGGTGCACAAGATTTCAAAGCATGAGGAATAAGGTGGAGATCTCAAGGCTCAGGGACTCCTTTCCGGAAGTAGGCTCTCAGAACTCCTGTCCCGGGACATGCTCCAGGAAAAAGAAAGTCCGTCATCACATAGGTTTGAGAAATACTCATTCTTCAACCCCAGTTGGAGCTTCCCAATGCAGGTTTGTATGCGGCGCATGCTAGCCACGATTGCCAGAGACTGCCACATAGACTAGACCGGTAGTCAGCAAACTGGCTCATGAGCTACATGCAGCTCTTTGGCCCCTGGAGTGTGGCTCTTCCACAAAATACCACGGCCTGGGCGAGTCTATTTTGAAGAAGTGGCATTAGAAGAAGTTTAAGTGTAAAAAAATGTGGCTCTCCAAAGAAATTTCAGCCATTGTACTGTTAATATTTGGCTCTGTGGACTAATGAGTTTGCCCACCACTGGACTAGACTGTCCATTTCCAAGCGGCAATTCTCCTATCAGCTGGCCAGCAACCATCCCATCCCTACAGACCGGTGACTCCCAAACGTCATTGTGCATCAGAATCCCCTGGGGTTCTTGTGAAAACGCACATTGCTGGGGACACCCACCCCCTGAACTTCTGACTTGGAGGTGGAGGTGAGGGTGAGAACTTGAACGTCTGGTAACGTTGCCGCTGCGGGGAGGTCCTGACCACATCTTGAGAATCCCTGCTGTAGAGAAATCCTTGTGGTAAGGCAACTTACAAACATAACGTGGGTTGCTTGATGATAGGGTTCTATCAAGCTACAATTGTGTGTTGCTCCCCTTTTTCAAAGAATAAAAATAATTTCTAAATTATTTCTAAAATAATTTCTAAATCCTCTCCTGGACAGTTCTGGCCAGCCAGGTCCCTGCACGCTCTCTGATTTGCTTTCCTTAGGCTGCACGGCAGGTTTCTGAGGGCTGGCTTTTCTGCCCGCCCCAGTGCTCCCAGTTAAGGTTTTTCATTTGACTTGTTTTGCTTCACTCTGTCTCTCTGAGGCTACTTGATCCCTAGTTGGATTCATTCTTAGAAACCTTCCTCTCCTAGACCACAAAGCACGCAGGATTTGACTCCCTCTAGCCTGGGCTTCCGTCTACTGCATTTATGTGGTGGAGTTGACCTCTGGAAATTGAACTTACCAACAATCCGTTTCCATTTTCCTGAACCTTTGCACACAACCACCTGAACTAAAATCTTTAGTCCTGGGAACTGGAAAAAAAAAAAAAAAAAAAAAAAGGTTTGTACATTGCAGGAGCTGTTTAAAAAGGAAAATACAGAAATGTTATCAGACAGGGACCTGGCCCGAGAGGGGTCTGCCTAGGGCTGGCCAGTAGTGTGTGTGTTTCTGACTTTGTGCAAGAAAGATTTCGCAGCACAAGTGCAGGTGACCATGAGGGTATGTTTATCAAAGCTGGGGACAGTGGAATAAGGGCTTAGCATAGAAGCAGCAACAGAGCCTCGGCCGAGCTGCTTTGGTTGACTGGGAAGTCAGAGAAAAGGGGGCCTTGGAGACAGGTTCAGAGGGTTAGTCTAGCCCAGGTGAGAGCTGCCACTGCCATTGCTCTCCCCCCAAACCCCACCCCCTTCCTCCATCCCTGCACCATTTGCAAGTCTCATGTGGTTCCTTAGGATTTAGGACAGTGGTTGGCAAACTCATTAGTCAACAGAGCCAGGTATCAACAGTACAACGATTGAAATCCCTTTTGAGAGCCAAATTTTGTCAACTTAAACTTCTTCTAACGCCACTTCTTCAAAATAGACTTGCCCAGGCCGTGGTATTTTGTGGGAGAGCCACACTCAAGGGGCCAAAGAGCTGCATGTGGCTCGCGAGCCGCAGTTTGCCGACCATGGGTTTAGGAGATGCAGGCCTGTGGGGGAAGAGGAGGAGGAAGGGGAAGGCATGGATGCGCTCCCAGGAGAGCATGCAGACAGGGTCCTTTGTCTCCAGGGTTTTCATCTCCTTTGCAGGCAGGAATCTTGGGGGAGGTCTCAGTGAGTGGCTTCAGCAGAAGGTTGATCCGTTTTCAGGAGTGCTCTTCCAGGGTCGAGGTCTCTCCCGATAGGGCGTGGTTAGTCACTGCGAAAGACCTTGGCAGCATCCACATGGTTTTGCTGCTTTTCTGGGCCTGGAGCTGAAATACAACCAAGGGCTGGCTGCTATCTCCGAAGAGGTGACCTTGTGTGTCTGGCTGTACGTTTCTTAGTCAGCTTATTCAACTACCTGTCTCAGTTTCCCGATTGCACTGGTCCTGGCTTACTGGCCTGTCTCAGAAATTGTGGCAGTTATTCCTTCTACATCTTTTACGGTTAGCCCTGGGGTAGAGGTTTCTAGCAGTACTAAGGTCTTCCTCCATTGAATGTGACCAACTGACACGTGGAGGGATTGTCTCCTTTTGAACTCGGTTTTGGCTGCAGCTGAAGGTAAGAGGGCTCACATTAGGTTTCAAGCCATCCCCTGAACAGAGAAGAGGGACCCGCTCCTCGCCTGACTCCTGTCCATCGGAGGGAGGCAGGCTTTCTCCTGGGGCCTCCGTAGGGCCATGGCATCAAAGGCGGCCGGTGGGGTGGTGGAATGTTTATATTTCTTTGATTTAACTACAGATCTCGGGATGATCGGGTAGATAATGGCCGTGCTACGTAGCAAACCATTTGGCCAGGTTTTATTTACTTGCTCCAAACTGTTTTTGAGTCACAGCATATTTTGATCCCAAATATCCCATAGACACTCCCTGCCATGTGGGGATGGCTGTGGTGAGGCAGGACCAGGTGATGTTTTTCTCAGTGAATAGTTACAAGGCGAACACTTGTGTACCTCGTCTCAACCACGTTTAGGCGATTACAGACACAATTCTCAAATCAGTATGCTGTACAATTTCCCCCTTTATGGTGGTTGAACTCACCAAATAGACTTTAAGTTCCTTTCCTAAAAGCCATACTTTTCATGTCATGAATAATTTTTTTTTTTCTCTCCTAGTGAACAGCAAGAGAATCTGGGAAAGCAGCATGAAAAGCTTGTTGTCTTACTCAACCACGCGATGGAAAGAAAGGCCATGACCATTATTTATATCAACGAGACTTATACAAAAATAAACGTGGAAAAAGAAGAAATAGGACAGATAAAGAAGCATATTCAAGCTATAGAGGAGATAATAGACAAAGAAAGAGAAGAATATTTGAAGGAGAAAAGGAAGTTGAGTATCCAGGTAAGTGGCATGGCTTATTTTATTTTTTTTAAATACATTTTATTGATTTTTCACAGAGAGGAAGGGAGAGGGATAGTTAGAAACATCAACGAGAGAGAATCATCAACCAGCTGCCTCCTGGGGATGTGGCTCACAACCAATGTACATGCCTTTGACCGGAATCGAATCTGGGACCTTTCAGTCCGCAGACCGACGCTCTATCCACTGAGCCAAACCGGTTTCGGCATGGCTTATTTTTTATAGTACAGAATTGCCCAGCGTCTCAAGCATGAAACGGGGAATAATTTATCTGTCCTCAGGGCTAGCTAGTGCTCCTGCGCTGTCTTTCATGAACACGGGGATGGGCAGTAGAGGAGAGATCCTCAGAGTTGAGGAGATGCATACCTGTGGGAGGAGAATGGGAAGGGAAAGGTGTGGACATGTCCCCCGGAGGAAGAGCACAGGCACTGGTCCTTTGTCTTGGGGGTTTATCCCGTTTGCAGGTGGGAACCTTAGGGGAGCCCCTTGGGGAAGACAGCTAATGGTATAGCAGCATCTCAGTTCATGAGAAAGAATATGAGTGGCAAGGTTTGTATCACTGGGGCAGCCTCTGCTCCTAGGCAGCCCCATGGGGACCAGGAATTTGCTCCCATGTCATTTGGTTGCCTTTGGCTGAGCCTCTGTGGCAGGACTAGGAAGTTCAGCCCTGCCCCAACCTGCTGCACCTGCTGAATGAGGGGGTGGGGGGAAGAGAAGGGAGGAGAGGGGAGGAGAGAGGGGGGAGGGGAGGGGAGAAGAGAGGAGAAAGGAGAGAGAGAGAGAGAGAGAGAGAGAGAGAGAGAGAGAGAGAGAGAGAGAGAGAGAGAGAAGGAGAGAGTGCTCTTTGTCTCCTGGGATTATAACCAGGAGCTTGTTCAAAATAACCAGTTAGCTTCCTAAGGTTTCAAGGGTTTCTGCTGAGTCCAGTGATGGCTTTCACAGGTTAGACTGACAGGCCTCTAGGGTCAGGCACCTTCTCGGCACCATTTTGACCTTACTGAGCATGCCCGCATCTCTCCCTGCTCCACGCACAATGGGGTCCTCCTTTGGGGAAGAGAAGGGTGTTGACGCCCTGGGAGGGGCGGGCAGTGCTGCGATTCGCTGGGGTGTGAAGCTGAAGCTTCCTGGTGAAGCAAACGGTCCCCACTACCCAGCCGAATGTGCTCTACCGTGTCTGACATCCTTGGCTTCCGTGCCCATCAGGAAGCAGCTAGCGGCGGTAACACTGTGTCTTTCAGGAATAGTTTTACACTGAAACCATGGATTGTCCTTTCTGAATATCGATAGGGTAGCTCAGGCTTACGTCATCCTTGGAATGGGCTCTGTGAAGGAGCCGGCAAGAAGTCCCCTGGGCCCTCTGCAGCCACTGAACTGAGTTCGTAAAAGCCCAGCTCCCAGGACCTTAGCGGGGCTGCAGCCGCGGGCAGCCTTGACCGCAGTGCTGGAGTCAGCTGACATCCCTGTCTCAGACACACACAGCCAGGGCCTCCGTCCCTGGGCGAGAACCCAGTGAGTCGTTACTATCACCAGGAAATGGGGGTTTCAGGACAACAAGGACCAAAAGGCGTTTTGCTCTTTTCGTGCCGCATTGACAGGGATGCTGAGCAGCCCAGCCCCCCTCTTCCTCTCTCTCAGCCCCCAAGCCCCGAAGTGGAGCGGCTCGCTTAAGTCACAGGGGCCACACGTGGGGTGTGTCTGTGTCCGCACAGCTGGGTCAGGGGTGAGGAGTGGGGAGCCTGTCCCCTTTCTTTACTTTCCCTGGGACTTGATTGGTCCTGCAGCGGTGGCATCGGATGTGCAGGTCAGTGCTTTGTCCCTCAGAAGGCTCCAGGACGGGGATTCTGTCTGAGTCCTTCACGCTGTATCCCAGCACTCCCAGCGGAGCTTGGCGTGCCTCGCACGTGGACGAGATTCTGACTTCATTTTACAGCCTATGGGGAAGCCCCCACCCCTTCTTATTCTATAATATAAATGTTAAAATGCACCAAGGAGGCACAGAGGGGCTCAAAACAGGAAATATGCAAACAGGACAGGTTCTTTCTTATGTGAACAGTCAGTCTCGGGTCTGCAGACATTTCTAAAAGGGCTTTGTGGGCCACACAGTCTCTGCCACAGCGATGCCACCGTAGCACTAAGTAGCCACAAACAGCACCTAATGTAGGAAAGCAGCTTACAAACGCAGGTGGTGGCTGGATTCGAACCCGTTAGGTTTGCTTACCCGTGGTGATCTCCCTGGAAATTGGCACCAGTTAGGATGCTTTCAGATGCAAATGCTAGAAGCCCTGACTCAAGCTGGCTTAGACTGTAAGGGTATTTGTTATCTCAAGCAGTGGGAATTACCAATGCAGAACAGTATCCAAGACTAATTAATTCAGTGGCTCATCATCCTCTCCTCCACCCTTCATCTTTTTAAAAAAAAATGTATCTTTATTGTTGAAAATATTGCCCTAACCAGTTTGGCTCAGTGGATAGAGCGTTGGCCTGCGGACTGAAGGCTCCCAGGTTCAATTCCAGTCAAGGGCATGTACTTTGGTTGCGGGCACATCCCCAGTAAGAGGTGTGCAGGAGGCAGCTGATGGATGTTTCTCTCTCATCGATGTTTCTAACTCTCTATCCGTCTCCATTCCTCTCTGTAAAAAATCAATACTATATATTTTTTTAAAAAAGAAAAGAAAATATTACAGATATTCCTTTTATTCCCCAGTGACACTTCTTCCTTCCCCCTCCCCCTACTCCACCCTGTAACTACACGATTGTCTATGACCATGAGTTATGCATGGACATTGATTCTATTTTGTTCATTAGATTCCAAATATAAGTGAGATCATATGATACTTTTCTTCCTCTGACTGGATTACTTTTTTAGCATAATATTCTCCAGGTCTCTCCAAGCTGTCTCAAAGGGTAAGAGATGTTTTTTGTTGTTGTTGTTGTTTTGTTTTTTGTTTGTTTGTTTGTTTTTACAGCTGCATAGTGTTCCATGGTGTAAATGTACCACATGCAGAACAGCATCCAGGACTGTTTTTATCCATTCATCTACTGCTGGGCACTTGGGCTGCTGTCTCCAGATCTTAGCTATTATAAATAGCACTGCTGTGCACATATATTCTTGCTGATTGGTGTTTCAGGCTTCTTAGAACATCTTCCTAGAAGTGAGATTACAGGGTCAAATGGCAGTACCATTTTTATTTTTTTGAGGAAAATCGATACTGTTTTCCATGGTGGCTGCGTCAGTCTGTATTCCCATCAACAGTGTATTAGGGTTCCCTTTTCTCCACATCCTCAGCATCACTTGTTGTTTGTTGATTTGTTGATGGTAGCCATTCTGACAGGTATGAGATGGTACCTCATTGTCATTTTAATTTTCATCTCTGATGATCAGTGACTTGAAGTATTTTCTCAAATGTTTCTTGGCCATCTGTATGTCATCTTTGGAGAAATGTCTATTCAGGTCCTTCGCCCATTTTTTAATTGGATTGCTTATCTTCCTTTTGTTAAGTTGTATGAGTTCTTTATATATGTTGAAAATTAACCCTTTATCAGATGTATCATTGGCAAATAGGTTCTCCTATGCAGTGGGCTTTCTTGTTGTTTTGTTGATGGTTTCTTTTGTTGTGCAGAAGCTTTTTATTTTTAAACATGTTTAACTCATTTATTTCTTTTGCCCTAGGAGATGTATTGGCACACATCTGGGAGATGTCTGAGATTTTGCTGCCTATGGTTTCTTCTAGGATTTTTATGGTTTTCTACTTACATTTAAGTCTTTTATGCATTTTGAATTTATTCTTGTGTATGGTCTAAGTTGAAGGTCTAATTTCATTTCATTTTTTTTTTCTTGCACGTACCCGTTCAATTTTCCCAACACCAGAGACTGTCTTTACTTTATTGTATTCCTTTGCCTCCTTTCTCAAATGTTGATTGAGCGTAATGGCCTGAGTCGATTTCTGGGTTCTCTGTTCTGTCCCACTGATCTATATGCCTGTTCTTGGGCCAGTACCAGGCTGTTTTGTTTACAACAGCTTGGTAGTATAATTTTATATCTGACTGTGATCTCTCCAATTTTGTTCTTCTTTCTCAAAATTGCTGCTGCTATCCAGGGTCTTTTTTGGTTCCATATAAATTTTTGGAGTATATGTTCTAGATCTGTAAATATATCATTGGTATTTTAACAGGGACTGCATTCAATATATAGATTGCTTTGGGTAGTGTGGACATTTTGATGATGCTCATTCTTCCAATTCATAAATATAGTATATTCTTCCTTTGTTTGTATCTTCCTCTATTTCTTTTTTTTTTTAATGTTCTATAGTTTTCAGAATATAGGTCTTTTACCTCTGTGGTTAAATTTATTCCAAGGTATATCTTTTTGTTGGCAATGGTAAATGATTTATTTTTATTTTTATTTTTATTATTATTATTATTATTATTATTATTATTATTATTATTTTAGTTTCGCTTTCTGAGCGTTCATTATTGATCTATAAAAATACCATCAATTTCTGGATGTTAATTTTGTATCCTGCTACTTTGCTAAATCCATTTATTACATGTAGTAGTTTTTTGGTGGTGTCTTAAGGGTTTTTTCTGCACAGTATCATGCTATCTACAAGTAATGACAGTTTTATATCCCTTTCTCAATTTGAATGCCTTTTATTTTTTCTTCTTGTCTGATTGATGTGGCTAGAACTTCTAGTACTATCTATAATAATAAAAGGGTAATATGCTAATTAGGCTGGACAGCTGAACAACCTTCCAGATATCATTTCAAACATCCTTCCTGACAAAGTTGTGGCAGTGGGGGCCGAGGCAGAGGTGGTTAGGGGCAATCAGACAGGCAGGCGAGCAGTTAAAGGTGATCAGGCAGACAGAGAGGTTAGGGGTGATCAGGCAGGCAAGTGAATGGTTAGGGGTGATCAGGCAGGCAGGCAGGCAAGCAGTTAGAAGCAATCAGGCAGGCAGGCAGAGGGATTAAGGGCAATCAGGCAGGTAGGATGCAGAGTGGTTAGGGGCCATTAGGCAGGCAGGCTGGTGAGCAGTTAGGAGCTAGGGCCTAAACCTGTAAACAGATATCCCCCGAGGGGTCCCAGATTGTGAAAGGGTGCAGGCCAGGCAGAGGGACCCCGTCTGCCTCCATGCACAAATTTTATGCCCTGGGCCTCTAATTGAATAAAAGTGGTGAAAGCAGACAACCCTGTTCTGTTCCTGTTCATAGGGAAATGGTTTTAGTTTCTGCCTATTAAGTATGGTTTGGCTGTAGGTTTGTCATAGATAGCCTTTATTATGTTGAGGTATAGTTCCTCTCTTTCCACTTTGCTTAGAGTTTTTATCAAAAATGAATGTGGCTCAGTAGTTAAGCATCAACCTATGAACCAGGAGATCATAGTTCAATTCCCAGTCAGGGTACATGCCTGAGTTTCAGGCTGGATCCCTAGTGCGCAGCATGTAGGAGGTAGCCAGTCAATGATAGTTTCTCATCATTAATATTTCTATCTCTCCCTCTTCCTTCCTCTCTGAAATCAATAAAAATATATATTTTTAAATGGGTGTTGGATTTTGTCGAATACTTTGTCTCTATTGATATGATCATGTGATTTTTCAATTTGTGTATGTGATGTATCACATTTATTAATTTGTGAATATTGTACCAGTCTTGCATCTCTGGAATAAATACCACTTGGTCATGATGTATGATTTTTTTAATATATGACTGATCTGATTTGCTAGTATTTTGTTGAGGATTTTAGCATTTATGTTCATCAGGGGTATTGGCCTGTAATTCTCTTTCTTTGTTGTGTCTTTATCTGGTTTTGGAATTAGGATAATGCTGGCCTCCAAAAAAGAGCATAGAAGCCGAGACCGGTTTGGCTCAATGGATAGACCGTCGGCTTGGGGACTGAAGGGTCCCGGGTTCCATTCTGGTCAAGGGCGTGTACCTTGGTTGCAGGCATATCCCCAGTAGGGGGTGTGCAAGAGGCAGCTGATCGATGACTCTCTCTCATCGATGTTTCTAACTATCTCTCTTCCTTTCTCTCTGTACAAAATCAATAAAATATATATATTTTTAAAAAGAGTATAGAAGTCTTCCTTCTTCTTGAATTTTTTGAAATAATTTGAGGATAGGTGTTAGCTATCCTTTGAATGTTTGGTAAAAAACTCACCTATGAAGCCATCCAGACCCAGGCTTCGCTTGCTGGGACTTTTTTGTGTTGTTTTTTGTTTTTTGTTTTTTACTGCTTCAGTTTCATCAATTGTTATCAGGCCTATTCAGGTTTTTGTCTTCTTCCTGATACAGTTTTGGAAGATTGTATGTTTCTAGAAATTTGTTCATTTTACCCAGATTGTCCAGTTTGTTGGCAGATAGTTGTTTGCAATATCTTCTCTAATAAAGAGGGACTATGCAAATTGACCATCGCATCGTAACAATCAAGATGGCTGTGCCCACAGCAGAGGCTGAGTTCCTATAATGAACCTTAATGAGCAAATGGCATGTGACCTGAGGCCACACCCTCCACCTGGCAAAGCTTGATGGGGGACCTCACACCGCACCCACCACCCCAGCGCCGGGCCGTGGGACCTGAAGGGTGCTCCCCACCTAGCGGGATTTGACAGGGACCTCAGTCAGTGCCTTCTGCCCAGGCACCAGGCCAGGGGACTTCAAGGCGCATACACCCTGGCCTGGGCCGGGGGACCTAAGGCCACGCCCCCCCGCTCTGGCGAGGCTGATTGGGGTGGGGCCAGCTGGGTTTGAGGCACAATTTCGAGGCTCACATGGGTAGGCGGGGACTTGACTCTGGGTCCCACGGTGCACCCCAGACTCTGACAGGAGGAATATTTTCATATACATTTTACTAATTTTCTTTCATCTCTGACACCTCTATGATAAAGGGCAAATAGCAATATTAAAATATTTCCTCTAATTAATTTCCTTTTAATATGCACAAATTTCTTGCACCAAGTCACTAGTTTTCTTATAATCCTTTCTATTTCTGTGATGTCCGTTGTTACTTCATTTCTGGTTTTATTTATTTGGGTCCTCTCTCTGTGTTCCTTGATGTGTCCAGCTTAAAGGTTCAGCAATCTTGCTTGGCTTTTAAAAGAACCAACTCTCAGTTTCATTGAGTTTTTTTTTTATTTTTATTACTTTGTATTTTTTTATATTGTTCCCTGGTAGAGTTAAGTCCAGCACAGCATTAGACTAATTCCAGTCCATCAGTTCATCCTGTGGGGAGTCCACCTGTCTGCGGGCCACGTGGCTGTATGCAGCAAGAGTCCCAGGAGAGCGAGTGCTCCCTTTGTTCAGGAGTTTCTGTGTCGTGGGTTTTGCCCCCTGGCAGTAGCCACATCTGTTCTGTCCAGTGACTTGCTCCCAGTGATTGATAGGTAATCACCCTCCCTTGACCCCCTAGACTTTACCGGGCATGCATGCATGCTTTCTTTGTCTAGTCCCTTCCCCCTGGATCCGCAGGGAACAGCCTGGGAGAGTGTTCATTTGTTTTCTTTATTGAACTCAGAGAGAGAAAGGGAGGGAGAGAAGGAAACATCCGTGTGAGAGAGAAACATCAATTGGTTGCCTCCCACATGAGCCCCCTCCTGGATATGTGCCTGCACCTTGGATATGTGCCCTGACCTGGGATGGAACCTGCCACCTTTAGGTGTACAGAACAATGCTCCAACCGAGCCATCAGCCAGGACTGGTTATTATTTATTGTGTGTATACTTAGATTGAATATGAATTAGATTGATACAACAAAAACAAAGTTTCCAAACTTTGTTGCCCTCATAAGCCTTTTCATTGGTTTATGTTTATCACTACAGATGGATGAATATGGAAAATACTATGAATCTAAGAAACAGGATGCTTTTCATAGGAAGAAAGAATTGGATAAATTAAGAGTTAAAGAGATGGAAATCAAAGAAAAGGTTACTGCCACCACAGTGGTAAGAAAGGATGAACTATGCTTTTCAAGCCTGACCCGGGCACCTCCATGTACACCACCTTTACTGTGACCGGTAATAGGCATTTTAGAAGGAATCGATTTTAATTTACATTCACATCATTCTGGAAGAATCTTTTTTCCATGGTAACATTTTCTGATACTTCAGTGTGTTATAGTGCAATTGTGTTTTCTTCTTCAGGAATGCGGTGGGAAGAAAGAAATTTGGCATGCCTTAGGCACAGATTGCATTTGGATGGACCAAAATACTGTAAAACTGATTTTTTAAAAATGCATACACTTCTATGATATTGCTTTATTTTACATAACAAATGAAATAACCATGGGCAGATTCCTTAATTCTGGGAATGTGATGATAAAACAGAATTGAGTCTCTCCATTTGTATTGGGTACTGGAACATAATAGAGAAAGGGGATAATTTTTTATTAAAGTTAGAAAATACTTGAGAACTCTGCAGTTGTATTATTTTTTTTTAAAATAATACCACTTCTATGTTAATTAAAGCAGAAATAAATGGTAATTTAGTCACCCTCCCTCCCAAATATTATTTTTTATTTCTGTCCTAGCTTGTATTTTGAAGAAATAATTGTAATAATTGCTTTTATTTTAACTCCAGGACGCCCCCAGTGTAGAAATCGAGTGGGTGTTACGTGGCTATTTAGTGAACTGAACCGCCATCATGAGTCATTTGACAGTGACTGAATGCCATCATTTTTTTTTTTAACATTTTCAATAGGTACTTAGTGATCACAATATGGAGATAGCAGAACTAAACGAATCAATAAGGAATTGGGAAAACCAGGTTGAAGAAATGAAGAAAATCTGTAATAGCCTGGAGGAAAACATGTAAGTATGCGACCTTATTTTTACGGAAGCATTTCTCAGTCAGTGCTGTGTTTCTTTCCTTTAAAAATGTTTATTAGATGAAAATTATAATCTTTTAGTTTACTAAAATGTGTGTGCTTGTAAACTGCATAGAAACGCCTCCTCGTTTTGAAATTAATCAGTCTTTCCCGTGATCAAGAGAAAATATTGGGGATGATACAGTCGGCTCAGGAAAAGGAAGGGGCTCGGTGGAGTGTATTATTCTCACTTCAGTTCCAGGATTCCTGCAAAGGAATATGCCCCCAGGAAGGCATCCATGAGGCCTGCCGCAAGGCTACACACTCACCTACCCGTGTGGTACAGTGGCTGTTCTTAGTCGAGGGAGAATTTATTGAGGAATTACAGGGAAGCCTCCGGGCAGAAACTTTCACCCACGGGACTGGAACCAGAAGCTTCAGGGAATCTTTCATCCCAGGGCCCACACACTCTCTTCCTTTTGCAAAAGAGTTTCTTCTCTCTCTCTCTCTCTCTCTCTCTCTCTCTCTCTCTCTCTCTCTCTCTCTCTCTCTCTCTCTCTCTCTCTCTCTCTCTCCAGGCTGTGTTCTCTTCCCGGTGCGCCGTGGCTGAGCATGGCCATTTCAAACCCTCTGAAATTACCTGACACAGGCCCTTTAATCTCTAGAGATTGGCCAACAGACTCTCTTCTGGGAGAATTCCCAGATTTCCCATCAAAAGCCATTTGGCTCAGCCCTGGCTGGTGTTGCTAAGTGGTTAGAGCATTGGCCTGAGCACTGAAGGGTAGAGGGTTTGATTCCCTGTCAAAGGCACATTTCCTGGGTTGTTGCAGATTTGATCTCCAGGTTGGGGCGTGTGCAGGGGGCAACGAATCAATGTGTCTCTCATTTCTCTCTCTCTCTCTCTCTCTCTCTCTCTCTCTCTCTCCTTCTTACTTCCCCTCCTTCCTTCCCTCCCTTTCACTCTCTCTAAAAATCAATAGAAAAAATACCCTTTGGTGAGAATTAACAAAAACTGTTATGGACAGAAGGTGTAGTCTTATAATATAAATATATGGCTTCTGGGCCTATCTCCAAAGTTTGATTTAAAAAGACAAATTGTGAACTGAGCAGATTGCACAAGACAAGTTAACTGCACATGTGGAATCATGTTATAAAATGGCTCATTTCTACATACACAGGTTCGAATGTACTGTGATTAAAACTACTGTCTTAAAATAGCAATTGCCCAGTACAGTAATCATCACCATTGGTCCATAAAGTAGGCACCAATCTTTATACTCAATACCACATTTAATATAGGAAGACTCAAGAACTGCTACAATTCAAACTCAGAATAAAAAAAATATTTTTCTTTGAAAGTGATTTAATAGTTTTAGTTCATATATGTTTTAAAGAAAAACTAGGTAGGGAATCATAGTGGGAGATACAGATTAGATCTTAAATTATTTCTAGGAGTTATGATTTAAAATCTTGCTACATTGAGGATACAGTATTAATAGAAATCAATGGAATTTTTATATACCAACAATGAATTCTCAGAAAGAGAAAATAAAAACAACAATCTCCTTTGCCATTCCTTCTTAAATGATTGAATAGAATAATAACGCATTAATTCAACAATTCTAAAAAGTAAAGTCTTTTGTCTGTTATAACGAATATATAAATATGTTATGTAGGGCAATATGGACTTGCTAAAAAAAACATGTCCTAATATGAATTTGTTTGGCTTCCTTTGTTTATAGATATCTTTTAAAGAACAACAAGATCAAACTGGGAGAGAAAACTGATTTTGAAAAAAATGATTATTTGCAGAAGATAAAGGAGGTAGGAAGACAGAAATTATGATTTCTTAGATTATAATTAGATTTTCTTTTTAGATAATATTTTAAGTAAATGGAGAAATTTTCCGAAACTAGATTTTTAATTAACTAGTAATATTCATGATCAGTCACAGTAATTGATTTAAAGATTTTATTTTTCTCCCAGAGCACTTTAAGTATAAAAGAAAAAATTGCTCATTCAAAGATAAATTATTTTCTTGATAACTTTTCAAGTGGATATTGTTATTTTATATTAGGAATATTCATGGCTAATGAATATTTTTATGTGACTTAATTAGAAAAAATAGGACCTGCTGAAACCGGTTTGGCTTGGTGGATAGAGCATTGCCTGCGGACTGAAGGGTCCCAGGTTTGATTCCAGTCAAAGGTTTGATTCTGGTCAAGGTATCAATCAAGGTTGGGGCCGTGCAAGAGGCAGCTGATAGATGACTCTCATTGATGTTTCTAACTCTATCTCTCTCCTTTTTTCTCTGTAAAAAAATCAATATATTAAAAAAAAAAATAGGACCTTCTTGTTGTTGTGTAGCAATCCCATATTGTACTTAATAATGTTAATGAGATATTTAAATCAAATTTAGTCCTCTAGAGAATTCTCTAGACATTTTAAAACTTAGGTTATAAGAAATACTATATTTTAAGTAAATAATCATGTCTGTTAACCAAGATTTCTCCAAAAGACATTCAATGAAGCATTTATTTTGAAAGTTGAGCAATTAGAGGCAAAATACAATTAAAGCTTAAGAGAGATGCTTTATTTAAGTGTCATCATTTAGGATATGACAAATCTATATATATGAAAGCCTAAGCCTGTGGTTGGCAAACTGCAGCTCACGAGCCACATATGGCTCTTTGGCCCCTTGAGTGTGGCTCTTCCACAAACCACCATGGCCTGGGTGAGTCTATTTTGAAGAAGTGGCATTAGAATAAGTTTAAGTTTAAAAAATTTGGCTCTCAAAAGAAATTTCAATCGTTATACTGTTGATATTTGGCTCGGTTGACTAATGACTTTGCTGACCACTGGCCTAAGTGACCGAATAACTCTATGATACATAATGACCATCAGGGGACAGACACTCAACACACAGGCATGGAAACATGGAATAGACTGATGAATCTCAGAGGCAAAGGGGAAGGGGGAAGGGCAGGAAGAGATTAACCAAAGATCTTATATGCATAATAGAGGCCCAGTGTACAAAATTCATGCATGGGTGTGTGTGTCCCTCAGCCCAGCCTGTACCCTCTCCAATCTGGTACCCCTCGAGGGATGTCCGATTGCCCTCTCAAAATCCAGGACTGCTGGCTCCCAACCACTCGCCTGCCTGCCTGATTGCCCCTAACCATTTCTGCATGCCAGCCTGATCACCCCTAACCACTCCCCTGCCAGCCTGATTGATGCCTAAATGCTCCCCTGCCAGCCTTATTGCCCCTAACTTCCCTCCCCTGCCAGCCTGATTACCCCCAACTGCCCTCCCTTGCAGGCCTGGTCCCCCCAATTGCCCTCCTCTGCTAGGCTGGTTGGCCCCAACTGCCCTCTCCTGAAGGCCTGGTCACTCCCAATTGCCCTTGCCTGCTTAGCCCAGTCACCTCTAACTGCCCTCCTCTGCCAGCCCAGTCACCCTTGACTGTCATCTCTTGCAGTCCTGATCACCCCCAACTACCCTCCCTTGTAGGCTTAGTACCTCCCAACTGCCCTCCCAACTGGCCTGATCACTCACAACTGCTCTCCCCTGCCAGCCATCTTGTGGTGGCCATCTTGTGTCCACATGGGGGCAGCTATCTTATGTGTTGGAGTTATGGTCAATTTGCATATTATTCTTTTATTAGATAGGATTATTAGATAGGGCTAGATGCTCGGATTCATGCATTGATGCGGTCCCTTGACCTGGCCTGCGGGAATCAGGCTGAAACCAGCTCTCCTACATCTGCTGAGGGGCCCCAAATTGCAAGAGGGCACAGGCCAGGCTGAGGGACCCCACTGGTGCACGAATCCATGCAACATGCCTCTAGTGCTATATAATAAAAGGTTAATATGCAAATAGACTGAACAGCAGAACAATTGAACAACCAGTCGCTATGATGTGTGCTGACCACCAGGGGGCATGTGCAGAACATGGCGGGCATTGGCTGTGGTGGGATGGTGGAGCAGGTGAGCAGGGGCTTCAGAGGAGGGCAGGTGCAGTGCCGGTCACTGTCATCAGGGCAAGCTTCTAGTGGTTACTGAAAAAAAATTTTTTTCAATATTTTATTGATTTTTTTACAGAGAGGAAGGGAGAGGGATAGAGAGCTAGAAACATCGATGAGAGAGAAACATCGACCAGCTGCCTCCTGCACACCCCCTACCGGGGATGTGCCCAAACCAATGTACATGCTCTTGACCGGAATCAAACCTGGGACCTTTCAGTCCACAGACCGACGATCTATCCACTGAGCCAAACTGGTTTCAGCGGTTACTGAAAATTCTTTGCTCCTGCACATGGTGGTCCCGCCAAGCACTGGCATCTACTGCCACTGCTGGCCCGGCTTGCACCTGCTGCTGGTGCCTAGTGCCTGGTGCCAGTCCCGATCGTTCAGTGCCATCAGCAGGTGCGAGTGGTGGCTAACAGCTCTGATCACACCTGAGGGCTTCTTTACCTCCCCTTGCTCCCAAGGGGCAATTGGAGCAGCAGCTACTACTTGCACCCGTTGATGGTGCTGGTCCTGCTCACATCTGCTGCTGGTGCTGGCCCCCATTGTTCCACAGTGTCAGCGGGTGCAAGCAGGGTGCTGTCAGTGCATGGGAACAGGAGTGGGGCTGCCAGCAGACAGGGGACCAGGGACATGGTGGGGGGGCTGGGCAGGGGTATAGAGGATGGGTTGTGACCATCCCCTGTGACTACCACAGCCTTGTGGCCCACAGTTTCTTTCAAGGTGCACAAATTTGTGCACTGGGCCCCAAGTAAAGGCATAATATGCAAATTAGACTGGATGTCCTTCTGGACAAAACTGGGGCTGTGAGGGAAGCCAGGATCCTGGGTGCTTGCCAGTGGCCAGAGGGAAGCCCAGGTCCCAGGTACCAGAGGCAAGCCAGGATTCCAGTTGCCAGAGGGAAGCCTGGGTCCTAAGTGCCAGAGGTAAGCCAGTACCTACAGCTGGGGTAACGAAGGCCTACTCTTGCATGAATTTTGTGCATCAGGCCTCTAGTTTATTATAAAACAGTATATATAATATGACCCAATTATTTATTTATTTGGATATATATATATATATATATATATATATATATATAAATAAATTTTGAGGCATACTTCATTATTTGGGTATATATATATATATATATATATATATATATATATATATATACCCAAATAAACACACACACACACACACACACACACACACACACACGGGGTCCCCTCAGCCCAGCCTGCACCCTCTCCAATCCAGGACCCCTCAGGGGCTATCTGACTGCTGGCAGTCAGACACCCCTCTCACAATCTGGGACCGCTGGCTCCTAACTGCTCACCGGCCTGCCTGCCTGATTGCCCCTAACTGCCCCCCTGCCAGCCTGGACATTCCTAGCCACCTCTGCCTGCTAGCCTGATCACCCCTAACTTGCCCCCCTGCTGACCTGGTGGCCCCCAACCTCACCCCGCCCCCTGCCAGCCTGGTCATCCCCAATTGCCTCTCCATAGGCCTGGTTGACCCAACTGTCCCCCTGCTGGCCTGGTCACCCCAACTGCCTCCCTGCCAGCCTGGTTGCCCCCAACTGCCCCTCCCCGCCAGCCTGGTCACCCCCCACTGCCTCTCTTGTCAGTCTCGTCACCCCCAACTGCCCTCCCACTGGCCTGCATGCCCCACAGCTGCCCCAGCCTGCTGTTCAGTCATTTATCCAGTTGTTTCGGTCGTGATGACCCCTGGCATTTTATACATTAGTGTGTGTGTGTGTGTGTGTGTGTGTGTGTGTGTGTGTGTGTTGTGTGTGTGTGTGTACACACCTTTAGGTTGGTTTGTGACCACGGACCATGGCTTGTTAGCGTCTGATTCACCCTTCACCAGAGAGGGAAGCTCTTTGGGATCCCAGACAATGTGATGGGAGGTTTATCAGACTCAACACCTAGGTGAGCTCCAAGTGTTGGCTTTTATCCCCCTTGTCATGTAAGAAAACCAAAACTCATTCTCCATGTTGTTTTCTTCCACATCTGTACATGTTCTAAGGGTTCAAAGGACTTTTAGTGCTAGATTTACCACTATGGATTCTTGCTTTCTTGTTGAACTAGGCCTAGAGATTCCTCATCATCTTGTTAATTCTTCAACACTTAAGGATTTTTTCTCACCCAACTATTAGGTCTAGTAATAATTACTGTCGTTTTCTAAAACTTTTTTTAAATCGAATTTATTTAAACAATACAACAAAATTTAATCAACAATATAGTTGCCGTTGTTTTCTACTGCTGGTCAAACTCCTGGTCAAGGGGATAATTTGCATATTAGCCTTTTATTATATAGGATATATACTGAGTGGCCAGATTATTATGTATTCAGAGATCATAATAATCTGGCCACTCAGTGTATATTTGTATGTGTGTTTGTGTGTGTGTGTGTGTATATATATATATTATTTTATAAATGTTATTTCATATCTTTAATTTATAATACAATATTCCTTTACCACTTTTCTGTCACTGAGGAGTTATTCTCAGTGTTTGACTTATTTGGAAATATTAATATTAGGTCTAGTAATAATTAATGTCGTTTTCTAATACTTTTTTAAATCGAATTTATTTAAACAATACAACAAAATTTAATCAACAATATAGTTGCCATTGTTTTCTACTACTTGTGCCCAACGCTCAGGAAGCATTTTAATCCCTCTGTTGTAAAATTCTTGTGATTTTGATGCAAAAAATTCGGTCAATGCATTTTTGAGGCATACTTCATTATTAAATTTTTTTCCAAGAAGAAAGTTTTGCAAAGAACGAAACAAATGGTAATAGGAAGGGGCAATATCAGGAGAATATGCAGGTTGAGGGAGAACTTCCCATTCCAACTGGCGCAGTTTTTCAGCAGTGATTCTTGCAGTATGCGGTCGTGCGTTATTGTGGTGAAGAATTACGCCCTTCCGATTAATCAGCGCGGGTTCTTTTTCTCTTAAAGCTTGGGCTAACCTTTCCAATTGGGCACTATACACTGCACTTGTAATGGTTTGATTAGATGGTAAAAGTTCATAATGAAGAATTCCTTTAAAATTCCACCAAACACACAACATCACTTTTTTCGCATGCAAGTCAGGTTTTGGCCGGGGCTGCGGAGCCTCATTTTTGTCCAACCATTGAGGCCGCCTTTTCAAATTAACATCCAGCACCCACTTTTCATCTCCGGTAACAATTTGCTCTAAAAACGGCAAACGGTTTTGACGAGAGAGGAGCGAACTGCAAATTGTGACTCTTTGATTACGGTTGTTGTCGGTCAACTCATGAGGAACCCATTTTCCAAACTTTTGGACTTTGCCAAGTGCACGCAATTGATTGGAAATTGTTTTTTGTGAACAATTTAAAGTTGTCGCAAGCTCTTGTTGGGTAATTTGAGGATTTTGCACCAAAAGAGCTTGAAGAGCTTCTTGATCAAAATTGGACACACGGCCTCGACCACTCTTGTCATCTAACGAAAAATTTCCCTCCTGAAATTTCTCAAACCAACACTGGCATTTTCTGGCGCTAACTGCATCTTGACCAAGAGCACTACAGATGTTTTTTGCAGCCTCACTTGCTTTTCTTCCTAATTGGAACTCGTAAAGCATGCAGTGCCGAATATGCTCTTCATCCGCCATCTTCTTAGCCCTAGTTTTGCAACACAAACCAAACCAAACACAAACTTTTTCAAGCAAAACTTGTTAATTGCACTTCACACGTTCTGTAGATACCACGTGTTTGAAGGTTATGTCAATACAAGTCAACGCCAAGCAAGATTTTAAACGAATGTTTAAAAACGACATTAATTATTACTAGACCCGATATTTTAGCAATCCTCAGCCAGAAGGTTATTTTGAACTAAATACTAAATCTATCTTTTCCACCTCATTTGATGGAATTGAACAGAGACATCCAAACACGAAGTTTTTACCTCTTTCAGACCACTAATAAGTACTCTTTTTTTTGTCCTTAAATAGAAATATTTAGCAAAAAGCAAGCATAATATCCAGTCAAAGAGGCTTTGAACAATAGCTTCTGCTGTTATTATACTTTACTTCCCCGTGTAGTTCATCTTGTGGAAAAAAAAGAAATACGTCATAAAGTGAATGATCCCAGTTTACTAATCCCAATTTGTATTTCCGTGTGAATTACTACTCTCTGGTTTTGCATCGGTGTTTATTACCATTCTATACTTTTGTCATAAGTTATAGAAGGAGCCCCAAAATGTGTAATTGGATGGTTAATATAGAATTAAATCACTCAATGTTTGTGGCATAGTCATTGTTTGCTAACCTGACCCTGACTCCCCTCAAAGGGACTGTGAAGCAGGTCCTCTACTTTGGTTATTTTGTGTGTGTTTTTTTCCTAGTTGCCTGAAAAAATATGCAAAACTCAGATAGCAAACAAAGAGCTACAAGAGAAATTGGAGACTCTTTCCAGACAATTGAAGATTGTCTTTAGTGAGGAAGATAAAGTTCTTTCTCAAAAAAGGAAAATACAAGACCAGTATGTTTCTATTTCTGATCCGTACATGAGTCAACATGCTGTAGTTATGGGGTGCTTTCCTTGCTGTCAAAGTGGTAACCCTCCACCTGAACGTATCCTAGCTTTAAAACCTATTGGCACTTAGGTAAAGTACTTTCCATTACAGGTGTGTTCCTATCCATTTGTGGAATTGTGAATAAAACCATAACCTTCCTAATATTCTTTCTGCAAGTTAGAGACAAACAAACAAAACAAAGAAACCACTTTTTACAAAATGCTTACATCTCATTTAATCCCATTGAAATGGGTGTTTTGATCCCCATTTTGTGGATGGGGAAATTGAGGCTCATTAACAGGTAAAGTTTATTTTCAAGGTCACACCCCTGGGAAGAGGTAGAGGCAGTATTCAAAATTGACCTTAACTGGTTTGGCTCAGTGGGTAGAGCATCAACTCGTAGATCCAAGGGTCCCCAGCTTGATTCTGGTCAAGGGCATATACCTTGGTTGTGGGTTCAATCCCCAGTAGGGGGCGTGCAGGAGGCAGCTGATTGATGTTTCTCATTGATGTTTCTAACTCTCTTTCTCTCTGTAAAATCAATAAAATATATATTAAAATTGGTCTGATCGACCCCTTTACATTTCACAAAAGAATATAACAGAATTAATAAATGTAGTAAGAGAGACACACACATTCAGAGTGATAAAGTACTATACAGCAGTTTTTATTGTTTTACGGTTTCTATTATAATTAGTGCTCTTTTCATTGGGAATTTTTATAACTTTAGATTTAGCCACCACATGCAGAATGACTGTTTCTGTTTTTACTGATTCATTGGGAAAATTTATTAGGTCAATAGTTTATGAACTGAATTTTCCAAACTACTTTTGAAATTTTTGTAATGGCATATTTTCTCATGCAGATGATTTAAAAATGATTATTTAAACCTTTAAAATATGATATCTCTGTGTTTTTTTTTTTCACGGTAGAAGTACCAAACAAATGAAATTTATTTCTGATAAAGAAAACTTCCTGTCACAAAGAAAAGTAGACATCAGAAATATGGAAGAAGGACTTGTCTCACTTTTGGAACTTTATCGGTAGGTTTGTTGCCTTTGAAAATTTAAATCTTCATTCCTTTCTGCATTTTTAAAAAGATAGTAACTATAAATATATGTCACTTTCTAATCTCCTACAAAAAGAAAGAGGTTTGTAATTTTGTCTCTTTGTTTTACAATCCTGAATAATCATTATCATTGAATCATTCATTGAAAGGTTAGACAGATTCCAAGTTCTATACAAGTTGCTGAGCATGAGGAGTGGACGAGTTAGGGGTCTAGTGACAAGAATGTACCTAAATGTTGTTATAGCACTGACCCTCCATGATGTTCATTTCTACCATTCTAAATCACTTTAATTGCTATTTTATTTTTTCTGATTAAAAAGTAATGCCTATACCTGATTTTAAAATTCAAATATATAATAGAAATTATAACTTCAAGAATAAGTTTCCTAAAACTCTCCACAGAAATAATTACTGTTAACAGTTTGCTATACATACTTTCTAATATCTATATATATATAAAAGCCTAAGCAACTGAATGACCGAACAACTGGTCAACCACTCACTATGACGCACACTGACCACCAGGGGGCAGATGCTGAATGCAAGCTGCCCCCTGGTGGTCAGTGTGCTCCCACAGCAGGAGCACTGCTCAGCAAGAAGCAAGGATTCACAGCAGCACAAGCCTCTCCCACCTCCACAGCAGTGCTACCAAGTGGCAGCAGCGGCAGGTGCAGCAGGGCTGGGATGAGCAGGAGTGGCACCCGACCCTGGCTCAGGCTCCTCACTGGCCACCTGTGGGGATCCATGAATCCATGCACGGGGCCTCTAGTATGTTTACATTTATCTATACATAATATGTACATATTAGAGGGACCCCTCAGCCTGACCTGTGCCCTCTCGCAATCCGGGACCCCTCGGGGGATGTCAGAGAGATGATTTCGCCAGATCCCCACAGGCCAGGCTGAGGGACCTCACCAGTGCATGAATCCGTGCACCAGACCTCTAGTATGCATATAAGATCTTCGGTTAATGTTTTCCTGCCCTTCCTCCAACCCCCTTCCCTCTGAGATTTCATCAGTCAGTTCCATGTTCCCATGCCTGAGCACTGAGCGTCTGCCCCCGAGGGGGTGGTTATTGTGCATCAAACTACCAGCCTGTCCACAGTCACTTAGGCTTTTATATGTATAAAATAGAGGCCCAGTGCACAAAATTTATGCATGGGTAGGGTCCCTAGGCCTGGCCAGATATCAACACCAATCTGTTGGGCAACTGGCAGGCAATTGGGGATCCCTGCTCACACCCACCTTGGCTGGCCTGGCACCACCTGCTTGCTGGCCCCAACCCCCACTAGCAGTCAGGGTCTGCAGGATGGGGCAGCTCTTGCCTTGAGTGTCTGCTCCCTGGTGGTCAGTGCACATCACAGCAACTGGTCATTTTGCTGGTCATTCCACTGTTGGGTTGATTTGCATATTAGAATTTTATATAGCTAGATATGTGCATATTTATTTATTTACCTAAAACTTGGGTTGTAGTCTTTTGTAATTGGATTTTCCCCAAATATCTGGGTAATTTACACAATGTTATATGTCAGTTATCTATACTAATGAAAGAGAAACATGCAAATTAACCATCACTTTGCTACACCCACCAGCCAAGCAGGAGAGAGTATGCAAATTAACCCAGCAACTATGGTGCCAACCACAGAGCTGGAATGAGCAGGAGGCTTTGGTTGCCCCTGGCAATGGAGGAAGCCAAACTTCCCGCCCGCCCTGGCTGGCCCTGGCCTCTGCTCAAGGCTACAAAGTTTCAATTATAGAAGGTAAATTAATCCCAGATACCTGCTTCCAGGCAGCCCTGGCCTCCACTCAAGGAGGTGCTGAAAAAGAAAAAGAAAAAAAAGCCCCTTACCCAGGCTGGCCACACCCTCATGGGGTGAGGGTCCCCACAAGGGGGCTTGACCAGCCTGCAAACAGCCCTCATTCCCTCACCCAGGCTTGTCAACCACCCCAGTAGGGACCTCCATCCTGAAGAGGGTGTGGCCAGCCTGAAAGTGGTTCTCAGACCCTCAACCAGACTGGCCACACCCCCATGGGGTGAAGGTCCCCACTGGGGGCATGGCCAGCCTGGTTGAGGGGCTAAGGGCAATTAGCAGGCTGGTCAAGACTCCCAGTGGGGACCCTTACCCAATGGGTGTGTGGCCAGCCTGGGTGAGGCCTTGACTAGTGTGGACTTGACCAGCTTGCAAACCGCCCTCAGCCCCTCAACCAGACTGGCCACACCCCCCAGCAGGGACCCTCACCCAATGGGGGCATGGCTGGACTGTAAACCACCACAGGCCCCTTGCCCAGGTTGCCCCATGCTCCAAGGGAACTCCCACTCTGATCTGGGATACCCTTCAGAGCAAACCAGCAGGCCCCCACCCATACACCAGACCTCTATCTATACTAATAAAAGGGTAATATGCTAATTAGACAGGGAGACCTTCCAAGAGACCTTCCAGATGTTCTTCTGGACAAAGTCATGGTGGCAAGGCTGAGGTAGAGGCGGTTAGAGGCCAAGAGGAGAGGGCAGTTGTGGGTGATCAGGCCAGGATGGTACGGCAGTTGTGGGTGATCAGACAGGTGAGATGGGGGAGGGCATTGGGGGTTATCAGGCTGGCGGGGGAGGGTGGGGGTGTGAGTTAGGGGTGAGCAGACCAGCAGGGGGGCCAGTTGGGGGCAAGCAGGCTATCATTGGAGTTCAGTTCGGGGGGTGATCAGGACAGGGGGAGGGGGGAGGCATTTTGGAGTGAACATGTCAGCAGGGAGCCAGTTGGGGGCAAGCAAGCCAGTGGGGAGGGAGGATGGGGGTGAGCAGGCCAGCAGGGAGTCATTTGGGGGCAAGTAGGCTAGCAGGAGAGGCAGTTGGGGGCAAGCACACTGGCATGGGGGGCAGTTGGGGATGATTAGGCTGGTGGAGGGGGGCATTTGGGGCAAACAGGCTGGCAGGCAGAGTGGTTAGGGGCAATCAGGCAGGCAAGTGAGTGGTTAGGAGGCAGCAGTCCCAGATTGTGAGAGGGGTGTTCTACTGCCGGTTTAGGCCCAATCCCTATAAATCGGCAGTTGAACATCCTTTGAGGGGTCCCAGATTGGAGAGGGTGCAGGCTGGGCTGAGGAACAACCCCTCACCACCACCCATGTATGAATTTCATGCACTGGGTCTCTAGTATCTCAATAAAGCTGGAAAAATTATATCTGAGAGAATGAAAAAAAAACATGGTTGGTAAAAAAGTTATGGGAATTCTTTGCACTGATCTTGACACTTACCTGTTGAGTTTAAAGCTATTTCAAAATAAAGGGAAAAATCATAGATACAGGACCTCTTTATCCTTTTCTCTAACTATGTAGTATTTCTTTCTTCTGCAGATTATACTGTATTTTATTTAACTAATACTTTGTTGATGGACATTTGTGTGTGTTTTTCTGTTTCCTATATTACTAACATTTTTCAAAGTTAACATATCTCTGTCCACCTATGTGACTATTTATTTTTTTAGATTTTTATTGTTTAATGTATTACATAAGTCTCCTTTTCCCCCCATTGACCTCAGTTGTCCCCAACCCCCAGCACATGCCCTTACGTCCCCCCGCCCCCCCCCATCTGTGTCCATTGGTTATGCTCATATGCATGCATACAAGTCCTTTGGTTGATCTCTTATCCCCTTACCCCCATGTCTTCCCTCATAGGTTGGACAGTCTGTTCGATGCTTCTATAACTCTGGTTCTATTTTTGTTCATCAGTTTATGTTCATTATATTCCACAAATGAGTGAGATCATGTGATATTTATCTTTCTCTGACTGGCTTATTTCGCTTTGTCTAATGCTCTCCAGTTCCATCCGTGCTGTTGTAAATGGTAAGAATCCCTCCTTTTTTACAGCAGCATAGTATTCCATTGTGTAGATATTCCACAGTTTTCTAATCCACTCATCTGTTGATGGGCACTTAGGCTGTTTCCAAATCTTAGCTATGGTGAATTAGCTATGAACATATTCTTTCTGATCGGTGTTTCTGTTTTCTTGGGATATGCTCCTAGAAGTGGGGTTACTGTGTCAAATGGCACTTCCATTTTTAATTATTTGAGGAAACGCCTTACTGTTTTTTCCACAGTGGCTGCACCAGTCTTGCATTCCCACCAGCAGTGCAAGAGGGTTCCTTTTTCTCCGCATCCTCTCCAGCACTTGTCCATTGTTGATTTGTTGATGATAGCCATTCTGATAGGTGTGAGATGATACCTCATTTTTGTTTTGATTTGCATCTCTTGGATGATTAGTGACTTTGAGCATGTTTTCATATGTCTCTTGGTCTTCTCTATGTCCTCTTTCAAAAAGTGTCTATTTAGGTCCTTTGCCCATTTTTTTATTGGGTTGTTTATCTTCCTTTTATTAAGTTGTATGAGTTCCTTATAAATTTTGGAGATTAAACCTTTATCAGAGATAACATTGGCAAATATATTCTCCCATGCAGTGGGCTTTCTTATTGTTTTGTTGATGGTTTCTTTTGCTGTAAAAAAGCTTTTTACTTTGATGTAGTCCCATTTGTTTATTTTCTTCTTAGTTTCCATTGTCCTAGGAGCTGTATCGGTAAGTTTTGCTATGACAAATGTCTGCTATTTTGCTGCCTATACCTTCTTCTAAGATTTTTATGGTTTCCTGTCTTACATTTAAGTCCTTTATCCGCTTTGAGTTTGTTTTTGTGTATGGTATAAATTGGTGATCTAGTTTCTTTTTTTTGCATGCATCCTTCCAATTTTTCTAATACCATTTACTGAAGAGACTGTCTTAACTCCATTGTATGCTCTTGCCTCCTTTGTCAAAAATTAATTGAGCATAGTGGCATGGGTTAATTTCTGGGTTCTCTGCCTGTTCCATTCATCTATGTCTGTTCTAGTGCAGTACCAGGATGTTTTGAGAACAGTGGTTTTGTAATACAGCTTGATATCTATTATTTTGATCCCTCCAACTTTGTTCTTCTTTCTCAAGATTGCTACCACTATTCAGGGTCTTTTTTTATTCCAGATGAATTTTTGGAGAGTTTGTTCAAGGTCTTTGAAGTATGCTGTTGGTATTTTAATGGGGATTGCATTGACCCTATAGATTGCTTTGGGTAGTATGGACATTTTAAAGATGTTGATTCTACCAATTCATGAACATGATATATTCTTCCATTTGTTTTTATCTTCTTTTATCTCTCTCTTTTTTTTTTAGTATGACTGCTTCTTTATAATGAATCCAAAGTTGAATTCCTAGATCAAAGAGGGTTGTGTATTTTTTATTTTTATAATTATTATGAAAATGCCCTATGTAAATATCCTATCATTTTACACTAACACTGGGCATAAAGCAACTTATACTGTCATTGGGCACAGATTCAAGTCTAACACAGAAACAGTAACTAATGAATGGTATATAACTGAAGAATAGTGTGAATTATTAAGAAACAATCAGAGAAGGGTGAAGGAAAGTAATGTCAAGGAGTTCTTCTTTGTTATATAAAGATTTAAAACTGTAGGCCTTTAAAAGCAAATCAGATTTTTCTGTTTGCTTATCAAGTGGAGGAATAATATCGCCCTTCATAGAGAGATAAATAAGTTGAATATAGGGTACTGAAGAGACAAACCTACAGAAAACTAAGATGGGTGGTGATGAAAATTTGACACATATCAACAGAAATGTAGAGCAAGGCAGGAAGTGTAGCTTTTTGGTTGTATGTCAAATCATATTTTAAACATTATGTTTCGTCATGTGAGTCTCAGAAAGGAAACTATAAACTCTTCACCATAAAGAGCACGAAAATAGAACCAGTTTGATTGAGGTTTTACGTTCCTTGTGAAGAATGCAAATTTACAATGAGTTATTGTGTCATCATTACTTTGATCACCAGGAAGCTCAGAGCCAAATACTGGCATCCATTAAGGATTTTTTCCCTGTTGCTTTATTTTAAACTAGTCAACCCCTTTGGGGATTAAATTAAATATATAAAATCAACTACGTTGGGGCAAATTATAAAGAACCCTGCAGTTCCAGGGGAGGATATTAAGTTTACTTAGGTAAGAAATTGATTTCAAATAGAGAAATACACACACACACACACACACACACACACACAATGTGTTTGTAGTTTATTTAACATATTTCATATTCTAAGTTGCATTTGTAAATATTTCAGTATTTTAAAAAGGTGTAAAGTCTCATTTTATGTGGCCTTCAACTCATCACTGTGCATGATGAAGTACTTAGGGAATAAAGGGATTTAAAATAATAAAGGCTTCTGTTGTCTATGTTAGAGACCTCTCATATTTATTCATTTGAGATTCACCAGAAAAATCTTCCATCCTTCATTACTATTTACCCCTAGTTCAAGCATTTCTATTGGCTTTCTGAATTAAACATTGAGGCAAATTGTAACTCAATCTAGAATTCAGAGATCCTCACCAATTTGTTGACTCTAACTCCTCCTACAGTCACAGTACTGTTCCCTGTCAGGGCCTCTGTGGGCAGCGAGTCTGCCTTTGTCACAGCAGGGGTCCCGACTTGCTGTTCCTTTCCCCAGTGTCTTTACAAACAGGGAGGTCCTCTCCTCGGTGGGATTGCTCCTCCGTTCCAGCAACCCACGTGTCTCCTCCTGTTCAACAGGAGCCTCCAATAATCTTACTCCAGAGTCTGTTCTCTCTCCTTGGATATTCATCTCGATACTTGGAAAATCAGTGTGCGCTTGCACAGAACTTTAGTTATCTTTCTGTTATTCTACAACTGACTTCTGCATTTGTTTCACAAGGTTTGTTTCATGTCCCAGTGAGGCGATAACCTTATTGCGCATAAGATTTATACATACATTTTTATATATTCTAACAGCTCCTATAAATAAATGCCAAATCCAATATATTTTTCATGTTTTTAGAGCAACACAGGAAGTCTATCGGAAACACATAAAAATCCTGAATGAAAACCTGGAAAGAGAAATTCAGAGATGGTAAAGAAAACACGTTCCTTTGTGTGTGTTATTTAGTATCTGAATGAACAGTGCCCCAAAGTAGGGAGGAGAATCAAAGTACTTGTTGGTTGTTAGAACCCAAGAAACTTATTTCCTTAAGCTAAATTGTGTGAGTTCTGGATCTACATGTGTGTAAATAAGTGTGGTGTTTGCATGCATTTTTTGGCTCTGACCACAACCAAAGTTTTCCATTTCAATTGAGTAAAGTCACGAAATAGTAAAAGTAAAATTACCAAGATTTGTGTAATGCCTTTTGCACATCCAGGCCTTGTGGGGACAGTAGGGGATGTGCAGGGACAGAGGAGAGTGGTGGGAGCACAGACTCTGCAGAGGGGCGACACTGATTGCTCTACCTCTAATTCGCTCTGGGATCACAGCTCAGCGATTTCAGTCTCTCTGCTCCCTCCCTGTAAAGGGGGGACGATAGGAATGCCACCTCGTCTATTTGGATCAGCACCTGGCCCTAGGTAGCACTTGGGAAAGCATAACTCTATTTTTTTTTATTATTATTATTGTTGTTGTCATTGGTAATAATACGATGTATAAGACTCAAATGGCACACTCTGGCTCCCAGTTATGCAGCTTTTTTATTTTGTGGTGGAGAGAAATCTGAGAACCTAGAAGCTTGAAATCCCTCGTTAGCACTTTGAATCGTTTAGGTGCTTCCATTCCTCTTCTGCCCGGGACGCTCCTGTCTTCCACTGCCCCCCGGACCTTTTCCATTTCTCTCCGACGGAAAGGAGGCAAGCTGCCGCGTGTGGTGTGTCCACTGTCCTATTGGATGGGCCCACAGAGCGTCTTGCAACGTGCAGATCCGGCATTGAGGCAGTCCGCCTTCTGTCTTATTTTATTAGCTCACGCGCAGTCTGCATCACCAGTAGCAGCGACAGTTTTGTGTGATCAGAGAATTTGTTTTCATCTTTTCAGTAGACTGTTATGTCAATTTAATGATGGCATAAAATTGTCCCAATCTTTTTGTTCTAATCTCTAGTGTTATAACTCAGTGGAAAATAGCTTGTTTGTCGAAAAGACATGGACGTTGGCTAGACAAGATAAAAGATGAATTACAAGAGGTTATGGATGAAATCAGGACCGCAGAAGATCGACGCAATGAGTTGATAGAAGAGGTAAGGGAACGCAACAGGCTTACTATTAGTCTCCTATGTGGCACATCAGAAATTGTCTTTTCAATATTAAGTTTAACAAAAAGATATTCTCCTTTTGGCTGACTTCAAGCTTAGGGTGAACTATATAATTTTCCTAAGAAATATATCCATTTGTAGGAAAATAGCAAACGAAGTGGCAGTTTTCTCCTGTGATCAGAAACTTGATTGTTTTTTCAGGAATTCATCTATAAAATAAAGAGCTCAAGCATCACTTATTTAACTTCCATATTTACCCTCTGCCCACCCTCCATTGTTCACTGATCTCATTCTCCATTTCCTCGTGTCATTTATAAATACTATCTGGTGAAGAAATTAATCTCTGAAGGGGGGGGGCATTTTCAATGGTTACTGAGAAGTAATGATCTGAAATCAGAGCCAAATCTCACGCAAAGAGATATTCATTTACTTGGCTGTTGGAAAAAAATCAAAGGATGACTGCTATTCAACAGATAACAAATCTTTTTTCCCCCTTTAATTAGACCAGTGTTAGAGAAAAAGAGATCACTGAAAATTTGTCAAAGATTGAAAAAATTACAACAGATTTAAAAAAAACAGAGTCGGAATTTATCGTCAAGGAAAAAAAGTTAATTCAACAATTGAGCGAGTACGAGGTAAGTTTTATTTTACATCTAAGAATGGTTGTAGAGGGCTGTGTGCGGGGAGAGGGTATATGTTCCATGCTCCTCTAATTAGGTAAATATAAAACAAATCTTTTAGTGTGAAGAAAGCTACATTTCATTCTGAATCTTTCTTCTTTTCCTAAAAAGGAAATGGAGCAAGGAGAAATATTTTTGTACTGAGTTGGGAACTGCCAAGAGCTGACCTGGGACAGACGAGGGCAATGGTCGGCAAACTCATTAGTCCACAGAGCCAAATATCAACAGTACAACGATTGAAATTTCTTTTGAGAGCCACATTTTTTAAACTTAAACTTTTTCTAGCGCCACTTCTTCAAAATAGAATCGCCCAGGCCGTGGCATTTTGTGGAAGAGCCACACTCAAGGGGCCAAAGAGCCGCATGTGGCTCTCGAGGCGCAGTTTGCCGACCACTGGCCTAGGGTGTGGCTGTGGCTGCTGGTGGGAGGTGGATAAAAGGACCGGAAGTACCCAGGGCACCCAGAAACAACACAAACCGCACCTTCTCAAGGTGACGGCATGACCTTGAAAGGCCAGCGTGTGTTCCTCGGGGCCGCCATGGGTAGAGAAGTCAAGGAGAGGAGAGATGGTGGTAGGAGCCTTCCTGACTTGATTTGGTTTGAAGGGGGAAAGGGGCCCGGCAACACCAAACAGTCTGTATTTGAAGGCAGCAGTCCCTTGCTGTAGCAATGGAGCAGGGAGCCCTTACATTTCAGAGTTTAGATCTGACCCTAGTCCAAGCCCATCCTGCCCTCCCTCCCCCACGTAGGTCCCCCCGCCCCACCTCATCCAGAAGCCTCTGCAGATAATAATCCAAGGAGAGCCACTTCTAATATGAGTGACAGGGGAGAAGCAGGTGCGCCTTCCACACAGCAATGCTGGGAGGAAAACAAAGGAAAGGCGCAGCAAAGCATCCCTGCAGGTGAAGAGCCCTCAGAAGGCGATGCTGTCACAGGTGAACCCTGGGATCAAACGTCCTTTCCTGAATTAAAAAACGTAACTTCGAGGGTGTGTGCAGGAGAGTCAGCAGTTCAGGGGCACCGGCATCGGGCACAGATGTCAGAGGGCTGGCCTGGCCCAAGAAGAGGCGACCTGGCGACATGGCGGGAGTGCGCGGCCAGAATGCCAGAATCAGAGGGGCGGGGAGGGAGCGGTGGGTGGGAGCCCTTCTCTGTTGGTTGTGCTAGGCATCCTTCCGGATGCTAACAGAAAACAAAAGAACAACAGAGCTGGGCCTTTCCAACTCCCAGTGGGGCGAGTTTGAAGAGAAACAGACAGGACATGCAGTATATTCGATGGTGATGAGTGCTGTAGAGAAAAAGGAAGCAGGGACAAGGGCTGGCGTGCGTGCTGTTTTGAACAGGGTAGTCAGAGAGGGCTCAGCCCTGCAGGCGTGGGGGAGCGTGCCTGCCGGGGAGAAGTCTGCAGGAGGCGGTGCCAGGCAGAGGGCATGTTGAGCATGAGGGTCTGAGGCAGGACTGTCCTACGTGAGGAACAAAGGGGACAGGTGGCTGGAGCGGAGATGGGGAGAGTCAGACCATAGGAAGGAATTCATACATTCACACACCTCCTTATCTCCCTCCCCACCCCCCACTATTCTTCTGTAGAGAACATAATGCAGATCACACACGATTGAAATTTCCTCCTGATTCTGCACTGTGACATTTTTAAATCATGGTGTTTTGTGTGTGTGTGTGTGTTTGTGTGTATGTGTGTGTGTGTGTGTGTGTGTGTGTTTCTATATTTATAAAGATTTTAATGGCAATTTAGAAGGGGACATGAGCTGGTGTGTCACCTTGTTAATTAGGGTGCAAGCACGTTGCTTGTATCAAAGAGATGCCAAAGCTCAGTGAACATCTGCAAGGCGTGTCGTAGGTCAGCAAGCCTCTCTCTGCTGAGAAGGTGACTTTGGCCAAACTCGTTGTCTTCCCGCCTGGTCACCTGACAAAGGGGCACTGTCGACTGCAGGGTCAGGTAGTGCAGTTTGTGCGGGGAAAGCCCCTGGTTGGAGTGCTGTGTCTTCCCGGGGAGACCTCACTGGTGGGAAATGATGACATTGGGCTCTCCTGCGTTTGGCGCCTCGTCTACATGGGCATGGCCCATGTGGGGACCTAGAAGGTACGCCCATGAGATGCTGGTCCTGTGTGAACCTGGCACTACAGTACCCACTCATGCTGGTCTCTTGCCTCTGAGCTTTTCTCGTTGGTGGAGTCAGAGGGCACTGGCCTATGCCGAGGTGTGTTTTAGGGCGCCTCCTGCTGGGGAAGCATGTCCATTGCTGCCCTGCTGGCACTCAGGGATTCCTTCAAGTTACGTGCAGATACAACCGCTGCTAAAAAGAAAAATGGAAGTTTGTCAGAGTCAACTGGGTCAGGGACGGCCTATTCAAATCTTAAGAGCCTGCATATCTAGTTGAGAAGACCCACTGGGTCTGGTCATTACAGCAGGAGAGGCGGTTCATTCTCTTTCTCGGTAGAGGCTGGAGGAGAGCAGTCCAGGCGGGAGGGGCAGGTCCATCTGCTCAGCATCTGGCTAACACCTGTGGGTCCAGGTGGTGGCTTCCATCCTCATCCTCTCCAGCCAGGGGCGGGAGGAAGGGGCCAACGGGGCACTTACCCCTTCTGGCTGCAGGGGCAAGGCCCAGAAGTGGCAGGAGCACGTACTCGTTGGTCACACCCACCTGCCAGGGAAGCAGAGAAACCCCTGTAGCTGGCAGCCATATGCTCTGCTGACCTCCAGAGTCCTGAGGTTCAACACAGGAGAATGGCTAGTGACCCTCAGCTGGCCGCCCCTGCCTTCGTCTCCATCTTAAACCCATCTTGACTTTTAAAACAACTACTCCATTTGAAATGAAACAAAGCCTGCGTTTGAATACGTAAGCAGGCAAATTTATGCTTTGCTTTGGGCATTTTGTACCCATTTGCTGTAAAACAAGTATGTCCAACTCAAAGGCTCACACGGGCCAAATAAACAAGGTTTAAGTTTATGTGGGCCACAAAAAACAAAAGCTTCAATTTTCATAGAAACGTAGGTTTATTTTGATAGAAACACGCTGAATACAACGGGCTGAGATAAATGAGTAACTGATAACATAAAATAAGAGAACATTTCAATAAAAATTAATATTTTTGTCTGGAACATTAACTTACCAGACACTGAATAACTGCACAAATTAATAAGCCTAACGCAAATAAACCTATTTTTCTTGTTCTCTGAAAGTGAAATATTTCCTGTCGCGCACACCAAACAAGTCAGTCCAAGACTAATGATGTGGCAATCGGCTGCTAAAATATTCACTGCTGGTATCAGTGGAGAGAAATGGTGCGTCTGCACATAAGGCGTGGACAATCCAATGGAACAGGATTATAGTAATCAGTTATTAGGGGATGTTGCAGTTCATTCTTAATAATGTGTAACAGGATATTGTAAAAATTAAGTCACAAAATTTAAGTCACAAAATTTAATTAAGTCATTAAAATGTTGCTTACACACCATTATATTGGCTGAGCTGCTGCAAAAATATTTACTGTGAGCTGCATGGGGCCCGTGGGCTGCGAGTTTGACATGCTTGCTATAGAAGCATATCCAATTATTGCTACTCCCCTCCCATTTCTTATTATGATGCACATTTCTTAGAACTTGTGTATAATCTGTCCTGCTGCCTGTTGTAAGGTTCGAGGCGCAGGAAACTGAAGTCAGAGACCACCAAGACATATTAAAGGAAGGTTTATTCCCCAGTGACGACCGGGACTCATTACGGAGGTAGAGAACTCAGAATTAGAGGAGGGGGAGAAGAAGGGACCCAACCGGGCTGACTCGCAGACGGAGAGAGAACAGCAACACGTGGGGCACTGAAGAGCCTTTTGAAGAGAGGAACAGGAAATGGTTGGACCCAGGGCAGAACAGGAAGGGGTGGGCCCCAAGGCACTCAGCACTCGCTGATTGGTGGTTCAATGTCTTGGGAATGTCTCCGTGGCAAATGCCAGTAATGTCATATAACTCCACCCACCAGTTGGGAGGAGGGAGGATCTCACACCTGTTTGCTTGTTTTTGTTTTTTTCCCCCCCCCCATAAAATATGGTCCACCAAGAGAAATTTCTCAAATGATTTGAGAGTACAAGTACACACATAGTAACAGTGGAATTGTAGCAATAGAACTATAGAACTGAGAGGATCTTTGGAAAGCCATTGACTCTCATCGTCTTAGTTTACAGGTGAGTCAGCCAGCAAATATTATTAAAATATCTAAGATGTGCCAGATACCTTGCTGTGCACCTTAGGGCAGGAGAAGACCAAGAGAGAACTCTATCCCTCAAATAATTTATAATTACTCTCAACTGTTTTGTCAGTTCTCCGAAATCATGCCTCACAATCAGCTTTACTTTCTTTAAAGCAAAAAATTGCTAAGGAAATGGAAAGTACCAAAATAAAGGAAGATGAACTAGTCACATATCTTCCCAAACTTCACGATACGGAAGACGAATATATGAGCAAAAACAAACGGTTTCAAGAGCTGAGTCGTATTCTGTTGGGTATGTATGAAACACTAAGTAATTGATTGACCTTAAGCCCAGGTGAGGATTTCACCATTGTATTGTAACAAGCAGTTTACCCACCCACCAAAGCAAGGTTGAATTTCCTTCACCTTTCCTCATCACCTTTAACTCAAGTCTCTAGGGTTTGGCTTTTTGTTTGTTTGTTTGTTTTCTTATCTATGAATTTGCTCTCCTTTATAACACAGAATCTTGCTGTCAAATTTTTCCTTTTCTTTTTAAAGATTGTTCAAAATTAAGAATTAGCAGCAACTATTATTATATGGTTTCTTCCTGTAGTTGGTAAAAGGTAGAATCAACTTCTTTATCTACTACCATGTGGAGATTTTTTTCCTGTTTCTTAACATGAATTTGCAAATTACATCGTTTCCAGCTATGATTTTAGCCTTAGGATTTGGACACAAGTGTTGCTTTTATTATAAGCCATAGTATTTGACTTTTAAAACCAGGTTCCTTTCTTGTTTTGATGATTTTTTTTTTAAGCCAGAGAACATTGTGGGTAATTATTTACTCTCGGTTATCTCTTTTATAGAACAAAAACATGAACAGAATTTACTGAACGATCAGATTTCAGTAATGACAAGAGAGTTTACAAGACAAGCGAACAGTCTGGTAAAGAGTCCATGCATTCGTTGTTCTTTCTTCTATTAAGATGTTGATATTAAAAAAAGAAAATGTTGGTATATACTCCTAGTAATACTTTGGCACTTTTGGAGTTTTCAGGAAATCAACACTGATTAAATCCTTTTAATATTAATGTTTTGCAATTTTTGTAACAATATACTCACATATACACATACATATATATGTGTATTTGTATCTCCTCCTTCCCACTTTTGCTGGACAGTTGTTCATATATCAATATATATATATATGTGTGTGTATATGCATGTCTTGTCTGTATCCTATATAATAACTAATATGCTAAGTCATCCGGTCAGCTGTTCAATCAAAGCATAATATGCTAATGATATGCTAAGGCTCCTCAACTGCTTGCTATGACATGCACTGACCACCAGGTAGCAGACAGTCAGTCCGTCAACCAGTTGCTGTGGCATGCACTGACCACCGAGGGGTAAACACTCCCACTGGTAGGTTAGCTTGCTGCTGGGGTCTGGCCAATTGGGACTGAGCAATATGGGCCAGACACTCGTTGGAGCCCTCCCACAGTCCCTCTGCAGCTGATCAACCTCCCACCTCCCTTCCTGGCCCCAATCGTGCACCAATGGGGTCTCTCAGCCTGGCCTGTGTCCTCTCACAATCTGGGACCCCTTTGGGGATATCAGAGAACCAGTTATGGCCCAGTCCTGCAGACCAGACTAAGGGACCCCACTGGTGCACAAATTCATGCACCAAGCCTCTAGTATCTCTACTAATAAAAGCATATGCTAGATAGTAATATGCTAATTAGACTGGCCATCTTTCAGATGACTTTCTGGACAAAGCCACAGTGGCAGGGACCGAGGCAGAGGTGGTTAGGGGAGATCAGACTGGCAGTGGAGAGCAGTTAGGGTGTGACCAGACTGGCAGGGGAGAACAGTTCAGAAACAATCAGGCCGGCAGGCAGAGGTGGTTAGATGCAATCAGTCAGGCAGGCAGGTGAGTGGTTAGGAGCCAGCGGTCCTGGATAGCAAGAGGGCTGTCCCGTATTGGAGAGGGTGCAGGCTGGACTGAGGGACCTTCCACCTCTTCATGCATGAATTTTGTGCACTGGTCCTCCAGGATATATATATATATATATATATATATATATATATATATATATAGAGAGAGAGAGAGAGAGAGAGAGAGAGAGAGAGAGAGAGAGAGAAGAGAGAGGGGGGGGGAACTCTAGAAGCAACTAACATGTAACCATGGGAACATCATTAGGTGGCCTGTTTCCTTATTTATAAGGTAGAGATTGGGTTATGCTTTCTAAAGTTCTTTTCAGGTCTGTTACTTTGGTAAATTCCTATGAAGACAAGGATAAGTGGTCAGAGGTTGCAGGGTTGGGAGGGAGTGGATGAAAAGGGAACAGGTAAAGAGATGTTTACTACCTTTTTAAAATTTATAATCAGTAGTTAATGATAAACATGTATGTGGAGTTGCTTAATTAAAAATGGGAACATCCTATTTTTTTAGATGCACTGATATAAAAAGTAACTTTTAAAAAAATAATTTTATTGATTTTTTACAGAGAGGAAGAGAGAGGGATAGAGAGTTAGAAACACTGATGAGAGAGAATCATCGATCAGCTGCCTCTTACACATCCCCTACTGGGATGTGCCAGCAACCACGGTACATGCCCCTGACCAGAGTCGAACCTGGGACCTTTCAGTCTGCAGGCCGATGCTCTATCCACTGAGCCAAACCGGTTTCGGCTAAAAAGTAACTTTTAACATGTTATTGGCATAGATATGAAGGGGAAATTTGTAAGTATACAATATGTACAATTTTATGTTCTTAATAAGATGCTGCTAGTGATGATTATGCAATGAATAAAGATTGTGATTTATAACTGCAGAGATTGTCCAAAAAAACAAAGTTTCTTAAAAATCTATAAAGTCATATTCTTTTCCTTCAAGAAATAGTAAATTCTCTCAGAAAATCCTCAACAAACTTCATTCTCCTCTTCCCTACTTTTGCTAGCGATTGTTCATATATCAACATATATTCTGTTTTGTGAAGTTGTCTCAACAACTTAACTTAGGGCCCATGGACCTGCTTCCCAGAGTCCATGAATAAATTCCCATGACTCAGCTTTTGGATTTCACACACAGTTTTTCAGCGGGAAGGCCTGCATAGCCTCAGCTGATGGTTCAGGACTTCTTGGGACTCCTCTCTGAATGTGGTCCAGGTGGCCTAATGCATCAGTGCCCTGATCCTTGAATCTGTGGGTTAATTGCTGGCTTTATGTCTGAGCAGAATAAACTGAAGAAAGAATTACAACAGTCGCGGGATCAAGAAAGCAAAAGATTGAAAACTAATTTTGAAATTCTAAAGAACTTAGAAAATGAAGTATATGTACATGACCTAGAAACAGAAGTTTTGCTCCTGGAAAATGAAAGGTTGAAACAGGTAAGTTCAAGAGCACTTCAGTGTGCACAGAGGTTTTGGTTGTAATCGTTGTGAGAGAATAGCTCTTACAGGCCTTTAAATGAAGCTTAACGTACCTATAGGAAGGTGCCCAAATCATACGTGTAAAAGCCTGATGAACACACGGGGATGACCAGCACCCAGATGGAGAAACAAAGCGTTACTGGTGTCCATGTGCCCTCTCAGTCCCTTCCCGTCCCCGACCGCCTCACAAGGGCAACACCAGACTGGCTTCTAACGCGACAGACTAGTTTAGCCTGTTTTTGAACATGACACGTGTGGAATGAGACAGTGCGCACTTTTCTGCTCAAACACTGTGCTTGCGAGGTTCATCTTTATTGTTGGGTTCAGTTGAGGTTGTTTCGTTCTTATTTCTGGATAGTACTCGATTGTAGGACTCTACTACAATATTTACACACTCTACCATTGAAGGGGGTTCCGAGTTTCTTGTGTGGGCTATTACAAATAGTGTTGCTAGGAAAATGCTAGTACATGTAGGGGTTTTTTTTGTTTTTGTGTTTTTGGTGAACATATGTACATATTTCTGTTGGGCATACACACAAGTGGAATCACAGAGCCATGGAGATATATACGCCACATTAGCGCAGAGTGCCAATTTCCCACAGAGGTTGCAGTGATTGCCACTCCGGGAGTAATGTATGAGAATACCAGCTGTTCTACATTCTCACCGAAGCTCGGTCTTTTTCTTTGTGAAGTGCTTGCTCGTCTGCCCATTTAAAAATTAGGCCGTTTGTATTGATTGTATCCCTCCCCACAGTGAACTGTCAGGACCTCGATAGGTCAGGAAGTGGGTCAGTGTATCCCAACTCTTGGCGCAGTCCCTCGCATGTAAGAGAGATTCAGTTCCGTGGGGCGATCCCAGTAACCTTACAACGTGGATAATATATTCTGCCCCTTTTATAGAGGGGGAAACCGAGGCTCCGCATTTTTTTTATTTTTATTTTTTAGAATTTTTTAATAGTTGGAAAAATAAAAGCAGTCCTACAGCAATAAGACTGTACGTAAGGAGAACATTCCTTTAGCTCTCTGGGTGATTGTTGTCCTCAGTTCAACGACAGCAGTTTTCCCACCAACAGTTTGTGCATTTGTTGGTAGAGTTAAAGTGGCGTAAAAGGTACTTTGAAAAAGTAAATGTGCTCCATGGAGCTCAGGTACCATCGCCAGTAAGCCCCACACACATGTTTGTTCTTCTAGCCCTTGAACCAAACTCATAAGGAATTCCATCCATTCATGGAAATACCCCACTCTATTTTCTTCCTGTCACGGTGATATATATTATTCATTAAAATACTTGGAATTTTACTGCTATTTTGGTAATGAGCAAGCAAATGAATGCCTGTGTCAATGGCTGATTCTAAAAGTTCCGCTTTTGGATTAAAATGCCCAACCTACCGATTCCCCTGGATGACCCTGTGCTTTTATCTTATTCACTCACCATTTTGTTTTGCTGATTACGTATCTTCACTCAACACACACTCTAAGCATCCGCTGAGCCCAAACCCTGGGGAAGGTGCCATGAGGCCCGTCCGAGCCCTTGGGCCTATAAATAGGTCATTACAGTTCAGGGAGTTAACCCCGTGAGAGTGACGGTAGGCCAGCTGAACTAGGCAAGTCTGCAAACAGTGAGCACGTTCAGAGAGAGGCAGGAATGATGATTTGGACTTGACTTTGGTTTTCTGTAACATCTGCCAACAAGGCCAAGGTTGCGTGAGTAGATGCTGTACCACTGTGGTAAAAACAGTTTGAGGTCATCTCCTTATATTTTTTTCAGTAGTTTCCAGTCACTACTATTTATTTCTCTCTTGAAACTGGACCAGTGTCACGCTTACATCCCAAAGTCCGTCCTTTCGTTAGATTTCCTGAGTAGTGGATGGTCAGAGAGAAAGCCATGACTTTACTATCCAAACCACCGTTACCTCCATCACCAGCCCAGTGGGTGTCTTCTGCCTCAGGAAACCCTCTCCCTGATCTTATGCTGAGTTCCTCCCGCCAGGCAGCATCGCCGCTGTGACTTTCACTGCACACCATTTTGCATAAGGAACATTGTGTGTGTGTGTGTGTGTGTGTGTGTGTGTGTGTGTGTGAGAAAGAGAGAGAGAGAGAGAGAGAGAGAAAGAGAGAGAGAGAGAGAGAGAGAGAGAGAGAGGGAGAGAGAGAATTTAGAATACCATTTAATTTCTTCTATGTAAAATTATATTCAGTTTATTTGGGTGCCAAAATGCTTGCTAGAAAGCAGGATCTTTATCTCCCTCACTAGAATGTAAGCTTGACAGGGCTCTTCACCACTATTACCACTGCACGTAGAACAGTTGATGGCACAGAGGAATCAATAAGTGTTTGCTGAGTGACTGCACAGAGAACTATAATAATTCACAGTAACTAAACTGCCTAAAGCAATTCCATGCCTTTGATTTCCAGTACATTGCATACATAAAGACCAAGATAGAGCCGTACACACCAAAAGCCAGCATGTCCATCTACAGTGACCTGTCCTGGCAGCTGATAGCTAATTACGGTAAGTTGTGTGTCCTGTGTGATCTCTATTTATAAAGTAGAAAGCTTTTGTTTTTATTTAAATCAAATTTTACCGGTTTCCATGCAATGGATGCACCCTCTTAAGTTCAATGAGTTTTGGTAAATGTGCCTTCCATCGTAACCACTACCAGCACAGACAAGACCTAGGTCATTCTCACTCCTCGTGTTCCTTTGTTGTCCCACCCGACTTCCAGTTCCTGGAAACCACTGACCTGCTTTCTGTCACTAAGGACTGGATATAAATGGAATGATAGACTATACACACTTTTGTACCTGGCTTCTCTCACTCAACCAGCTGTTTTTAAGACCCATCCATGTTGTTGCACATATCATTGGCTTGCTCCTTTAGGTAGCTGTATAGTATTCTACTACATGGCTATACCATGTTTTTTGTGGGGTTTTTTTTTACCCACTAGAGGCCCAGCGCATGAAATCGTGTGCGTAGGATCCCTAGACCTGGCCTCTTGCGATCAGGGCCATCTTCTGCCCATTCGCCAGTTCCCGCCTCCGCCACCAGGCTGTCAGGCCATTGGGATCCACCAGCTCAACCCTGGCTGCTCAGGGGCTCAGGCCTGTGGGAAAGCATGCCCTGGTGACTTCACCTCCATGTGCGAGTGCCAGGACGGCCGCTGATGGAACACACTGCCTGCTCGGGGCCGCTCATTCAGGCACCGTTGCCGCTGCCACTGCCGCTGGGGCTTGAGGCGCTGAAAGCAACTGTGGGGCATGGCTGTGACCTGTCTGCCCCAGTGTGAGCAGCCCTGAGCGGGCAGCATGTTCCATCAGCGGCCGGCCTGGCACACACACTCAGAGGTGAGGTCGCCGGCACCTGCTTTCCTGCAGGCCTGAGCCCCCGAGCTGCTGGGCATGAGCAACGGCCTGACAGCCAGCCCGGTCCTCCCACCGCCCACTCCGATTCCCCCATTCACCATCGTTGATCCATAGGAACTTGTAGAGCTGGGGACAGGGACCAAGAGGTCAGCCGTTCAGCCTACTCGCCAGTCCCCAGTTCCATCGGGCCACCGCTCTCGGACCAAGGGTGTAGGGACCGAGAGGTGGTCAAAGTCACCTCATGGTGAATAGTCAAGTGGTCATTGTGGTCACGACGCTTATGGCCTCTGGCCTTTTATTATATAGGATTCACCAGCGGAAGGGCATTTGAATTCTTTCCAGTTTGGGGTTACTATTTACCTACAAGTGTTTTTTTATTTTAGTATTTGTTTTTAAATCCTCACCAAGGATATGATTTTTATTGGTTTTTAAAGAGAGAAGAAAGGGGAGCACATTGCAGCACATCATTTACTTTGCTCTCAAATTGCCCATTTGGTCAGAGCTTGGTGGAGACAACGGGGTCTGCCCCACATGACTTCAGCTGGGCAGCTCGATGTGGGGCAGCTTGCTGGCCGGGGTATCAGCAGCTGTGGGCTGGAGTCATCTGAAGACCATGCACCCACCTGGCTGACGTGGTCCCATTCTCTGCTTGTTTGCGGTGGGAGGGCAAGTCTGACCTAATTCTTCTGTCCTTTTGGAATATTTACACAAAACAATTTTTGAGACACAAATAGCATTTCTTTGATTAAAAAAAATGTTCCAATTGTTTCAGTAACCTGTGCAACAATCTTTATTTTAGCACAATATTTGGACTTGTGGGCAGAATTTCAGGTCACTATAAAGGTGAGTTTTTGTTTTACCATATTTCTAAGAGTATTTACCTCCCGAACAATGTAATGTTCTATGTCAATGATAGCTCCATAAGAAAATTAACCATTGACAGCATTTTTTTTTTTTTAGTTCAGTGATTTACTAATCCGTTTCTTCTGAGATCTTTTATAGAACTTTGCGAATTTGCACATTTATTTTGCATGACTAACACCAATTTTGCACATACATTTTTGTCTTGGATATGATTTCCTGGACAGAACGTTTTTATTTTTTATTTTATTGCAATTCATACACACTCAAAAATGCTACTTTTTTTTTTTTAAAGGCATTTGTATGTGATAGTCAAGACACTTTGCAAGAAATAGAAACTCTAATAGACAGGCTGTGTGCAAGAGATGAAAAAATTGCCCAAATCAGTATTTGGTTAGAAGGGAGTCTTGAAGGGTTGCGGTACCTGTACACTGTGGAAATTCCTGGTAAGTTGCCCCTCAAGAGCTTCAGTAACAAAGGACTTCCTGCTCATTTGCATAGCCCATGCTGTCAAGAACACCCTCCCCCAGATAAGAGTGCCTGCCTGCTGGTAACATAGTTATGGCCAACAACCCACCCCTAACCATGCCCGGACATGAACATTCTGGTGAGCACTGATTCTCACCTGCGGGGCGGGGCAGCGAGCCGGAGAGTCTCCCTTCCACCTAAGAGACTTTTCTCTGTAACTGAACCTCAACTTACTTCTGATTTTTCAAACTCTTATTTTAAACACTTTCCAAAGCAGACTTTCCAAACTCTCTCACACATTTCCTTGTCTTCATAAGTAAGGAGATACTGAGCATCAGTTTACCTTTTCTTCCCTGGAGTGAATTTAGAATTATAAACAGCAACGGACTGCCTTTTCTGACAATCTCGTGAGGCCTCCTGGGGGCTTCTGAGATGTGAATACATCCTATAGCCCAGCGTTTCCCAAACTTTTGACATGTGTGTACCCCTTCTATAATTTTTGTAACGCTGAGTACCCCTCGTACTCATGAGAACGTAGAATTGGGCGCAGCTAAGCACAATGCAGTGCATATCCCCACCAAACTCTTCCCGTACCCCTGGGGGTGCGCGTACCACACTTTGGGAAACACTGCTGAGTATAGCCTATAGGTTTGACCGCCTCAGGATTCAAGCAGCTGGGTCTCTCCTGAGGAATATCAGCTTCCTCCTTAATTCCTACTTTAACTCAGGGCCCTGACCAGGTTAGGGCAATGGGGCTGAGCCCTCACACGGGCACAGCAGGGGGTCCCAGGGGTGGAGACCTTGATGCCCGTGGGGTGTGGAGGGCTGGAGAGGAGGCGGGAGAATAGAGTGCAGGAGAGCGATGGAGTTACAAAATGGAAAAGAAAAAAAAAATCCTTCGGCAAGTATATGGAGTTAGTAGAGGTCGTTAAGGTTTAATTTTAAAGAGCATTAGATAAGTAATTTTAAAGGTGGGGTGTGGGAAGTAAAATGAAATAGAATAAAAGCAAGTTGAGAACAAGTGATGGGATCAACAGCCATTTCAATATTTGCTAAAAACCAGTGTGCGGAGGGTTTTGCTGACAGAAGTACTGTGCAGGCAGCCAGGGAAGCATTTTGTGGGAAAGCCCCCTCGTATCAGCCAAAAGGCCGTCTTGGCCTTCCTGCTGGGGCCTGGTGCTGCTTCTCCGGTTGGAGTGCACAAAGGATCCCTAGCGGGCCTTCCTGTCTTTGTATTTTCTTTGCAAGGCCAGGCCGTCCCCAGCGACTGTCGATCCGGTGGAATTTCAACAGCTAAGTCATCTCTATGTGTCAGTTTCATTATTTTCACATGAGCGCATCTTCTGCTTTTGTCTGAAGCCTGATGGAATCTTTGTGTTGGGGCAGACAGAAACAGACTACCTTGAAAAGCCGAGGCGTAGAGCTTGGGACAGCAAGGCAGGCGGTCACCGCCGCTTGCCTTTGGCAGAGCTCCAGAGGCAGGGCGGGTAGTGGGCAAGGTCTATGGTGGACGAGAGGAGGCGTCAGGGGCGCGGGGACGGAGGCCGTGGGCCCGGGGAAGCCATCAGTGAGCATGTCTGCCTTCCTCTGATTGGCCCTGCTTTTAGGTTCCATCCGTGTTTCATTATCAACTCTAAACTGTATTCAGCAAGTCCTTACCAAATGTCTGTGCTGTGCCAACTATTGTATTAGGCTGTGGGGTTACAACAGTGAATGAAAACAGGTCTAGTCCCTCCTCAGTGGAAACCACGGTCAGGTGCAGAGGTCGGCAAACTTTAAAGGGCCAGACAATATTTTTGGCTTTGCCAGCCAGGAAAGGTCTCCTACTCAACTACTCAGCTCTGCCATGGTGGCAGAACTGCTCTTCAGGTGCAGCTGGTCCACCCCTGGTATGGCGGGAGAATCAGGTCATCTACAAATGTACGTAAAATGTCAGTGTCCTAAGTGTCATGAAGGGGGGCATAGGTACTCCAGAACCTGAGAGGGAGACTGGTTAGGGGTCGGGAGACGTCTCTGAAGAACTGGAAGTGGAGGTGAGATCTGAAGGAAGATCGCCACCCCCTTAGCTCCGCTGAGTTTTGCTCCTGGAGCAGTGGCACCATGTGGGCTCACATCGCAGCTTTGCTCCTTACGTGCTGTTTAGCCTCCCTGGTTGTAAAATAAAAGGGACAGCAGCAGTAAGAAAGCGACAGCAGCAGTTAGACCTTTATTAAGTGCTTATCAGATTCCTGAAGCCTACCACCCGCCCGGGGTGGTAAAGGCCAGCTTTGGTCCCGTGGATTACCTGGCCACCTCTGAGCCACCTGTAACCTCCCAGCTTTTAAATGTTCTCGTAGAATAGCTTCTCTCCCACAGGGACTTCTAGAGAAGCCCCTGATCTCTTCCAGCTCAACAGCCCTCCCCTGCCCTCTTCTGGGCACATCGTGTCACTGCAGTCCCGCAGGTCCTGACCCTCTCCTCCCGGAACACTGCACTGGCTGCATTAGCACCATGGGCACCTTTGAGTCTGGCAACAGAGTTGAAGGACACCCAGTGTGAATGTCAGAGTGCACTTTCTGTGAGAATGAGACAAGAGACGGTTAGAACCCAGTGGGCTCCTTCTAATGAGTGGCTAGGGGGGAAGGGAAAGAGGGGTGTCGGAGTCTTTTTGTGTGTTGGAATACACAGGGATGTCTTCCCAAAGGAGCAGCCCCGTCACCTGGCCAAGAACTGCAACAGCATGGCTGAGGGCAGATCTGCTGGGGTTCCAGCTGGCAAGAGGGGAGAGGGGAGATGGGGAGGTGGTGTGGCTTGTCAGAAAATACCAGGCTTCATCCTGAAATCTAAGATAGTTGCTTTTTGCCTTAATATTCTTTCTTATAAACAAGTAAATAAGCTAATTTGTAGTGTATACCTAAACCAAATAGCAACTGAGTATGGACTTTTTTAAAGCATTAAAAAGAATGTTTTAAAATTCCAAAAATCCTTGAGTCCTAGCTCATAAAGAGGGAATATGCAAATTGACCACCACACCATCACAAAGGTGGCAGTGCCCACAGTGGAGGGGGGGGGAAGTGGTTTCCGTAACACAAAATGGCTGCACCCACAGCAGAGGCCAAGTTTCTGTAACAAACCTTAAGAAGCAATCAGCAGGGACCTGAGGCTGCATGGTGCTGGGCCAGGGAAGGGGACTGAACCTGCACCCCCCACCTGGTGGGGCTTGATGGGGGACTTCAGGCCACACCCCCTGCCCAGCAGGGCTTGACAGGGGCCCTAAGGCTGTGCCCCCCACCTGGTGGGGCTTGAGGCTGTACCCCCCGCCATGGCGCCAGGCCAGGGGGCCTGAGGCCACGACCCCTGCTCTGTGGGGCTTGAGGGGGACCTCAAGGTATGCCCCTGCCCTAGTGTTGGGCCGGGGGACCTCAGGCCCTGTGCTGGGGGACCTCAGGCTGCTCCCCCCCCCTGCCCTGTGCTGGGGGACCTCAGGCTGCTTCCCCCCCCCTGCCCTGTGCTGGGGGACCTCAGGCTGCTCCCCCCCCCTGCCCTGTGCTGGGGGACCTCAGGCTGCTCCCCCCCCCTGCCCTGTGCTGGGGGACCTCAGGCTGCTCCCCCCCCCCCGCCCTGTGCTGGGGGACCTCAGACTGCTCCCCCACCCCCGCCCTGTGCTGGGGGACCTCAGGCTGCTTTCCCCCCGCCCCGTGCTGGGGGACCTCAGGATGTGCCCCCCACCCTGGTGCCCGGGGACCTGAGGCTGTGACCCCTGCCCAGCAGGGTTTGACAGGGGATCTGAGGCTACAGCCCCCCACCAGGCAGAGCTTGATGAGGGACCTGAGGCTGCACCCCCCGCCTGGTGGGGTTTGACAGGTTGGCGCCAGCCAGGTCTGGGTCTTGCCCAATGTGGGTGGGGCTGGCTGAGTGTGGGTCTGGTGTGATTTTGAGGCACCACAGGTGGGCAGGGTCTTGACTCTGGGTCCCACGGTGCGCCCCAGACTCTGACAGGAGGAGGATTTTCATATACATCTAATTTTCTTTCATCTCTGACACTTCTATTATAAAGGACAAATAACAATATTAAAATATTTCCTTTAATGAACCCCCTTTTAATGTGCACAAATTTCATGCACTAGGCCATTAAGTTATACTATAATTTTGAATGCAGATAATCTGTATACTAACCAAATATTTTAACTTGATGTCTGCTCTCTAGACTTTTTAGGTCAAGAGATATTTTAAAAGAAAGATCAAATATATATATCTTTGTTATTGTGATGGACAAGAACTTGATATAATTATCTGTATTTTGATCATTTAATGGGAAAGAACACAGTTATGATCCAGCAGAATCAAAATTTCAGTGAGAAATATTTTTAAAAAATCATTTCCCAAAAATTGTGAAAAAGTCTCTTGGAAAAATTAAAATCTGAACTAGGAAGAGTTTAGACAATGGTTCTCAAACATTAGAATCACCTGGAGGTTTTAAAATCTTTGGCCCAAATCCCAGACCAATTGACCATGAGTCTCTAGGGGTGGGACCCAGCCATGTTTTTAGCAAGTCTCTCTAGCTGGTTCCAATGTACAGTCAAGTCTTGCAAACCAGCAGTTTTAGACAAATACGTAACAAGGTAACTTAAATGGATACACTGACCAAAATCAGAAAATATTTGACTTTAAATAACCTATCCAGCACTGGTTAGCACAATTATCACTAGAGCAGTGAATTGTAGTACAAGGACTTAATGTCAAGACTAAGTTGAGCTAGACACGAGTAATTTTTGTATATTAATAACCATGTTTTAACAAGCTAGTTTAATAACATTAGCAGCCACAGTTGCTATGAATTATTCCTCTTGTTCTTCACAGTGCAAATTAAAAATGCAGATATGTACTAAGTATTCCTGAAAGTCTTTGCCTTTGAGTTGTAATCATAATTACTTGCATGATTTCTCCTTTTGCATACACACTTTTCTGCTAGAATACATCAGAGAAGATGCCTAAGATGGCTCCAAATGTGGTAGAAAAAGAACAGTCCTGGTAATCGGATACATGCCCCCTCCCCCCCCCCCCCGGGCTCCCCCTCTCCAATTGTGTAGTTGTCCAATGGGCAACTTAGAATTTTAATGGACACTAATAACCACCCAAACCTGTCTGAAATACACATAGAATTTTTACAATTTTATTTTTATTCTTACAGAAGAGAAGACCAAACAGAAACGTTTCAAAAAAGTCGCCAAAAAAGTTCGTCACAAGTTGGCTGCATTTAATATCAAAAACATAGTAACAAAGAAAAATTAACAAAAGAATTCTAAGGATACAACTGCTGTGGATTCAAAAGGCATAAACTACAGACAAAGTGAGTGCACATTCTTCCACAATTTGCAACTGTCAATGAAAGTATTAAAGTTTGAGATTTAACAAACTTGTGTAACCCCCACCAATAGCAGAATCAGTAAATATAGTTCCCATGATTACAACCATAAGTCTGTTCAGAGTATAAAAATAGACAAGCAGCATCCCCATCAACAACCACAGTAAAACTGTTCCTATGCTGTGTAGATTCTCCATTTTGTTAAATCTAAGAAGCCATCAATTGTGTGATGCAGCTTAATTCAGAAATGTCCCAAGATGGAGAAAAATGTGTCTCAGGATCAAAAAAAAATGTGGCATGTGCATGCATCCTTAAAAAATAATATATAAGCCCTGGCTGGCTGGCGCAGTTGGTTAGAGCATCATCCCATACACCAAAGGTGGCAGGTTTGATACGTCAGGGCACTTACCTCGGTGCCAGTTCAATCTCTGCATAACCAACTGATGTCTCTCTCTCTTCAATCCAATTTTTTAAATAAGATGTAAGAGGAAGGAAATATGTGAGAACATGTATTTGTTCACGTGGGAAAAAGACATTAATCTCACTACCTAATATTTTTAATTTCCACAATTACAAATGTCAGAACATTTGAGACTTCTTGCCAAGTTTTTCATTATTGTTTTTCTTTATAGGAACAGGAATAATACGAAGATATTTTCAACCAAACTACCTATAAATAGGAAACTATTATATAAATTATGCTCTATTTTTAAAGAAAATACTGTAGTGGTGAAAATAAATAGATGATAAAAGACAACATACTTTGTATTTCTATGCTTGCTATCAGACCCCACAGGTATGTGTCTTTTTTTTGTTTGTTTAATATATTTTATTGACTTTTCACAGAGAGGAAGGGAGAGAGAGAGAGAGAAACATCGATGAGAGAGAGTCATCGATCAGCTGCCTCTTACACACCCCCTACTGGGGATATGCCCGAAACCAAGGTACATGCCCTTGACCGGAATCGAACCCGGGACCCTTCAGTCTCCAAGCCGACGCTCTATCCATTGAGCCAAACCGGTTTCGGCAGGTATGTATCTTTTTGATTCATTACACTTGAAAGCCAGGTTGAAATACATCAGGCAAGCACAATTGTGCCAAAGCTAAGAATCCCATATTATACTTATTAAAGTATTTAATAAAAATAAAAACAACATATTGCTAGGTCCACAGAAACATGTTTTTGCTCTGAACAATAACTAAATTGGTGCGAGAGATAGGCCTCCTGGGCCATGTAATAGTGTGCTGTAAGCGGGATAGTGTATTATACCACATAACAGAGAATTGTAGTGTTTGTTTCTAAGTCTGACCATAAAGTCTTAGGTCAAAAACAAAATCAGCCAACCCAAAACATTACGATATACTGACAGTCTCATTCCCACCTATGACAGAAGAAAACTAACACATTTTTTATTTCTTTACTTTTTTATTAAGAATACTTCTTAGGGGTTTTGGCATGTTATGTTCAGTGTCCATTGGCTCCTTCCGAGAGTATCCGTGAAGGTTCGGTAAACTTGGCTGTGAACAGGTAAAACAGGGCTGGCGTGGGTACCAGAGCCAACAGGGGTAAGTCTTGCTCGAGTTTGTCCACTCTGGAGATGGAGATGATCCCGTAAGCATGAAGTAGCCAGTGGCTGAAGAGAACAATGAGTCTTTTCTTCCGGACTAGAAGATCATAGCAGTTCTGTATCATTTTATAAGAGAGAGAAGAGAGAACCAGATAATCACTTATATTGTGATTGAAACGTATTATTTACAAGTCCTACCTCAGAATCAGACTCTGAGCTAAAAGGGCCCAGAGGGAGCACTTGCTGGCCTCTACTCTTCCTGAGGAGCAGGGGGAGGCCCTGTAAGCGCTGCGGCAGCGCAGGACAGGAGCCATGTCTACGTCCTACCCCATCATCGCGGGGAACACTAGGGCTGCTTCTGAAGGAGTGAGCTGGGAGGTGAACACCCCGTGACGTGCCTTCCTCCTGCCCTGCCGCTGCGTCTGCAGGTGAGAAACAGGAGGTGCGCACACCAGCTCCGTAACCTCAGCTTCCCTGGTCTGCTGCCTGAACACAGCTCTCTAACATGCAGAAATGGGAAGGGCTATTATTATTAAAGTAATGGCTGAATGTGCTAATACACATACTGAAATGGAATTTGGGATATTCTATTACTAACTTTCTCTTACTAAATGGCTCTTTAACTCGCCTAAAGCTAGACTTACAGACTGTCTTTCCTGATCCAGGTCTCTCTTAGATTTATGGGTGGAGTCCTAACTGAAGTACATGCACATTTTATAGGAGAGATTCCCAGGGGCAGGGACACAAATAAGTTTCAAGCTAACATAACTATTATCCATAGTAGTTAAGGATAATTAATAAATTCACAAACTTCATTTTACTCAAATATTCAACTATTATATTCCCCCCTCTAATATTTCCCTAGCATTGAAAAAAGTGCTAAAAGTGCTTTAATTATACATATTGTGATACTGATTAAAGATTATAAAGGGGAAGTAGAAACAACTGAATAATCACCATCAAAATATTTTGTCTGTTCCTCTACTATATTATTCTCCCTGTGTCATTCTCTCTCACCTTTTCACTAATGAACTGAAAGAGAGGCATCAACAGCAAGCTTTCCAAAATAGTTAACTTACTTTCTCTGGATCAAGCTTTTGATTAAATTAAATGTACTTTAATCTCTGGATTAAATTAAAATATAATATCCCTGGGTTAAGGTTAAGAATTATGAGAAAGCACATGTCTATCAAGTGTGGTGGGCAGCGGACTGCATGGGCACTAGGTTAGCAAGCTCAGGGTGAAACAGTACTAAGCCCCTGACACGCTACTCCTTCAGAGTTTAACCTCAAAATGAGTCCTCTCTAACAGTGACCTTCTACTGAAATACTGAAAAGAAGCACAAATGGTTCTCTCAAAACAGAAATAGTATCAGAAGTAATGTTACTATTAGTGTTATTTCCAAATCACCAAAATAGTATAGATATTAGAGGACAAAAGTAAACATCCATAATCAAGAAAATAAATTGGAGACAAAATATAGAAGGGTGGAGAATGTGCAATATAATTCTGGTGTCAGTGTTGCCAGTGTAAAATAATGTGTAAAATTAGTTTTATACATCATAAAGCATTTTTATGTTTCCCTCAAAATGGTGTTACGTTTTCAACATTTCATAATTAAATGTTTTCTGAGTAAATTATGTGAAATAATTTTTTTCTCCAACATGCTAAATAGTTGAGCCTGACTACTTCACTAATTTCCCAACCAAATACAGTCCAGTATACAACCATTCATAAGCTACGTAATGAGATCAACTAGCCAAGGATTACTAAAATGATCATAATCATATGTATTATCCTCCTATTCAATTGTCAAACCCATAAAAAAAATCTCTAAGGAAAACATTTTTCCTACCTCTATTTCAGAAGCCGACATGTACACAGCCAGAGTAACCAAAGATAACACCAATATAATGTATGGGAAGGCGTAATCTGAAAAACAAACATTGGCATTATTTGAAAATTAAGCATAATTTCAAACAGTTTAATTCTCCCCATAACTGAAAACTTTCTCAGTCAGTCCTGTGAGAGACGTTAGCCTCGGGGCCCTGAGGCAGGGCCAGCAAAGGCCCTGTAAAGGGCCAGACAGTCCCTGTTTTTGGCTCTGCAGGGTCATCAGGGTCGGGACAAGGTGGATGGAGCAGCACTTCGACACACTACTCAGAGCAGTGTGCGTGCAATTTAAAACTTAGAAATTATTTACTTCTGAGATTTCCCATTTAATATATTTGGACCACTGTTTACAGGTAACTTAAACCATGGGAATCAAAACTGCAGAAAAGGGGAGACTACTGTACTTGGAATACTTTAAGTATGGAAATACTATTATTATATAAGCAAAATGTTTTTCTTATACAATACTGTCTTTTTCTTCAATGTTTTAAATTTATAACATTAAAAGAAAGGAGCAAACTGAGAAAAGTACCTTAAATTATATTTCATACAGCTGAAACTGGTTTGGCTCAATGGACAGAGCATCGGCTTGGGGACTGAAGGGTCCTGGGTTCGATTCTGGTCAAGGGCATGTACCTTGGTTGCGAGTATATCCCTAGTAGGTGGTGTGCAAGAGGCAGCTGATCGATGACTCTCTCTCATCAATATTTCTAACTCACTCTCTCTCCCTTTCTCTCTGTACAAAATCAATAAAATATATTTAAAAAATCTTTAATACAATTGTTTTAAAATAATTAACTTCAGTTTATGAAACCAATCATGCTACATGGCAGTGAAATCCATTCGGAACAACTTCAAATGTTAATTTGGGAAGCAGAAGCCAGGACCTCAGAATTATCCATAAAGGCCTAATTCCAACTTACTAAATAACTGAATGGCTTGCCTGAGATTTAGGACCTTTTATTTCATAGACAGTGCTTAGGTCCTCAACCAGTCATTCCAAAAAAAATCACAAGGCGTTTGTAATTTTTAAAAAATGTTACTGATACAAATTTAAGCCCTGGCAGAAGAGGAAGTTTCTAACAAGGTCCAAACTTCAAACCTGGGCTCGGGGCAGGATTTAACATAGCCTTACTCTAGGATCTAAAACAGTTTGAGATTTTGAGCCATTATGCCTGGTGGTGGGCCTGGAGTAATTTCTATATATCGAATGCAAAAAACAGTTTTTGTTTTCTAATTTATACTTGGGTTTTAAAAATCTTTCTGTTTAAGTTATAAGCTTAAAATACAAAGTATTCCCTAAATAGAAATCTGTTTTGGTTAGCTGCCACTGATTTCCTGAGAATTTCTATTTCATTCTTAAAAAAAAAAATCATGATTTTTTTTTTAAAGGCTTATTATATGTTTTAGGAAATATATATACTGTGGTTTATTTTCAAGAATTAAAAAATTCGCCCTGGTTTGATTCAGGGGATAGAGTGTCGGCCTACAGACCAAAGGGTCCCAGGTTCAATTTCAGTCAAGGGCACATGCTGGGGTTGCAGGCTCGATCCCCAGTAGGGGGCGTGCAGGAGGCAGCCAATCAATGATTCTCCCTCATCACTGATGGTTTTTTTTTTTGTTTTTTTGTTTTTTTGTTTTTTTTAAGTATATTTTATTGATATTTTACAGAGAGGAAGGGAGAGAGATAGAGAGCTAGAAATGTCGATGAGAGAGAAACATCGACCAGCTGCCTCTTGCACACCCCCTACTGGGGATGTGCCCGCAGCCAACGTACATGCCCCTGACCGGAATCGAACCCGGGACCTTTCAGTCCGCAGACCGATGCTCTACCACTGAGCCAAACCGGTTTCGGCGATTCTCCCTCATCACTGATGTTTCTATCCTTCTCCCTTCCTCTCAGAAATCAATAAAAATGTATTTTGTAAAAATTCGATTTTAAAGAAAAAGCTCCAAAATTATTCTCAGAAGATATTATTGATCACATATAATATATAGCTATTTGCCCAAGACACTTACATAGAAGGCCTCCGCCAACTGCCTGAAGCACGGTTAGGATGGGGAAGAAATAAAGTGCAGCATAAATACTCTTAAATCGATCCGACTTCCCTAGCCCACAGGCAATCTTCTTCACCAGCAGGGGGCGGAGCAGCATCATTAACACCAAGCAGAACGCATAGTAGATAAATACAATGGTGTAGCTGTAAAGTAAGGAATTACATTATCAAAAATACTTTCAAAATACTTTATCATTGATCATGTTTAAATCAAAGGTCCTATAAAAGGTTAAAAAAGCATACTAAGTCTACCCACTGAATATTCACATTGGTGGATGGTTTCCCAAAAGGACTCCCATACCATTACTGAAAAGCGCATACTGGTCCCTTCCCAGGAGGCAGTCTGACAATGTGGATCCAAAATCCTAAAAAAATGTTTATATCCTTCGATCCAGAAATTTTACTTGCAGAAATTTATCAAAAGGAAATTATCAGGGATTCACAAAAATAACTTTATGAACAGGTTTTTATTGGATCACATAATAAAGAAAATTAAGGAACAAAATAAATATTCATCAACAGAAAGCTAGTTAAATGTTAAGTGAAATACTATGTAGCCATTCATTCATTAATTGAAGCTGAGAGTACAGCTCTATTAAATCAACAGGGGATTTTATCAGTCCTTCATATATAAATTTTAGCTATAAATACATATAGAAAGAGACAGGGCTTAGAGCTGGGCAGGTGGAAAAGATTTTCATATATTTACATCTAGATCTTATTTTTTGAAAATTACCTTTTTACATATGTGCATGTGTGTTTTGACACTTAGTACTATTAGAACTTGCTCCAAAAGGACCATTTTACTGAGCATATTACTTAATGAACACTTGCTATGACTAGAACATAAATATCAAACTCTTCCTTTACCAAAAAAAAAAACCAACAGCATCATCAAATGAACATCAACAATTTACAGAAATTCTAAAAATAAAGTAGTCTGGAATGATATTATACAGAATGCTATGAATTTGATATTTTAAAAATATTCTGATGGAAATTACATTTATTTGGAAAAACAGGGGTGGGGGGGAACACATTAACCCAAAACCTCTAATAATTTCAGGTACTGTTAGGTATTTTCCATATGTGAAGCACTGCACAGTATCTGATCTGTATGGATTTATTTAATCCTCACAATCATTTTATGAGGGATCATCATTCCCATTTTCCCAATGTGAGTTACAAGAGGCTCTTAACATGCTCAAATTAACAGGACAACTGGCAGGAAAATAGATTGACCCTTATCTTTAGTGCCTCACCAAATTGCTATTAAAATTTTCTTAATTTTCTGTCAGGATTCAAACTCAAGCCTGCTTTCAGCTCCAAAGCCCATACTCTTTCCCATATGTCAGATATTGCTTCTCTGCTGTGAATCAAAAAGGTGTTCCTTATAAATCTCTTTCTAAAAAACATAGATGGCTTATTTTATGTGTTCACACATACTTCAACACCAATGCAAAAGCACTTTAACTTCTATTATACTAAGATGTATTTCTATTTTCTCCTATCAGATGACATATCCCTTAAGAGAAGAAAATCATTTCTGTATATTTCCCCCAGGGCCTAGATGCCATTTTACAATGCTCAAAGCCTACTGGAATGAATTAAATCTATAAATGTCATTTTTAAAAACATGATCTTAAGTCTAGATAAATACTTACAGTGGGTAGACAGCTTCATGAGTACAGTGCACAGTGGTGACATAATCTGGACTTGGGTTGTAAAGCATCGTGTACCAATCAGAAAGCATCAATACTCGGCATGAACGGATATAAAGAACACCGACTGGATCACTCACAAGTAAGGTGATGATAGCTGCCATGCTGCATTCAAATAATGCGGTGATGTGCTGGAAAAGTGCACTGGAACTAGTAAAACAAAAGCAGCACAATTACCCAAAACTATTAGTGCTAACTGGCTTTTCATAAAACCTGGATATGATTCAAGATATGGTTTCTATAAAGAAATGTTAACTGTTGACTCCTGAAACAAATTATCTTCTTAATGGATAAGAAAAGCCAAGCATAGCCCTGACTGGTTTGGCTCAGTCGATAGAGCGTCAGCCTGTGGACTCAAGGGCCCCAGGTTCGATTCCAGTCAACGGCATGTACCTTGGTTGCGGGCACATACCCAGTAGGGGGTATACAAGAGACAGCTGATCGATGTTTCTCATCGATGTTTCTAACTCTCTATTCCTCTCCCTTCCTCTCTAAAAAACCAATAAAATATATTTTCTAAAAAAAAGAAAAAGAAAAGCCAAACATATGAAAACCACTTGAGAAGAGTTTAACATTGTTTACTAAAAAGGAATACCATGCCAGTATCACCTAAATATGCAGGAGAGCAGAAAATAGATTGACCCTTATCTTTAGTGCCTCATCAAATTGCTATTAAAATTTTCTTAAAGTTGCCCTGACTGGTTTGGATCAGTGGATAGAGTGTTAGAATGGGGACTAAAAGGTCCCAGGTTCAATTTCAGTCAAGGGCATGTACCTTGGTTGCAGGCACATCCCCAGTGGGGGCTGTGCAAGAGGCAGCTGCTTGATGTTTCTCATCAATTTTTCTAACTCTTTATTCCTCTCCCTTACTCTCTGTAAAAAATCAATAAAATATATTTAAATTTTTTTCTTAAAGTTATTTACGCATCATTAAAATTATCTTAAATATAAAATAATTGTGGATAACTAACAATATGCTAGAGGCTCGGTGCACAAAAATTAGTGAACTCGGGGAAGTTCCTCAGCCAGACCTGTGCCCTCGCTCAGTCCAGGAGCTCTTGGGGGATGTGTAAATGATGGCTGAGGCTTCCCTCTGCAGGAAGCAACTGGTGAGGCAACCGGTGGGCTGACCTGGGAATAGCACTGGCCAGAGAGCAGCTGGTCCTGCCCCCAATTGCCCCTCCACCACTACTGATCACTGCCACACACTGATCATCATCCCCTCCCTCTGCCCACTGGCACCCGCCTTGGCTGGCCTGGTGCCACCAGCTCGCTGGCCCTGCCCACCCACTGACCAGTCGTTCTGACATTCAGTCTATTTGCATATTAGGCTTATATTATATATGATGACTAGGGTCCTGGTGCATGAAAATTCATGCACTGAAGGGGGGGAGGGTCCCTCAGTCTGGCCTGCCCCCCCTCTCAGTCTGGGAGCTCTTGGGGGGGGGGGGGGAGACGAACTAGCGATCAGGGGAAGGCGACGCCCCATCACACCTCTGCTGCTGCCACTGTGGGCAGCGCAAGCCTTGGCTGGCCCTGGTTACCTGAGCCTTGGGCGGCCTTGGGCAGCTTGGGAGCTGAGGGTACTGGGGGACTCTGGAGGCAGGTACACAGATCGGCTGGGCACCGCCTGCTTCCCCGGTGGGACTGAGGGGTCTGGGCAGCGCCATCTGGTGACTGTGGGTGCTGCCATCTTTTGAGGGTGGGGCAGTCAATTAGCATATTCCCTCTTTATTGGCTGTGGGTGCTGCCTTCATTGAGGAAGGTCACCTGGAGCTCATGATTAGCCCATATTGTTGGAAGCAGAACCCTGGCACCATTTTACCATTCTATGATAGTTGAAAATACTAGATACATAAACATTTACACTTTCATATATAATCCAATCTTTTATTTTCTTATAGAATTCATATTTTTAGAGGCAAAATTTTAATTTCATAATTTCTTGCCATTGTTTTAGCCTTCTATTTTAGCTTTATGCGCATAGCATCCTTTTTATTGTCATCTCTCATTATTCTATAACAAAAATTTTTAAAAAGATGAGAGTTTTAAGAAAATCTATATGTTCTTCTGAAAAATAATAAACCTGAGTCTGGCCATCACTGTTTCTGGGCCACAGCCTCCTAACATGTCTCTCCTCTAATCTACCCTCCACAGAAGTCATCTTCCTGAAATACACATCCAAGGATGTTACTTCTCTCAACCAGACCTTCATGAATAAATCATTCACCCCGCAAATACCGAGTGGGCATCTCTCAGGGGCAGCTGCTGTGCTGGTCTCCGCAGATTCCACAGAGGACAGCGGGTCACTGCCCTCTTGGAGCTGACAGTCAAGGGCGGGCGGAATGCTAACTGAGGAAACAAACTTAACTATAAATGTGTTGAGTGCTAAAACGAAACAAAAACAAATGAAGAGCGCTATTAATGAAGAAAAATAAGGGACAGACCTACTTTAGCTTGGGTCAGGGGAGGCCTTTCCGAGTAGTTGTAATTTAAATTGAAGGGGAAAAGGCAGCTACGTAAAAAGTTGCAGTTTGAGGGACAAGAAAGTACTTGAGGCAGAGAAAAGAGTTTGGGGTAAGGGAAAGAACCTAAAGCAGGAAAGTTACTAAGATGTTAGAGCAGTGGTAGGCAAACTGCGGCTCTCGAGCCACATGAGGCTCTTTGGCCCCTTGAGTGTGGCTCTTCCACAAAATACCACGTGTGTGGGCGTGCACATACAATGTGACTGAAACTTCATGGCCCATGCACAGAAGTTGGTTTTTGTCTCTTGAAAGAAATTTCAATCGCTGTACTGTTGATATTTGGCTCTGTTAACGAATGAATTTGCCGACCACTGGGTTAGAGGAACTAAAATATGCTAAGCCATACATAGTATGGCTAATATACTAAGGTAGAATTTGGGTCCTTGTTCCCAGTAGAATAAAATTCACATCCTCATCAAGAACCCTCGCCCGCTGGCCGCAGCCTATCTTCCCCACTCTTTCTTCCATAGCAATCCACCCTGGGACCACCGGTGAGCACTTCCATCCCCACCCTGACAGGACTCACATTTCATACCTCCATGCGCAAGCTCTTTCCTCTGCCTCAAATAGTCTCCCCCCCCACCCCCCCCCCAAATCTTTCAGATCCTACCAGGCACAATTTATCTCTTCCTTTCTTTATGACTGCAGAGCATTTTGTTCACAGTGCTTTTACAGTTTTAAGAATGACTTATATTACTTACATTACAATATATACCTTTGTCTTCTCTAAAAGATTGTGACTATAAACCATGTCAGTTATCTGTGTATCTCCTCCTCTGACCTTATGAACATAAAACACAGTGCTTAATAAATGCTTATGGAGATAATGTGCTAGTATGAGTTTTCATAACTAGGTTGCAGCTACAGCATTTTAACTACATTATAATCGACTACTACCGTGTTTCCCCGAAAATAAGACATCCTCCGAAAATAAGACCTACTTACAGGTTTCCTTCTGAGTGAAATATAAGGCATCCCCCCGAAAATAAGGACCCCTAGGCTAAACATGAGAGATTTGGTCCATTGATTCTGAAAGAAATGGAGTCACAAGAAATTCACCAGGAAATTCAGGATTTGGATTGTTATGATGATGTTCCAGAAGATGATGACATGATTGTCACTGAATAAATGAGTAAATTCTTGATACTGTAGGATTCACAGTTTGTCTGGTTTGTGTTGACAACTACCGTACTATCGTACCGTATACAGGTAATAAATTTCCTTTATTTTCATTTAACAATAAATGTGTACCGTATTCTTCTTCATGGAAAACATAAGACATCCCCTGAAAATAAGACCTAGCGCATCTTTGGGAGCAAAGATTAATATAAGACACTGTCTTATTTTCGGGGAAACAGGGTAGTAGTAAATTAAATCACAAAGTATTAGTTCTAGAACAATAAAGCAATTATTTGTGGGGGGGGGGGAAACAACAATAAAGATAATTTAAAAATGCTTCCAATTTCTTTAACAACAAAAAAAGACATGTAAAAAAAAAGTTCCTTCTAGCTCATTTAAAGTAAAACAGACAAAGGATAATTCCCTCAATAAATATTGAGGCATGCCCTATCATTAAGTATTCTTGCCACAATCAAAAGTAATCAGAATATAAAACCAAAACAGGCTTACTACTTTTAAAACAAACAACAGAAGTATAAATTACTTGATTCTAACTAATAATTATTCCAGCATCAGTCCATCCAGATACACTCATAGGAAGTGCTAACCTCTTTTTCCCCGAGTACCATTCAATGAAGAACCAATGCAAAACAAGAGGAAGCATAGCCATGAATCCGAGATAGAGCCAATCATAGAGCTCTGGAGACTCCGTGCAAGGCTGACAGTATTTCTGTGCGTTTGTTCTCTGGCCTCTTGGACACACCTACAACATATAAAAATAATATTTTATGTACAGATGTTTCTTTAGAACTTTAGCACCCCCAAAATCTTTCTATAAAATGTCCCATTTCTGTTTAAATCTGTTTACATGTGCAACTTTTAGATATAAAAAAGGAGAAAGCCTAAGTAAAATAAAAAGAAATCTACACTGTATTTGCCTATATCTGTATAATGCTCTGAAAGGAGTCCTTTTACTAAGTTACTAAAATAGTCGACTAATATTAAATGACATACTTAGCTATTAACATCGTATCAAAATAACTGCAAACAAGTATACTGGAATTGTAATGTTAACTTACTTGGATATCCAAGTCACTGTGCTATATCATTAATAAAAAATAATTTAAAATTACTCTAAAATTATAAAATGTTCTTGCCCTAACTGGTTTGGCTCAGTGGATAGAGCATCGGCCTGTGGACTGAAAGGTCCCAGGTTTGATTTCGGTCAAGGGCATGTACCTTGGTTGCTGGCACATCCCCAGTAGGAGGTGTGCAGGAGGCAGCTGATTGATGGTTCTCTCTCATCGATGTTTCTAACTCTCTATCCCTCTCCCTTCTTCTGTGTAAAAAAAAATCAATAAAAAATATTTTTAAAAATTATAAAATGTTCTTAAAAACACTGTGACTGTAAAGAAAGATGTATTATAGACAATATGACAAAACAAAGAATTTTATTAATGCCTACAGTCTTTTATAAATGAATGAGTAGATTGAAGAAACAAGATATATTACATGTGAAAATATTTCAAGAGCAAAAAGATTTTACAAATGAACTAATATGCAAACATTAAACTTACCCCACATTCTCCATATAGTTCAGTTGAGCCATTTTTAAACAACAGGGTCTTCCCACAGTAAAGTCCAAGGCATGCTGGTTGAATATCGACAGCTTTTTAAAAACAAATGCCAGTACAGTAATATCTTTTGTGATTATAAAAAGATAATGCAATAACAGGTGAAGCACTTAGCAGAAATATCTCAGTACAGTTTCAAATAAAATAATCATAGGTGTTGTGGCAAAAAGTCTTGTGCATTTATTTTAAAAATTAAATTTCTCCTTTTCACTGTGACACGACACTGCACAAAGTTATATTGGAACCTTGTTCTTAATACTGTTTCTTATGATTAAACATCCTCAGTCCTCTACCTGCAGGTAGGAGGTATCCCGAGAACTCAAAGCCTAGCCTGGCCTGTCTCCAGTAGCTCCAGGCTGCCACGCCCCTTGATCAGATGGCCTAGACTTCTGAATTTAACTGGTTTTCTAGGAAGAGGATTAGTAGAGGATCACTACTTTTTATTCTGCTCAGTCAGGACATTAAGTGCACGTGCACAAACACACACAAACACACTAGCTAGTATCACCTTCTTTCATAACAGAAAACATTTTAATACCAGCAAAGCAGAATGAATATAATTTCAGAATAAAGGGCAGGCCTTTAGAGTAAATAAATTCACCTTTATAAAAGGCTTATTTACACTGTCCTACCTTTTGTCACGGACAGGTGAAAATTCCATCAAGCCTGTCACTGGGCCAGGGACCCACCCTTGGAAACCACTGCCTGAATCAATCCCCTGACCTCCAGGCGTGGGGGAAATGAAAAGCAGCTGTTCTTTACAAAACAACTCAGGGCCGACAGATTGTCTCTGACCTCATCAACAGGTAGAGGTTATTGAAGGAGGATTTTTTTTTTTTCATCAGGGACATTTCTCTTCCTTCATTGATTCCCTCATTCAATGAACATGCATTAAAGGTCAGATTCCCCTGGTTAGGGGCAACTAAAGATCCACAGAGGACCATGACAGTCCCTGACTTCAATGACCCTTTAGCTGACTGTGGAACAATTCCAAAACAACTGTGGTCAAATGTAAATTAATTAGAAAATGATGCATTTTATAATTATGATGAACAATCACTTCCCAAATTCTTCATGAATTCACAATCTAGAGATTGGCCCACATGCCCTTTCTCCTTTCAAATTTGAGTAGACTTTTGATTTTTTTTTCTCCTTTTGCGATTGAGAAAAAAAAAAAACACAGAAATAACACTGACTAAAATGCCTCGTTTAATATTTTCATATTTTTGTGTGTTTTTTTTTAAACCCATGGGCTTGACACTTATTTTTAAACCCCACTGTAATCACAATGTTCTAAATCTAAACGAATAGATGGAAATGAGTTGATTTTTTGAGAAGATCCAGGTGAAAGAATTGGAAGTCTTTCTACACAGGCTTTGCATATAGTAGATGCTTAATAAATATATTTGCGTGTAAGTCGTTTCTCAAACCCCAAGTCCTGAAACAGCTTATCATCAGCCAAACAAACCCTGACTCCGAGTGTCCGTTCCCTTTCCTTACATTCCCTGCCGTACATTTTGACTTTTTTTTCTTTTTCTTGCAATCTTTGTGGAGGGCCCCCTACGCTTAGGATTGATGCCGAAGCAGGAGACCACAGGTAGGCGGCCATCAGCCTCTGCTCCCTTAGCTGCTTCTCTGCACTGACGCCCTAAGCTGTGAAGGCGACCCTGTGAGTGTCAAACGGAGACTCAGGTGACGCTTGGAACGCGGTGCCCGCAGAGGCCTAGCCACCCCTCCCCGCGCACGGCCTCCCCTCCGCGCCGCTGGACCCAGGCCCCCGCCCCCGCCCCATCCCGCAGGGCGCGCCCCCACGGCGAGCGAGCGGCGGGGGAGCAAGGACGAGGATGGGCCGCGCCCCGCGCAGCAGCCGAGCGAAGCAGCAGGGACTTCTGCAAACGCTCCCGGGACCCCGGCGACCACTCACCCATTGGCCGCAGGTAAGTTTCCCTGGAGAAGCTCCAGGATCAGCCCGGGGCCCGCCGCGCCCGGACATCCGGGCCACGGACGCCTCGGCGGCTCCGCCCCCTGGTAACCCGGGCGACCGCTCCGAAGCCCCGCCCCCCGCTCGCGCTTCCCCATCCGGGCTCCGAGGCCCCGCCCCCTAGGAGGCCGCGGGTCCTGGAGGGCCCTGGGTGTGCAGCGCGCGCCGCCGGGCGGTAGTCAGTCGTGCCCCCCATGCAGACCGCCGAGAGCCGGCCGGCGCCGCCCCGGCTGCCCCCGCACGACCCGGGCACGCCGGCGCTGTCGGTGGTGGACATGCACACGGGCGGCGAGCCCCTGCGCATCGTGCTGGCGGGCTGTCCGGAGGTGGCGGGCCCCACGCTGCTGGCCAAGCGGCGCTACATGCGCCAGCACCTGGACCACGTGCGGCGGCGGCTCGTGCACGAGCCCCGCGGGCACCGGGACATGTACGCGGCCGTGCTGGTGCCGAGCGAGCTGCCGGGCGCGCACCTGGGCGTCCTGTTCCTGCACAACGAAGGCTACAGCTCCATGTGCGGCCACGCCGTGCTGGCGCTCGGCCGCTTCGCGCTGGACTTCGGGCTGGTGGCCGCGCCCCCGGCCGGCGCCCGCGAGGCCCGCGTCCACATCCACTGCCCCTGCGGGCTGGTGGCCGCCTTCGTGGAGTGCGAGGGCGGCCGCAGCCTCGGCCCGGTGCGCTTCCACAGCGTCCCGGCCTTCGTGCTGGCCGCAGGTAACCGGGGGGACCTGCCATCCCCGAGACGCTACTAACTACTACACTCGTTCTCTGGGCTGGAACCCACGCCGCGCAACTAACCCACCCACAGGCTTTGCAAATAATGAAAAGGGAGTTCTAAGTCATTGCAGAGAGCCTTCCGGACTTGTGCGGAGCATGCACCCCAATGATCCCTCAGGTCCGTGGGCCTGTGGTCCTGAGAGAGCCTGGAGACGTGGAGAATTCCGCGCCTCGCGCCCCATTGGCAGGCATTCCTAGATTTCACAAACCGATAAAGCTAGGGCGGCTAGGGTCAAAGAGCAAAGACCAGCCCGTGGGCCCAGGCTCCAGGCTGGCTCAGAATTCCCTCGCTGGACACACTATCCCTGCTGACAGGTTACTGAGACTGATCTGTAAAAAGTGCTTCTCCACTTCTTGGGGAGGAAATTAAATGAGAATGAACTAGGCAACTTAAAAATCACGGAAGTACTGATGTAATAACTGTCTAAGAACTAGCATCCTTCCATAGAGGGAAATCCCTCCAACGGGCTGAATTCTATCATGAGGATGCTCAAGTAGTCGTGGCTGGAAGTGAGCTGGGAGCTCATTTAGTCCAGCCAGGAATGGGGTTATCAAAGCCTTCAAGCCAGGCATATCATTCTGCTAGTTGGATCTTAATCCTCCCTGGGATTGGATTCCAGGTTAGCCTGATTCTGAAGGATGCCGTGATAGCCAGGCTCCTTCTGAGAGCCAACAGAGGCCGCTTTCCCCTGTAGGAGAGAATGGGTCACATGTGCATTAGGAAAGCCCTGGAGGGGGACAGGAGTCTGTGTCTAGATTTCATCTCAGAAACCTCAACAGTTTAACTGACGTGGCACCTCTCAATTTGGGCAAGTGATGGCAGGGCAGCCAACCCCATCAGCTCAGTAGCTCCTGAGACAATGAAATCTGGCCCGGCTGGCATGGCTCAGAGGTTGAGCATCGACCTATGAACCAGGAGGTCACGGTTCAATTCCCGATCAGGGTGCCCGGGTTGTAGGCTTGATCCCCCACATGGGGCGTACTGGGGGGGGGGGGGGGCAATGATTCTCTCATTACTGATGTTTCTATCTCCCTCTTCCTTCCTCTCTGAAATCAATACGTATATTTTAGAAGAAAATGAAATCCTAAATTCTCTACTTAGAAAAATACAAAAATGGTGGACCGAGAGTGTTCAATCAAGATCACTATCTGTCCTTCCTCATTGTGGTGACCTTGCGAGAGGGTGTCTGTCCCTCAGTGTCAAGTCTGTAAAATGAAGATGACCACAGTGCCCACATCGGAAAATTGCTGAGCCCACCTCCACTCCACCTGCCATAATGAAAACCCCAGAATTCTGTTCACTGTATTCAAGTGCTAGAACAATAGGTAGTTAACATTTGTTAAATGAATAACTAAGATGACATTTGGAGGAGAACATGCTGATTGACAAATATAAACAACCGGTTCTCTGAAGAGTTCTATTCCTATTGGCTTTAATATTAACTAATAACATTAGTAATATTTATGACATTACTAATCTGTGCCAACCAGTCCGCACAGATGATCACACGGAATTCTCAAAGGAAACCTTTTTTGGGGGGAATAGCAATGCCGTTTTACACACGAGGACCCCAAAGCCACACTTAGCTTTCTAGCAGTCCCTTATTCCCATCGAATCTCTCATTCTCTTATTAAATGTGCTTTTCATGTTGTATCAGCATCCAGATAAAGACCTTTTCATTCAGGTTTTCCGTTAAGTTCCACAGGCATGTTTCACTCTTCCGATGATAAATTTGCCGTGTTTTGACATGTCACCTGTAAAAGGGCTCTGTGCTCTGGTCTTGTGACTGACTGCATTCCGGTACCTTTGTAGGACTGTGCGAACTCAGGAATACAGGAAATACTTCATGTTTCACAAGTGGAATTTGAGACTCCACTGTGCCTTATTGGTTGACTTAGTCCCAGCCCTCCACTCGTTGCCCCTTTTCCTGACACAGATGTGAGCAAAGGTTTCTGAAATAGCCAAGGCCTTGGGGAGGGAGCCTTTCGGTCCTCGCCTTGCAGAGATTACCGGGGAAGCATTACCTGCCCCCTTCCATGTGGCCCTTGCCCCTGCCCCTGCCTCTCCCCCTTGCTGCCTCTGGCGCACCCTGCAGCCTCTCCGTGGTGTGTGGGGGAAGTTAACACAGGTCCTCTGCACGGGGCCTTCAGCCTCTTCCTCAGCCCAGAGGAAATTTCCCTACTGACCGAGAGATCCGGCTCCCTTTAGAGAGCAGGCAGCAGCTGGGGCGGGGAGGTTGGGGGGGGAGGTTGGGGGAGGAGGTTGGGGGGGTTGGGGGGGTAGTTGGGGGGGGAGGTTGGGGGAACGGTGGGGGATGGAACAATGTAGAAAAAAAGACTCCCTTGAGGGGGTCAATAGTGGGAAAAGGGGGGCATGAAAGTATATGTAATACTTTCAACAATAAAGATTTTAAAAGAGAGAGAACTCATGGACCACAGTGTGGTGGTTGTGGGAGGAGGGGGAGGTGGAAGAGGGCATGAGGGGATAAAAAGTGATGGGAAAAAATAAAGTAAAATATAGGACACAACTTTGCCAACAAATCTCTTCCCCCTGCGATCGTTTCCCACAAAACCTGCTTCTCCCCTGCCACGTGCCTCCCCAAGAAGCCGTGATCACCACGCCCACTGGAATTGGGGTGGAGAGAGGAAAATTCGAGAAGGGGGAAAATAATTTTAATATCGTGAAGTATCAGCCAGCCTCATTCCTTTGGAAATGTCAGTTCAGTATTTCAAACAACTGACCTTCAGGTGGAACTTTGGGTATGTTGGCACTTAAAATACCTATAAAAACCCTGATGCAAAATAATGCCATAAAGGTCAGTGATTGCACAGTGGCATGTTTTGAGTATTTGCCTGCAGTATTTGCATGAGGTGAAATATATAAGTGAATAAGTGTTTGCATGTAACATATAGGAAAAGTCTTTTTTTTTTTTTTTTGCATTTTGTTTTGACATTAGATTTGAAGAAACCAATCTGTGAATAGGGCTCCAAATCCTCACTATTTAAAACCATTCCTAGTCGTATGAGAGAGCACCTACATTTTCCTTCATAGTTTTCACACGTTGATGTCCCAGGGTTTTTCTCTGTCTGTCCCTATGATGTTTCCTAGAAAGAAAAAAAAAGATACTAAGAATAGTTAATAAATATGCATGTATGATTTAAGGAAAACATGCATTCTAGTGTATAACTTATGCAAACATCGAGTTAAAAATAGATAGGTGTACTTAGCTAAAGGTCTATTATTATTTACTCTATGCTTACTCGTTTGGAAGATGGATTTTTGTTTCATTTCTTTTTGTGATAGGAAGAACCTCCTACTTCCTCTACACTCCCCACCCCACCCCCACAACATAAACATATGAAAAGTTTTATGATTTATATTGCTACACTACTAAAATACTTATTCAAACACCTCTTTTTTTAGATCTGCTGGTGGATGTTCCTGGTCACGGGAAGGTGGTGGTGGACATTGCATATGGTGGTGCATTTTATGCATTTGTTAGTGCTGAAAAGTTAGGCCTTGATGTTTGTTCTGCAAAGACAAGGGACCTTGTGGATGCAGCAAGTACAGTGACAGAAGCAGTGAAAGCTCAGGTTAGTACTGTTGCTGCCATCAAACTGCTGCTTTTTATGATACCAACTGAATTCATTCTTTAAAAAAATTTTTTTTCTTGATTTCAGAGGGGAAGGAAGAGGGAGAGAGAGAGATTTGTAAATATCAATGATGAGAAAGAATCATTGACCAGGTGCCTTCTGCACACTCCCCACTGGGGATCCAGCCTGTAGCTTAGGCATGTGCCCTCACCAGAAATCCAACCTGAGTCCTCTTGATTCCTAGGTCCATGCTCAACCTGAGCCACACCCACCTGGGCAGACTTCATTCTCTACAATAAGTCATTCTTTTTCCACCCAATTGTTTCTCTTACCTATTAGTGTCTGCATCCTTGTAACTTTTGCTTGCCCTTTGTCTCTATCTCTGATATTTACTTCAGTTCTAGATACACATTGCCTGATTTCTCCACTTGATCCCCTTCAAGCTCCTGAGCCTTAGCTCTTCCTGTTTGAGCAGCCATGGCCAGCCAGTGGATTAACCATCCCAGGCTCAGTGCCTCAAAGAGTGTGTGTGGTTAGTGGGTGTGTGTGTGTGGGTGTGTGTATAAAATAGGACTGTTCCATAGTGGAGGCTATGTGCAGGGCAACTTCCTTAGGAAGGACTCACAACTTCCACCCGGCCAGTGTGACTCAGTGGTTGAGGATCTACCCATGAACCAGGAGGTCACTGTTTGATTCCCAGACAGGGCACAATCCCCAGCAGGGGGTGTGCAGGAGGCAGCCGACCAATGATTCTCATCATTAATGTTTCTCTCTCTCCCTTCCTCTTTGAAATTAAAAAAATATCTCAACTTCCAATAAAACTTTATTTATCTAGACAATCATGTCATTCTAACATTTAATGCCTTCACCCAAAAGGTGTTTTAAAGATAAAAATGGAAAAATTATGTCTAAGAGTGCCCCATATATGTTGTTTAAAATATAAACTCGAATCAAAGTATTTATTTTACATGTGGTCTATAATTTTTTGTTACTTACAGTTTAAAATTACACATCCTGAAAGTGAAGACCTTGCCTTTCTGTACGGAACTATATTAACTGATGGAAAAGACGCTTACAGTGAGGAGCCAACCACCAACCTTTGTGTGTTTGCAGATGAGCAGGTATTAAAACTGTGGTTTTTAGGCACAGAAGCCATACGATGTGGAAGTGGGCACTGTGAACACTCCATCTTCGTTTATTCTGACACAGGTGGACCGAAGTCCCACGGGCTCAGGGGTGACAGCCCGCATTGCCTTACAGTATCACAAAGGGCTTCTGGAACTGAACCAGACCAGAGCCTTTAAAAGCAGCGCCACTGGCTCCGTGTTCACCGGGAAGGCTGTGAGGGTGAGTGACGCCTTTACCTCCTCCTGTAAAGGTGTTACTTTTGAGACTGAAGAGGCGTGAGCTGGGTGTGTGATGGTTTTGTGTTTTTTCACTCAGCTCTCAGAAGACAGTTATCAAACAGATCTGTAAGAACTGTTCAGCTAGGATATTGGTTCTCAAAGTGAGGTTTGAAAACCACGGGGGTTCCCATGGTCCTTTCCATAGGTCCACAAGGCCAACGCAATATTCATAATAATACTAAGACACTTTCATTCTCTCATGAGTGTACAATTCTCCAGAGGCAGAATAACGTGCTCTCCCAGTGAGGATCTAGCTGTCTTCTTTATAGCCAGACATTGAATGCTTCCAAAAATGTGAAACAATGCCATTTTTCTCATGAGTTTTTTTTAATTTGTTTTGGCAAATGTTATTTCACAAAAATTTGTTGTTTATGTTAACATGCAATGAGTTCATTTTTAAAATGAATTAATGAAATATACCTTTAATTTTTTAAAAGAGCAAACAGTAATAGATATAACCTATGTAAACAAAAACTCTTTTGAGGTCTTCAACCCTGAAGGTATAACGGGAATTGAACCTGCACTCTTTGCTGCACTAGATGATGCTCCAACCAACTGAGCCAGCTGGCCAGGGAAATATAGTTGTTTTTATTTTTTTTTTTTTTTTTTTTTTTTTTTTTTTTTTTTTTTTTTTTTTTTTTTTTTTTTTAAATCAATCTTTATTGTTCATATTATTACAAAGGTTCCTCATTTCTTCCCCCCTCCACCAGGTTCCCACCCCACCCTCCGTCCCCCCCCCCATCCCCCATTGTCCTCATCCATAGGTGCAGTTTATGTTCTGTCTCTTCTTCCCTCAATTTCCCCAATAGTAAATCCCTTTTCAGATAGTAAATCAGTTACTTAGCATTTTCTCATATCAATAATACCTCCACATGCCCAGTGATACACTTCACACAAAAGACATTTCCCACTAGGTCAACCAGCCTCATCCAGGCCCCACCCAAGGCACTCACAGATCAACACCCCAGTCCTAAACTAACTCAACACATCCAGATCTAAGCCTTCATCACTTGATTCAGCAGACACTCAAGTTCCCACGAAAGTTTCCAGCCATGTCTGAGAAGCAGCCGTGGGGCAGGGGCAGGCAAGGAGCGAGCTGTTCTGGGCCTGGCTGCTCAGGGCCTGGCTTCTGTTGCTCTGGTTCATTCCACAACCAGCTGCTCCGGGTCTGGTCACTGCCGCTCCCGACCTAGTTGCTCTGGACTTGGCTGCTGCTGCTCCGGGCCTGGCCGCTCCCAGCCTGGCAGCCGCTGCTCCGGGCCTGGCCGCACCCGACCCGCCTGCTCCCCCGGGCCTGGCCGCTCCCAGCCTGGCAGCCGCTGCTCCGGGCCTGGCCGCACCAGCCCCGCCTGCTCCCCCGGGCCTGGCCGCTCCCAGCCTGGCAGCAGCTGCTCCGGGCCTGGCCGCACCAGCCCCGCCTGCTCCCCCGGGCCTGGCCGCTCCCAGCCTGGCAGCCGCTGCTCCGGGCCTGGCCGCACCAGCCCCGCCTGCTCCCCCGGGCCTGGCCGCTCCCAGCCTGGCAGCCGCTGCTCCGGGCCTGGCCGCACCAGCCCCGCCTGCTCCCCCGGGCCTGGCCGCTCCCAGCCTGGCAGCCGCTGCTCCGGGCCTGGCCGCACCAGCCCCGCCTGCTCCCCCGGGCCTGGCCGCTCCCAGCCTGGCAGCCGCTGCTCCGGGCCTGGCCGCACCAGCCCCGCCTGCTCCCCCGGGCCTGGCCGCTCCCAGCCTGGCAGCCGCTGCTCCGGGCCTGGCCGCACCAGCCCCGCCTGCTCCCCCGGGCCTGGCCGCTCCCAGCCTGGCAGCCGCTGCTCCGGGCCTGGCCGCACCAGCCCCGCCTGCTCCCCCGGGCCTGGCCGCTCCCAGCCTGGCAGCCGCTGCTCCGGGCCTGGCCGCACCCGACCCGACTGCTCCCCCGGGCCTGGCCGCTCCCAGCCTGGCAGCCGCTGCTCCGGGCCTGGCCGCACCAGCCCCGCCTGCTCCCCCGGGCCTGGCCGCTCCCAGCCTGGCAGCCGCTGCTCCGGGCCTGGCCGCACCAGCCCCGCCTGCTCCCCCGGGCCTGGCCGCTCCCAGCCTGGCAGCCGCTGCTCCGGGCCTGGCCGCACCCGACCCGACTGCTCCCCCGGGCCTGGCCGCTCCCAGCCTGGCAACCGCTGCTCCGGGCCTGGCCGCACCCGACCCGGCTGCTCCCCCGGGCCTGGCCGCTCCCAGCCTGGCAGCCGCTGCTCCGGGCCTGGCCGTACCAGCCCCGCCTGCTCCCCCGGGCCTGGCCGCTCCCAGCCTGGCAGCCGCTGCTCCGGGCCTGGCCGCACCAGCCCCGCCTGCTCCCCCGGGCCTGGCCGCTCCCAGCCTGGCAGCCGCTGCTCCGGGCCTGGCCGCACCAGCCCCGCCTGCTCCCCCGGGCCTGGCCGCTCCCAGCCTGGCAGCCGCTGCTCCGGGCCTGGCCGCACCAGCCCCGCCTGCTCCCCCGGGCCTGGCCGCTCCCAGCCTGGCAGCCGCTGCTCCGGGCCTGGCCGCACCCGACCCGACTGCTCCCCCGGGCCTGGCTGCTCCCAGCCTGGCAGCCGCTGCTCCGGGCCTGGCCGCACCAGCCCCGCCTGCTCCCCCGGGCCTGGCCGCTCCCAGCCTGGCAGCCGCTGCTCCGGGCCTGGCCGCACCAGCCCCGCCTGCTCCCCCGGGCCTGGCCGCTCCCAGCCTGGCAGCCGCTGCTCCGGGCCTGGCCGCACCCGACCCGACTGCTCCCCCGGGCCTGGCCGCTCCCAGCCTGGCAACTGCTGCTCCGGGCCTGGCCACACCTGACCCGGCTGCTCTGGGCCCGGCTGCCCCGGGCCCGGCCGCTCCGAGCCTGGCCACTCCCGACCTGGATGCTCTGGGCTTAGCTACTGCTGTTCTGGGTCTGGCTGCTCCCACCCCGGCTGCTCTGGGCCCGGCTTCTCCGGGCCCGGCCACTCCGGGTCTGGGTGTTCCTGGACTGGCCACCCTGGGCTTGGCCGCCTCCGCCTCATGCCTGGCTGCCACTGCCCCAGGTCTGGCTACTTCAGTGCTGGCTGTTGATGCTCTGGTTCTGGCTGCTGTTGTTCTGGGGCCTGGCCGTTGCTGCTCCGGGTCTGGCTGCCACTGCCTTGTGCCTGGCCACTCTAGGCCTGGCCGTCGCTGTTCCAACATTCTGTCCTTTTTTTTTCTTTTTAAAACGCATTTATGTTGCAATGTTGGCTGGTGAGTTGAGTTCTGACTTAGTCTTTGATTTTTTAAGATCTTCTTTGTATTCTTTCTTAAGTAATTTTACTATTTTTTGCTCTCACTCGATTTCTTCACATTGAGAACTTCTTTGGTTTCTTCCTCCTTGTCCTGGGAGCTCAGCAGGTTGGCCTGTGGCACCCCTTTGTTCTCCGTGGGCTCCTGTGCTGCTTCAGCCTGTTGCCGGGACGGCGCCGCCCAGGAAGCAGCCCCCGGCCTTGGCTCCATTGCCCGAGCTCAGTGGTCAAAGGCTCAGGGGCACCCACGCCCCCAGGGGCCCCGTGGCCCGCCTCCTTGCTGGTGCCCGGTTGGCTGGAGTCCGGCAGGGGCTTCCGCTCCCCTCCCCGTTCCCCCAGCCTAGAGCTTTTTTTTTTTTCTCCTTCCCGCTAGGGAAGTCCAGCATCAGTGTCAACAGACTGTCCTCTGCGCGCAAAGCAGTTTGCGCGAGTCCCACAGACTGTCCTCTGCGCGCAGTTTGTGCGAGTCCCGGGGGCCCGACCTTTCGCAGCTCTCCCCGGACTCCACCTCACAGCCCCGTCTCCCTCTGCCTGAGCCTGGGTCCCCAGGGATTGGCCCAGAACTGGGGTTCGGAGCAGTCTGGACTGAGGCTCAGCGCCGCCGGAGGCCTTGTTTCTTCCGGCTAGGGCAACCCAGCATCAGAGTCAACATTCAGTCCTCTGCGCGCATTGCGCGCGACTCCTGGGGCCCTGCCTTTCGCCGTTTTTCCGCCTCATGGCCCTGTCTCCTCCCGCCGGAGCCTGGGTCCCCAGGGTTTGGCCCATAACTGGGGCTCAGCGCTGCCGGTTCGGGGGGGCTCAGCGCTGCCGGTTCGGGGGTTCAGCCCAGGCTGGGGGTTTTATTTCCTTCCTGCTAGGGAAGGAAAGGCGGCTCCCCGCCCTCTCCTCCTCTCCGGCTGCGACCTCTCCGTGCGCGCGTGCGGGCGGGCAGGCGCGCGCAGCATGTCTCCGTACCTTAGGCTTTTTTTTCAGCTCCTCTGATTTTCTTTCTGGTTTTCTCTTTCCTTCTTGTTGTAGAAATTTCAGTCAGTCGACTACCTGTAGCTCTGGGCAATGTCCACTCTACATTTTAGTTGTATTCCATTGAAATTGTTGTGTGCTGCCGCGGCTAGATGTCTACCCAAGCAGCCATCTTGGATCCTCTCTCTATAGTTGTTTTTAAAGCTTGATTTTTCTAAATATTGAATTAAGTTAGGCATTTCTATACGTTACCTGATCTTATGAGATACCAAATCATTACGTTGTATGCAAAAATTTGGAATACATTGTCTTCAAGTCTCAGAATGAAGATAAAATAATAATCTATCATACTTATTGGATGTTTCATTACATATCAGTTTCCAAGCTAACCACATGATGCATGCCATATCATTTCATTCTCACACGAATCCTGGGAGGTCAAAACTATTCTTCTTTAACAAATGATAAATTGGAGAGTTTAGGTAATTTGCCAAAAGGCAAAGAGTAATGGATCCAGACTATGAACATGATCTCTCTGAGCAGACCCCACTCTGTTAACATTATATTGTTATTAGACAAGGCAAGTTTTCAGTGAGGCTTTGTATTATAGCAGCTTTATAAAAAGATAATAAAGTTACCGTAGCCAAAGCTCATAATTGGCATTTACCTTAAGCTTCAGTTATCCTGTTTTTTAAAAATGAGAAAATGAAGATACTGTGTAGTGGAGATCTGAAGTTATTTAATACCTATCAGCATACTTGCCAGAACATCTTCATTTACACCATTGACCTTTGCTCTCTGTCTGGGCTCTTCCAGGCTTTCTCATACTAAATCCATCTCTTTCTCAGCCCAGCTTCCTTACCCTGTCCTTCCGTTTACAAGCCCCCAGCATTTTATCCTTAGCTTCCTTCTCATCTCTTCTGCAATTTGATGCCACTGGGCAATTTCACCCACTTCTGAAGTTTCAACTCTCAGCCACCCACTGATGACTTCTAACCCTTCCTCCCTCCCATGCCTACCCTGGGCTTCTCTCCTGAGTCTAACAGGTATGTTCCCAACTGTCCAGTAAAGTCATCTCAAAATGACTGTCTCAGAGATACTGCACACTCAAATTGTTAAAAAGTTCTTTCTTGTCAAAACTGGTTTGGCTCAATGGATAGAGCATCAGCCTGCAGTCTGAAAGGTCTCAGGTTTGATTCTGGTCAAGAGCATGTACCTTGGTTGCAGGCACATCCCCAGTAGAAGGTGTGCAGGAGGCAACTGATCGATGTTTCTCTCTCATCAATGTTTCTAACTCTCTATCCCTCTCCCTTCCTCTCTGTAAAAAAAAAATCAATAATATATATATTTAAAAGTTCTTTCTTCCTAAATGTGCCTCTCCTACATTCACTTTCAAGCTAAAAGCTGTAGTCATATTTACTTCTATTCCTTACTTCCCACATATCAATCCCCAGGCCTGTCAGTTCTTCCTCCAAAGTATCTCTATATTTTGCTCTTCCCAGCCTCACTAAAAATTACCACAGGGACTGTACATTCAGTCAGTGAATTAAGCTTACCAGGGTTCTGGGTGTCTAGTTTCTCTCCTCCCTTTTAGTCTCCCACTGTACAGTTAGTTTATGTTAAACACAAACCTGACCAGGTCGCTCTCCTTTCAGTGGATTAACTCTTGGGTTTTCTTTAAAATAATAAAAATTAACAATATGACTTAAACCAGATACAGTATGAATGCAGTAATTTGATACTGTACTCCTTTCATCTTCTCTTTTCAGGAAGCCAAGTGCGGGGATTTTAATGCAGTGATAGTGGAAGTCTCCGGACGAGCCCATTACACGGGTACAGCAAGCTTCACGATAGAAGACGATGACCCACTGAGGGATGGGTTTCTTCTCAAGTGACTTCCATGACCTTCAAAGGCCTTCTTTTCAAAGCAATCAGTGCCTGTCAGTAATTCTCATCTGAATTATGTGGAAACCTATATCCACATTGTATATGCAAGCCAATTCCCATTTTTCTAAAATAGTACACTATGGTTAAATATAAAATCATTATACCTTGCCCTAACCGGTTTGGCTCAGCGGATAGAGCATCAGCCTGCGGACTGAAATGTCCCAGGTTTGATTCCGGTCAAGGACATATACTTGGTTTGGGGCACATCCCCAGTAGAAGGTGTGCAGGAGGAAGCTGATTGATGTTTCTTTCTCATCGGTGTTTCTAACTCTCTATCCCTTTCCCTTCCTCTCTGTAAAAAAGTCAATAAAATATATTTTTAAAGAAATCATTATACCTCATAGTTGCATAGATATAGAGGTATAGGTCCTGAAGTGCAGGTACATAGTAGAAAATAACCAGTGAATCATTACAATGGGATAAGTTTCATACTCTACCAGCTACATGCCAGGTAGATTTAGAACACGATGTCCTGGCTAGTACGGCTCAGTTGGATGAGCTTCATTCCATGCACCAAAAGGTCGCTGGTTTGATTCCAGGTCAGGGCACAGACAGGGTGGTGGGCTTGATCCATAGGCGGTATGCAGGAGGCAGCCGAAATGTTTCTAATGTTGATGTTTTTCTCTCTCTCCTTTCCCTTGTTCTCTCTCTAAAATCAATAAAAACATGTTTGAAACAATTTTTAAAAAAATAAAACATGAGAGAAATGTTAACTCGTAGTATTCTTGCCTATGAACCTGTTAAAAATAAATTTGTCATTATAAAATGAAGAATTATAATTATTCAACACATATTCCTTAGATTCTCAATATTCCTTAGATTCTGCTGTGAAGAGTAGTATTTCTTTTTTCTGAGCCAACAGAAACTTAAACTGGCTTTGCCATCCAGGAGGTCTGTATAGACCCAGTCATTAGGTCTGTGGCTTAATTACCTGACTAAAATCAATCACACAACAAAGTCATGTTTCCCACTCATTCTCCATTACATTCTTTGGTAAAGAAATCACGTCTCTCTAAAAAATAACACTATCACTAACCTTTTCCTTCCTTATTCACTCTCCTTTTTCTCTGGGCAACTATCCATCCCCTGAATGTAGCCTTGCTGGGACCACCAGGCAAGGGAAGGGACTCTTGCCCGCAGGACCTGGGAGGAGGAGGAGTTGTGAATCCTCACCCACGGTTATTCTTCCATTGATTTTTAGGGAGACTGGAAGAGAGAGGGAAAGACAGAGAGAAACATGGATGTGAGAGAAACATATCGGTTATTTGCCTCCTGCACAAGCCCAGATGAGTGCCCAGGCTGGGGAGGAGCCTGTAGCCGAGATACACCTCCTTGACCGGAATCCAACCAAGGATTTTGGATCTGCAGGCTGATGCTCTGTCCACTGAGCCAAACCGGGTAGAGCAGGATCTGGGATCTTGAGAGAAATGACATTTGGTTTAAAAATGGTTGAAGCAGACTTACTCTGACAGTGTCTTAAAGCGATCACCCTCACTTAGTGTGTGCTCTCTCTACTCACAAAGCTGCCCTGACTTTTCTCTTGTTCTTGGGGCTGGCTGTTAGACGATCCTTCTATAATCTGTAACTTCTTCTTTAAGGGAGACAGTGCTTTATTTGTATTGCTTAGCTCCAAAGATCCTAGTCCCTATACTAGCTGCTTAAAATCTCTTCTGCTCTTTGCTGTAAATGCCCACCTTCAGACTCATTAATCCCCCCCCCCTGGTTATTACAATACCTTTTCCTAACTGGTGTCCCAGTTGCTAACCCCTCCTCTGATAGTTACTGAAAAAATATTTCTTTTGTGTGTTTTCCTAATAGTTTTCCAGAATGCTAAGTGCTAGGAATCTAACAAAAAGCCAAACAGATCAAGTCCTAGTCTTAATGGAGTCTACAAGTTGACCATGGGAGGCAAGTTATTATAGACAGTGTGGTATGCCCTACAAGCCAAGGAGGGCTTACCCTGAGGGACTAACGCTCATGCAGACATGGGGGGTACTTTGGGACTGGGGGAAGGAGTGGTGGTGGAGCTTTCTCGGCAGAAGACATAGCAGGTACAAATGCCCTAAGGAACTCACAAAAGACCAGTGTTGTTAGAGTGGAGCAAAAAAGAAGTGGCCCAAAATGAGACTAGAGAGGAAGCAGATGTGAAATAATGCAGTGCCTTGCAGTAAACATTAAGGATTGGGGTCCTTATCCTAAATTAAATGGAAAAAGTCAATAGAATGTTTAAATAAGTGGCATGATCAAATTACTTTGTTTAAAAAAAGCATTCTGCCTACAATGTGGAGTAGGGGCTGGTGTGGGGACACCCAGGTAGGAGTGTCAGCAATAGTCCAAAGAGAGGATGAGAGCTAAGATTCAGGTGGATGATGGAGTGATGGAGAGAAGTGAACGGATACAAATATATTTAACAAGTAAAATTCCCAGGTTTTGGTGATTGGTCATGGATTGGTGATGAGAAAGAGAAAATTTATCTAGAAAGAACCCTAAGTTTTTGCCTAGAAAATGAGATGAAAGGTGGTGCCACTTTTTTTTTTTAATTCAAAATATTGAGGACTAAGGTTTTTAGGAAAGATCACGAATTCCATTTTGGTCACCTTACATTTGAGGTGCTTTTGCACATCAAGGATCATTGCCAAGTAACAAGATATATGGATAGGAATTAGGGACATAATTTAGAGTTGTGAATATATAGTTTTCAAAGCTGTGGCTGTGCGTGAGATGGGGAAAGAAGTCCAGAGCTGCCCTTGGATTCTAGCATTTAAAGGTAGGTGAGGGACGATGAACTAGGCAAACAAGGAAGGCAGGAAACCAGGAGAGTGTGAAGTCACTCGTTCTGAACCATGCCTGATCATGGCCTTCCTCCCTTCCTCTCCCCTTCCCCTTTTCTCCTCCTCCTCCTCCTTTGTCCAATGTCACTTCTTATGCAAAGTCTTCATTCTTCATCACCTTCCCTAGGAAGAGTTAGTGGCCTCCATAGAATTTCATTTGCATATTTTTAACAACACTTTCCACATTGCAATATATTTGTGTGTACCTAACTAAGGCCGTAAGATTCTACCAGGCTGGAATCCTTATCTTGCTTGTTGTTTCTGAAGTCTTAGCACAGAGATTTTATAAATTAATCCATTATATTTTTGTCTTAATTCAGTGGTTCTCAGCTGGATTGATTCCCTCCACCCCCACCTCCAGTCCCCTGGAGACATTTGCCAATATCTAGAGACATAATTTTTAGTTGTCATTACAGGAGTATCATGGATATAGGCTAAAGATAATGCTAAACATCTGTAATACATAGGGTAGCTCTCACAACTAAGAATTATTTGTCTCAAAAGGTCAATAATGCTGAGGCTGAGAAACCCAGTCTTAGTAACCACCTTAAATGAACTACTTACACCGTTAATTTCCAGTAGGGCATTTTCCATCACTGAAAGAAGCAACCAAGGCACTCATATCATGGATTCTAAGACATGTACCAGTCATTTTTTACATCAGTGTTTCTCAAAACGTGATTGTGTATCAGAATCACTTGCAAGGCATGTGGCTGGGCCCCACCTTAGAATTTCAGATTCAGATTGGGGGCTGGGCCTGAGCATCTGCATTTCTGACACATTCCCAGGTCAGACTGCTGCTGCTGCCGCTTTACAAACCACAGCCTTAGAGAATCTGAGGGCTGATCACATTTCGCCCCGCTAGTGGCCATGCCCAGAAGCTTGAGATGCACCTTCCCTGGGCCTGCAGGCCCTGTTCCTGTATCTCCCCCCCCAAACACCTGGAGCTGCACCTGTGGTGACTGCCTAGTTGGCAGCATCTTACATCACATTTCAGAGAACTGAGGAAGGCCGGGCCACAGAGAAGGAACATTCTCCCTTTTCCCACACATGTGCAAGAGCCGATTATGCATGATTCTGGGTCCCAAGCTCTTTAAGGCAAGGTGACATCCTGCCTCCAAAATCCATATCCTAGCTCCATGGTCGGTAAACTGTGGCTCGCGAGCCACATGCAGCTCTTTGGCCCCTTGAGTGTGGCTCTTCCACAAAATATCACATACCCTAATTAAAGTTAATAACTATGTTCCTACCTATGTAGTTTAAGTTTAAAAAATGTGGCTCTCGAAAGAAATTTCAATTGTTGTACTGTTGATATTTGGCTCTGTTGACTAATGAGTTTGCCGACCACTGGTCTCGCTCCTCAGAGCACCTGTATCAGTCCCCTGTGGGATTTAGTTAGATTCACAGGCCTGTCCTCAGTAATCCTGGGAGTCAACCGGTGCATCTGCATTTCATAAGCACATTTCATAACATCAGTGGTTCCCAAAGTGTGGCCATCAGACCAGCAACATCCCTACCTGGGAACTTGCTAGAGATGCAAAATTCTAGGACCCTAGACCCACTGAATCTGAAACCTGGGGTTGGGCTGACTCAGTTTCAGCAAGAAGTCCAGGTGATTCCGTTAGACGCTCAGGGTTGAGAACACCTGTGTTAACCTATCCTGCGCCTCGTTTAACATCTCCGGATTGGGACAGCTTCCACTTCAGGTCCTCCATTCCTTCCCTACCTGCATGTGCCAAAGCATCCCCCGCGAAGGCCTTCCCAGGACGTCCTATCCGAGAAAAGAACGAGCATGACCCCTTGTTGTCTTTGGTCGCTGACAGGAGAGCCCCTCCCGCTTTATCTGGCCCGACAGGGTCCCCGCGGCGGCCCCTTTGGCCCTCGGGAGCCCGGACCCCAGGCCGAGGCGCCTCGCGGGAGGTGAAGCCGTGCGCCCGCCCCGCGCGCTCCTGCGTAAACAGGCGGTTCCCTTGGCAACGCCTAGAACCCGCGTCCAAGGCTCCGCAGGCTCCGCGGCGACCACCACCGCCCCTCCTCCGGCCCAGCCCCGCTCCCGCAGCCGCCTCTCGCCCTGGCCCGGGACACCCACCGGCTCGCGGCCGCCGCCCCCGGGGCGGGATGACCAGACCCGCGGCCGCCGCGGGGCCCCATGGAGCCAGCGTGCACGGCCTCGTCGGGCAGCCCGCGCCCCGGCGCCCCCTCCGCGGCCGGCACACCTGGCGGGCCCTCCTCCGCGGCGACGGCGGCGGCCGCGCTCTCCTTCAGCACCGTGGCCACCGCGGCGGCCGCGGCGCTGGGGAACCGGAGCGCCGGGAGCGAGGGCGGTACCACTGGCGCCGCGGCTGGCGGCGGCCTCGGCTGGCCTGGGGCGGCGGGGGCGGCGGGGGCGGCGGGGGCGGCGGGGAGGCCGCCGATGCGCCCCGAGGCGGCGCCGCAGCTGCTCACGCACGGGGCGGCCGTGGCGGCCCAGGCGCTGGTCCTCCTGCTCATCTTCCTGCTGTCTAGCCTGGGCAACGGCGCCGTGATGGGGGCGATCGCGAAGCACCGGCAGCTCCGCACCGTCACCAACGCCTTCATCCTGTCGCTGTCCCTGTCGGACCTGCTCACGGCCCTGCTCTGCCTGCCCGCCGCCTTCCTGGACCTCTTCACGCCGCCCGGGGGCTCCGCGCCCGCCGCGGGGCCCTGGCACGGCTTCTGCACCGCCAGCCGCTTCTTCAGCTCGTGCTTCGGCATCGTGTCCACGCTCAGCGTGGCCCTCATCTCGCTGGACCGCTACTGCGCCATCGTGCGGCCGCCCCGGGAGAAGATCGGCCGCCGGCGGGCGCTGCAGCTGCTGGCGGGGGCCTGGCTGCTGGCGCTGGGCGGCTCGCTGCCCTGGGAGCTGCTCCTCCGCGCGCCCCGCGCGGCCCCCGCGGCGCAGAGCTTCCACGGCTGCCTCTACCGCACGTCCCCGGACCCCGCGCAGCTGGGCGCGGCCTACAGCGTGGGGCTCGTGGTGGCCTGCCACCTGCTGCCCTTCCTGCTCATGTGCTTCTGCCACTACCACATCGGCAAGGCCGTGCGCCTGTCCGGGGTGCGCGTGCGGCCCGTGAGCACCTACGCGCGCGTGCTGCGCTTCTTCAGCGAGGTGCGCACCGCCACCACCGTCCTCGTCATGATCGTCTTCGCCATCGGCTGCTGGGGGCCCTACTGCTTCCTGGTGCTGCTGGCCGCCGCCCGCCAGGCCCCGGCCGCGCAGGCCCCCTCGCTCCTCCACGTGGTGGCCGTCTGGCTGACGTGGGCCAACGGGGCCATCAACCCCGTCATCTATGCCATCCGCAACCCCAACATCTCCATGCTGCTGGGGCGCAGCCGGGAAGAGGGTTACCGGACTAGGAATGTGGACGCTTCCCTGCCCAGACGGGGCCGGGGTCAGCAAGCCAGAAAGCAGTGTGCCAACCGGCTGAGGGGCTGCAGCAGGATGGCCGCTTCCCATCCCACCAGCGGGGTGGCCGGGGATGTGGCCTTGTGGGCTCGTAAAACGCCAGTTGTGCTTTTCTGCCGAGAAGGGCCACCGGGACCGGTGACAGCATTGGCCAAACAGCCTCCTCCATCTGAAACCAGGGACACCAGCCTCTAAGCAGAGTTGGGGTGCACAGCTTATGAAGATAGCTTTTTACCTGCTTCATTGAATGCAGGATTCTGGGGAGAAGTGTGGGGAGAAGTTTTGTTTTTTTTTTTAAAGCCAGACATTTAAAAAAGAGGCAGATCGGGAGGCCTACCACTTCCCCCAAACAACATACAAAACAATGTCGCCTTCAGAAGTGCCAAAAGGAATCTAATGTGCAAAGGTTAAAATAATCTGAAACCACACAACCAAGCATTGTGAACTGTAAGTGCCAAAAATGACTAAATAAAATTCACGATTACTGAAAAGCTCATATTACAGGAATCACACTGTGAAACAAAGTCATTGAATGCAATCAGTATTTGTTCAAACACCTAGTTTCAAGAAAGAACAGAGACCCTCAGAATTGCTCACTGATCCCTCTAAATCACCAGCATTCAACAAAATTTCAGATTTCTAGAGCTTGCCACTCTGACACATGCTTTGGGTGCTTAGGTTGGGAGTGGAAAATTCTTATCCTTGCACCCATCCCTCTAAAATCTTTGTGGGAAATTTTAAATTCATGTCCCATGTAAAACTGTAGGATTTTTGAAAAGGTGGTTTATTACCATAAAATTCAGCCCCCTGAAGTATGAAAATAAAGAAATGTGGCTGTTTTAAAAAAGTATTCTAAAGTTATAATTAGAAAGTTATGTTTCTCATCCTATCCCCAAAATCATCTGCCCCGACTAGCGCTGAGGCTTTATCTGCTCTTACTCTAACCTGCTACTTCTTTTTCTAATACCTTGGATGCTGCTGCTCTCAGAATGTTTTCACACTTTAAAAAAAAATAACGTTTGTAGTAGAAAGCCTTTGTGTTTGGGGGGTAAATTGATTTTTGGATACAGCCAAAAAATGTAATTTGAAGTCAAGGTGATTGAATCAGGTGAGTAATGTCATATATATTAAAAGCTCTATAAATTAACATGATTTCACTTTCCTGTGTGGTTTTTAACTGATGATGTTTTTTAAAAGGAATTTTAAGAAGTGGCCCCATGTCTAAAATAAACATGGAATTTTCTAAGATGAGCATACTCTCTTACATTTGGGATTTTTGGTACGTGTGTGTGTGTGTGTGTGTGTGTGTGTGTGTGTGTGTTTAATAGATCATTGCTTTATAGATAATGAGTTTCCTAAAATAATGTAGTCTTTATTAGAAAGGGAGACCAAGTGTGGAATTATTATATAATGTAATAGGGTCTAAATAACTTAGACATATCAGAGAGGTACTTCAATCAAGCTAAAGATATCTTTAGAAATGTGTAAAACAAAGATGCTTTTAAAAAATTCAAAAGCGCAATTCAGGATTTGTGTGTATAAAATTTCATTAAATGCCATTCGTTGACTCAGAATTTTATGAGGTATTTTTGTGTTTTCTCCTTTCTCTATCCTGCCTCTCTTGTCTTCAGTATTTCATAGCCTTTACTGAATAAGTACTTTAAACTACACATGAAACATCAGCTATCATATAAAGGTTTTAATGTGAAATAATCACCTTTTTTCTTATAAAATGTTTAAAGATGTTTATTGTATTTAAGTTTTTGTGCAATAGGTGGGTGATGCCATTACTTTGTAATCAAAAATGGAAATATACAGAGTGGCCAGATTATTATAATCTCTGAACACATAATAATCTGGCCACTCGGTGTATATATATACAGTATCTATATTAGAGGCCCAGTACATGACTTTGTGCATGGGTGGGGTCCGGCCAGCTGGCCAGGAGGAGGGGACATGGGCGGTTGGCCGGCCTGCCTGCTGGTTGAACTCCTGCTCCAGGGGACAATTTGCATATTAGCCTTTTATTATATAGGATATACACTGAGTGGCCAGATTATTATGCATTCAGAGATCATAAAAATCTGGCCACTCAGTGTATATTCATGTCAGAGCTAATGATGTTTTAATTTTTCTTTTCCAGGCATCATCATAATCAGAAGTTTATAAATTATCTCTATATATTTTGCTACACTCAGTGTAGCACAAAGTAGATGAGCTAATCTTTTCTCTTCAGTACTTGTTATAAAACATATACAGACTTTATGAAGCCAAACAAACATTTAACAGATATCTATACAATAATAGTAGTACTTTCTGTTAAAGCCAAAAAAAGTTGTGTATATTTTGGCGTTGTGAGAAAATGGAAGTCATTAGAAATGACAAAGAACAAACAAACAAACAACCCTTCTAGTTATGAAGAGTATCACAGGCTGGGAATTAGGCAACTTTGAATAAAGATCAGAAAAAGAGAAATCTTGGGAGAAGGAGGTAAGCATGTTGCAAAATAGAGTGTTGTCTAGGAAAGTGGTCTGCAAACTCATTAGTCAACAGAACCAAATATCAACAGTACAACGATTGAAATTTCTTTTGAGAGCCAAAATCTTTAAACTTAAACTTCTAACACCATTTTTTCAAAATAGACTTGCCCAGGCCATGGTATTTTGTGGAAGAGACACACTCAAGGGGCCTAAGAGCCGCATGTGGCTTGTGAGCTGCAGTTTGCCGACCACAGGTCTAGGATAAAGCATCAAAGGAAGGTATGTCATAAACACATATAATAAACCAACATGAAATGGAATAAACCTTTCTGGTGAATGAAGGGAACATCTGAGAGATTGGAAGTGAGAAGCTGGTGGCATGAAGGATTATAAGACAGAAAAGAAATTCCCACCCTAACTTGTTAGGGTGTGGTAGGAAGTTTTAGTAAATAAATGGGTTGGGGAAGAGTCCAGGTGTTAATGGCTCTAAGAGTTATGGTTGGCAAGAATAAGAGGGAAAAAGATCCCTAGCTATCGATAGTTTGGCTCAGTGGACAGAGGCATCAGCCTGTGGCCTGAAGAGTCTGGGGTTCCTCAAATCTCAGTAGGGGGCATGCAGGAGGCAGCCAATCCATGATTCTTTCTCATCACTGATGTTTCTATTTCTCTCTCTCTCTCCCTTCCTCTCTGAAATAAATAAAAAATATATTTTTTTAAAAAGAGAAACTTGTTAATAAGTTACTGGACAACCTAGAGTGCTATGTATCTGTTTGTTTAAGGTGAGGCTATCCAACTTGTCAGTGATAGAACTAGGATTTGAAGCAGAGTCTTTCTGCGCTCAGAGCCCTATCTCTGTTTCCTCTCCACCCTTTGTGGTCCTTACAAAGGTCAATGGTAAGGGACTCTAAGGACGAGGAGTTGTGGTACTATCCTCCTCCTCCTCCTCAATCTACTGTTTTTATTTTCTACTTTACATTGGGCAATGGCTGAGTACAAAGGCTAGTAAAAGACAGAAATCATAGTTCCTGCCTTAAGAAGGCTTAACAGTTTAATTAAGGTAAGGACTTTGTACTTTATAAATATTGTTCACAATCAGGACTCTTTATTTTACCTCTGGGGAAGAAAAGGTGAAGCATTTTTAAATGTGATTAATAAAGGACATGGATTTGGAAGCAAAAGACATGTAGATAAAGGCCAACTACCAACCTGATCCAGTTGTAAATATTTAGAGACAAAAACTAATATCTTGAATAAAAGATAGAGGAAGAATGACTCTTCAATTAATTTAAGACTTGGGCCTTTCCTCATGTTGACTGAATGTATGATTTTAGGGTCTTTGTAAGAAAAGGGGAAAGAAAGGTGTGAAATATTGGGAAGTGTTAAATATGGCACAATACAAAAAAAAGCCAGAATGTAATCCTTCATATCTAAGTCTGCTCCCAGCTCAGATATTTCACTTCAATGAAAATAACATCAACAAGTCATGTTCAGCATAGTACATACATTAGCTCATTTAATCCTCAAAGCAACCCTCTGAAGGGGAGTACTAGTGTGATCATTCCACCGATTTTACAGATGAGAAAACTGAGGCACTGAGGTGCTATGTGATTTGCTGAAGTTCACACAGGAAGTAATCCTATCTAATAAAAGAGTAATATGCAAATCACTCTGCTACATCCACAAGCCACGCCCATCATCCAACCAGGAGCGAGTATGCAAATTAATCACGATGGCTACAGCCACAGAGTGAGCAGGAGGCTTGGGTTTCCTCAGCAATAGAGGAAGCCAAGCTTTCCACACACCCTGGCAGGCCCAGGCCTCCACACAAGGCTACAAAGTTTTAATTATAGAAGTTAAATAAATCCAAACAAAAATGGCTGCGGCCACAGTGAGCAGGAGGCTTGGCTTTGCTGAAAGCTACAAAGTTTCAATTATAGAAGATAAATAAATCCCAGATACCAGGGAGGAGCTCTGCTTGGATCACTGGGGGGCATGGCCGGCCTGCATACGACCACAGGCCCCTCACCCAGGCCACCCATGCCCCAAGGGAACCCCCACCCTGATCCAGGACACCTTTCAGGGCAAACCAGCTGGTCCCCACCCATGCACCAGGTCTCTATCCTATCTAATAAAAGAGTAATATGCAAACTGACCATCACTTCAACACACAAGGTGGTTGCCCCAATGTGGTCAAAGATGGCTGCCCCCATGTGGACACAAGATGACCAGCACAAGATGGCCAGCAGGGGAGGACAATTGGGAGGGACCAGGCCTGCAAGGGAGAGCAGTTGTGGGCGATCAAGCCTACAGGAGAGGGCAGTAGGGAGTGACAAGGCATGCAGGGGAGGGCAGTTAGGGGCAATCAGGCTAGTAGGGGAGCAGTTAGGCATCAATCAGACTGGCAGGGGAGTGGTTAGGGGGTGATCAGGCTGGCAGGCAGAAGCGATTAAGGGCAATCAGGAAGGCAGGCAGGCAGGCAGGCAGGCGAGCAGTTGGGAGCCAGCAGACCTGGGTTGTGATGTCCAACTGCTCTCACCATCTCACTACTCCCTGGGTCCTGGCTGCTACTCCTGCCACTGGACCTCCTTTATGCTGGTTACAAAGCTCAGCCACCGGCTGCTAACAGTTGTTACCACGTCCATCCACAGAGGGGAGCTGGCTGGTCCTGCCAGCTAGCATTGCTCTCCCCAAGCACCGGCCTTGCTGAAGAAAGCA